ACACTAAAATGCTTCCTTAATCATATCACATTTATTCCTTATTTAAATGTAATTAGTTTAACGAGTACTTAGGATTGCTGCAACAGGGAGGGCAAAACTGTTTTTTTCTCTGTAAAATGTTAATAGTTAGTAAGAAATAAAAACATTTTCCAAATTTGATCAAAATATGTTCATAAACAAGCCAACTACAACAGTTTACTTGTTCTCCATAAGAATAACATGGGAATTTAAAATTTAAATTTTTTTGGAATTTTCTCCGTAACCATTAGGCGCATAATAACACTTCAATATACTAAATTATTTGTTTTTTTAAGCTCTACAAAATGGTTTGGAAAGAAATTGCAAAATTTTATGTTTTTTTGGGTCAAAAATGGGAAAAACCAATTTTTACCCCATAAAACCCCCCGTAAACCCCCATTGCCATAGTCCGATCATGCTGGTTCGCGAACTCGTTCAAGTTTATCCCGCCTTACACCTTCAAACCAAATTTTATCAAAATCGGACAAAAATTACTAAAGTTATCGTGCGGATGGACATATATATATATATATAAAAATTTGAACGAATGGTGTTTTTGGCCTCTGGGGACATCAAAATGAAAAAGTAAATTGGTCCCGGGCTTAGGTCTTACCATGAGACCTACGGTAATAGCTACTTCCCTATAGGGAAATTCGCTAAAACGTACATTTAAAGCCGAGTCAATATTTTCACAGTCCTAACCATCGTAAATACACAATATACAGGGTGTTTCAGAATTCTTGTCGGATATTTTAGGGTATTGTTCCTGGGTAAGAAACAAATCCAAATATCATATTTAAATTGACCGGAAGTCCTTAGTTACTCACACAGCCGCCATTTTGTTTTTTCACTTATTAAATTGTCTTCTAAAAAGTGGTAAGAGATACGAAATTGAAACTTTGCAAAAACATTTATGACAACTAGACAAAGCTACGAAAAAGTTATGAACATTTTTAAAATTCATAAAACAAAATGGCGGCCATTTAAAATTTTGTTTCTTAAATAACTCAAAAACCGTTGAGTTTACAAAAACTTCACAAAATTAACTTTTTTAAGAAAATTTAATTACAAATCTATTGACACCTTAAACTTTAAGATTGGATGAATATTAGCTGAGATATGGCAGCTTTAGTAATACGTGACCGCTAGAGGTTAGGTGTAGTGCATGCCAAGGCATGTGGCCTGTCTGCCACAACAATGCAACAGTCTCCGTCCGCTTTGCAAGTTATTTTTAAACGATTTTAGATTATTTCAAACAATAATAAAATATTACATCACCCTAAAAGTGTTTTTTATCAATTATCAATCATTAGTATGGCTTAAAAATTGCACACCTTTTTACTGTCTTTAAAATTCACAATAAACACCCAAACATTTTAAAACAGCTGCTTTGTTGAAAGTCAATGTACTTGTTTACAAAATAATCAGCTGATTGTATTGTTGTATCGTTGTCTGAAGATGTTGTTTATTCAATGTAGCCAGTTCCTCTAGCCTTTTACAGTAAGAGTACACTTTAAAATTGAATGTAAAAGTTAGAGGAACTGGCTACATTGAAGGAGAACAAAACAGCTGTTACAACACCACTTGCGACGTTGCCAGTTGCCACTTCGAAGGCCGCGCGGCTTGGAGTTAAAGGCGGCCGTGGTTAAAGGCAGCCGTGTTCATAGCCCAGTAACCAAGCTTTCATATTCTAAAGCTCAATTAGCTTTCTCCAAACAAAACAGTTGCTACAACCATTGACTTTATATCTCTACACTCTGTGTAGAGATATAAAGTCAATGCTACAACCCTACTTGCAACGTTGCCACTTCAGATTCAGATTCAGATTCAGAAACACTTTATTCAAGATTTACATTTTACAAATATAAATGCAGAATGGCGTCAATAAATACAATTAATTCTATAAAATATTATCAAAATGCTCACTAAATGAGTAGTAACATTTGCTTAATATAAATATTTTCAATTTCTTTTTAAATGTCTTAATATTATTAATTTCCATTAAATCTTTAGGCAGAGCATAAAAAAACCTAGTACCTGCAGCAGTGGGTTTTTTATTATAAAACTCTAAATTATGCCTCTGGATGGCTGGGTAGTTCCGATGCCGAGTATTATAATTATGTGACATTCCCAATTTTGGAAGTGTATGTGTATTCAGATTGCTTCGGCAAAAAACCTCAAACTTTTTAGATTAATTATAGTTTTATAAATATATAATCCATACACTGTAAGGATATTTAATTTAGCAAAATACTGTTTTGCCGATTGGTTTTCTCCCAAGTTTAACATGATACGTATGGCTCTCTTTTGTAAAATTAATATACCATCTAAATTTTGAATGGTTGTTGCACCATATAATTCAATGCCGAATGCAATATGTGAGTTTATGTGAGCATAGTAAACCTTCAGTAAAACATTCAACGAGCAGAGTTTAGACAAGTTGTGCAGCATAAATAGACCTGAACAAATTTTACTTTTTAGTTTATCAATGTGGTACAACCAAGATAAATGGTGATCAATTATTAGTCCTAAGAATTTAGTTTGAGTCACTTGAGTTAAGTAATTGTTATCAATTTTTAAATTAGGTTTTAAAGGTTTTTTTTGGGCAGTTGAAAAATTTATATAATTGGTTTTCTCTGAGTTAAGCAATAAGTTTTTGCAAGATAAATATTCATATATAGATTCAAGGCTACTATTGCCTATATATTCAATGTCATTTTTTGATCTACCAGAAACTATTAAATTTGCATCATCAGCATAGAGGCATAATTTACTTTTTAAGTTTGTTAGAGCTGAAGGCAGGCCTTTTATATAACAGAGGAATAAAATTGGACCAAGAATAGACCCCTGAGGGACTCCATATTTGACTTGTTTTAGAGATGATTTGACTTTAAGTAATTGATTGAATTCTGTAATCGTATTCAGTTCAACATATTGCTGCCTGTTTTCTAAATATGATTTAAACCAATTTAGTGAATTACCAGTAATACCAAAATGTTGTAATATTGAAATAAGTGTCTGATGCGAAACGCTATCAAAAGCTTTACTAAGGTCCATGAAAATTCCAACAGAGTTGTCACCTCTATCAATGGCATCAATAATAGCCTCAACTAGATCAATACCAGCAGTTGTTACAGATTTTCCAGACCTAAAACCATGTTGTTCTTCGTCAAATAATTGATTATTTTCCAAAAAACTTACCAATCGGGAGTACATTGCACGCTCGTAGAGCTTAGATATGGTGGGCAATATTGATAAAGGCCTGTATAATTAGATGGTACTGTTTTTTTTCCATTTTTGTGTAATGTTTTGATTCTAGAAATTTTTAGTTTATTTGGAAAAATTCCAGAAATGAAAGAAGAGTTGATAATATGTACCAAGGGTTTTAGTAATGCGTTTTTAGAAATTTTTATAATGGGCATTGGAATCTCATCGTAGCCTGAAGTGAACTTGTTATCAAAAGAAGATAATATTTGCTCGAGTTCTGGTTCATCTAAAGGTTTAATATGGAATTTTGATACATTATTTGGAATTGGCATTTGGACAAACTGTCTATGATTATTTAGTTTAGGGTTAATATATTTGTCAACAACACTTACAAAATACTCGTTAAAAACTTCACTAACATCTTTAGGATTTGTATATGATATTTTGTCTACAACTAATTTAATTTCATCGTTGTGAAAAGAATTTTCTTTAATCTCATTATTTATTATTTTCCACGTGGCTTGATAACATTGTCAGCATTTTCTATGCTACTTTCAATAAACCTCTTTTTGGTTGCTATCATATCTGTTGTATAATTTTTCTTGAGTTGTTTTAATGTCTGGTTTAGTTCCCTGTCTTTGGTTATCCTTATATGTTGGCTAAGGTCAATAATATTTTCCTTTTTCCTTTTTAATTGTGGAGTGATCCAGCTTTTAGCCTTTGAGTAAACTCTTGACTTTATTTTTGGAAAACACAAGTCAAAATAATAAGTAAAAATTTTTAAGAATACATTGTATTTATCTTCAACTGGTGCAAAATATAGTTCAGACCAAGTTTCTTGTGCCAGATAGTTATTGAAGTTGGCGATATTTTTATGAGTAAATTTCCGTTTTTCTTGTGTTAAAGGTTTAGTTTTATTTTTTACTGTGCAATCTAGGATTTCTAATAATTGAGCATCGTGATCGGATAGTTCTGTTATTATACCCGATATTGATAATTTATTTCTTGGAATTGATGTAAATATATTATCTATACTACTTTCACCATCCAGAGTTACTCTAGTAGGAAAATCTACCAAGTATTGCATATTAAATTCTTTTAAAGTGTTACAGAATATTTTATAGCCAGGAGAATTTTTTAAAACATTAATATTAATATCACCAGCCACTACTACTCTTGAGTATTTTTTGAAAATAATATCAAGTACACAATTTAATTTTTCCAGAAAAACAGTCTCAAATTGAATTCCTGGTGTTCTATATACTCCGACGAATAAAAAAGAAAATCTATACATATTTACTTCAACTAAACAGCATTCAAAGTATTTATCTGCCAATATATCCTCAACTGCAGGTATCCTTTTACTTTTTATGGCCAGACTATTCCGAGCAAGAATCATGACCCCTCCTCCAAAATATGATTTTCTACAATAATAGTTTATAGTTCTGTAATTTACAATAGATGCATGTTGGATTTCATTTTTATTTAATTTGTGTTCACTTATGACAACAAGTTCAGGTTTGATTTCTTCTAAAACAATTTCCAATGATAAAGTTCGAGAAGAGAAGTGCTGAATGTTTTGGTGTAGAATTTTAATTTTATGTGAACTTTTAACATTTAACTTTTAACTTTAACTTCGAAGGCCGCGGCCTGGAGTTATAGGTGGCCGTGGCAATAACAAAGAGAAGTAAGATTATCTTACTTCTGTACGGCTTAAAAGGTGGCTCGTCAGCTGTGTCACTGTCATTGACTACTATCTGTCAGTGTCAGTCAGTTCAGTTTCTGTTTCTGCTTTCCGCCTCTCAGCAGACGTCAATTCAATAGTCTATGTCAATGTTCATCACTTAATTTTTGAGGTTAAGTTGCATTTATTGTATTGTTTATTAAATACCTTGTAAGACAAATTAATAATCTAACTAGGCTAGTTTAAGACTATAATAATAATAACTAGAGGTCGTCTAGTCTTAGTAATGAATAACTAGGCCTTCTAGGCCTAGGCGAAATAGGCCTTCTATCCATTTAGAGTAAACCTATAAGCCTTCACTTTAGGTTAAAATATTAGAATTAAATATTGTAGGCCTAGGCTTATTTTCATCGTTTCATTGCTACAGACACAAACACTGTACCGTAGCTAAACTAAATATTAGGTAGACTTCCGTATCTGTTGTCAAAAACAACCGAATGAAAATATTGATCTATATATATATTCTTTCATTCCATATATCATTTGGTTAGTTGGGTTAACATAACCTAACCAACCAAACAATATATCGAATGAAACTATCAATATTTTCATTCGTTTGTTTTTGACAACAGATATGGAAGTCTGCCCCTAAATATAACTAACTAGGACTATAGGTCGGCCGCTTAGAAAGCGACCTCCTCATAGCATTGGTGCGAGAGAGAGATACCGAGCTGTGGGAGTAAGACAGACTATGCCCCCACTCTGCTGCCGCTCCGCCCCAGCACGGGTTGAAAACGGATATTGAAAACTATGGTTTTCAATAACTTGAGAAAAATAGGTCCTGCAAAAAATATTGTATAGCCTAAATCGCATCAATATTTGAGCATCATGAAATGTTATTATATCATTCTTTTTATTTCATACCTTGGTCTGTATTTTATAATATCAAGGAAACAATGCAAATATGTGAAAACAGGCCAACGGCACCGGCGGGAGCGATGCTGCCAACAACAAACCGGCAACAGCATGGCACTGCCGTGACGGTGTGTGTGTAAGCAGTTCCATTTGGTAAACATGGGATTCCAACTCCCACGACACCAGGGCGGCGCCGTGCCGGTGTCGTGTCGTGCAGTGTGAAACGGCCATTGGTGGAGAGAGGGAACATACCCTCCCTCGCCGTTACCTCCCCTACATGCGCTAAAAATTTTGCGCAGGTCGCTTTCCAAGTGGCCAACCTATAGTCACAATAATCACATGCAAGTCAAACAAACTTTGCTGTAAAAATTAGCTCAATTAGACTAAGTGGCAAAACTTTTGACATCTGATTAACTTATAATTGTATTATAAAACAAAAACTATTGATATAACTTATTCAACTGTATCAATCTATAAAATTAAGCTACCGATACTTGAAAGTCATAACATTTCATATTATGGTAACTAAGCTCAATCAGTTTGAATAATCAGCACACCTTTTTCAGTCAAGTTTCCAATAGGCTTAATCAGTATTTTATACCAAAATCCTACAATTTGAGGAAAAGATAAAATGATTTATTTATATGTAAGTTTAATAAATATTTATACCCATACACACACTATTTTTGTTTATTTAAGATATACATGTACAGTAATTATCTTTGTGTATGTGTTCATCCCAATCTGAACTAACAATATTTTAGACTTTAGAATGCTTACCCTGAAATAAAAAAGTAATAGGTCTCAAACCTTAAACGTTATGACTTCCTAAAAAGGAAAATGTTTAAAGGTTTTGACAATAAAATAGTAGCCTGTGCCTACTTTCGGTGAGATCCTCTGCCTAACTTAGCTTTCTTAATAAACAAGAATTAAGGATTTTGTATTTACAATCCAACTTAAGTTATTTGTTGCAGAAAATGGACATGGGGAACTATGGGTTTCCTAAATTTGATTTTCCAAACTACAATGAAGACTACTCCGAAGAATCAGACTCTGAAACATCTTTTCACTGCTCAGAGGATTCTGATTGCGATAGATTGTCCACGAGCAGTGATAACTCCAATGATACATCCATTGACAGTGGCAATGCCACCTTTGATTCTGCCATCAGTGTGCCTGAGAAAAAGTATCATTTAATTTATAAAGTCACCCTTGAAGATGTCAGTAATATAGAAATGAATTTAGATCTGTACGAGTACATATCTGTTATTTTTCTTTTGATTGATGACACAAGGTACGCCCTACAGTTAATCCGCTCTTTGATTGCTGCTGGTCCGGAGAATTTTTCAAGAGGTAAATTGTATGAATGGGCTTGCACATCGCCTACAAATTGGAAATTCAAACTGTTTGAAACTCTTGCAATAATTCAAAACAACAATAGTTTGATGAGATTAGGTTGTTGTATTCAAGACATTAACATAAAGAGGGATGCACCCGTTTATACAAACAGGTTTAAAAAAATACTTTATTCTTCTGTGTGCGATTTTTTAAAAAGAGAACCAGCTCAAGACCTTATTGATCGGGTTAGACGTGATGGTAAATTCAAAGAAGACATAACATTGGACTGTGACCCAATGTACATGGAGTTTCACATTTTATTTTGGATTTCTCAAGAATACATCAGTATCAAAAAGGAGCCGTATCTAGATAACCTGATGAAACAAATTAAGTCAGCAAATTTGTTGGACATTTACTACAATATAAATGAAGAAATAAAGAACTTTACAGATAATGAGTGTGCAAAAACATTCAAACGTATAATAGCCAATGAAGAGGAAGAAGACTGTTACAAAATCAAAGACCCCAATAACCCTGGATTGGTAGTTGTAGTTAACAACGCCAAGTTTTATAACAACATTGAAAAGAGGAAAGAATTTGAGGTTAGTATTGCAGTTCATCACAACTGATTTAATATCAACAAGTTTCAATGAGATGGTTTTGTTTATCTAGGTAATTTAATTGATTAAACGTATACAAAGAGTGAGTGGTTGGGACGCAGAATTTTTATTTGTAACCCCTCGAAAACACAGTTGTCGTGACAATTGGCGCCGTGTAAACGGTGTAGAGGCCAATAGCACTGTCTTGTCTTTTAGCAGTAGTACCCTGGTTCACTGTAAAATGCCTGGGCAAGTGTTGGCCACATGTCAACAGGTTCTCGTTCAACTTGCCTGGCCTACGACAATTCCAAAACCACGTGATGACAATTGGCAAAGACAATTGTCTCGCCAACTGGCATCGTGTAAACCCGGCTTAAGCACTAATTAAAATTAATGTTATATAAGTAGAAAATAAGCCTGACAATTTTAAGGGAATATTTTTGTTGAAATCCAGACAGTTAAATAGAAATTCGCTCAGTCTGCAGGTTCACTGCAGCTGGGGTATTTATATTTACTGTACTATTAGTCCTTATTATTCTGGTTTAGTATTAGCAATTAAGGAAATGTTGGATCAGAATTTGTGTGTTTCAGCATAAACTTCCTAAACAACCTCGTCGTGATAGGATGGGATCAGACAAGGATGTTGAAAATCTCAGTAAAACATTTAAAAGCCTCAACTACAATGTGGTTGTCATAAATGACGTTAATCATGACAAAATGGTGGATGATATCCGTGACACGGTTAGAAATGAGTTTAATGAGGTTCACCATTCGGTGCTGGTTTTGTGTGTTCTCTCTCACGGGGATAAAGGTAACTTTTGGTAGTAAATACTGACATAAGCTAAACATAGTGTTGACTAATGTAGAAGTTTTTGCTTTCAGTTTTATCTCGAGTCGGAACAAAATTGTGAAGTTAAAAAGTGAGGGTTAAAACCCCTCTTTTGGTTTGTGATAAAAGTTTTTAATCATACTTCTTGAAATGTTAAGCTAACTAAATTTAGGTTTCTTGTTTGCATAGCAAGCCATGGTGGTGATTAATACTTAGGGAAGAAGCTAAACAGTACAATATATGCATAAATGAAACAATCCTACCCTAACATGAAAAAGTCATGATAGTTAAAAAGGCATTGAAACCAATAACAATTATTGTCTTAGGTTTAGTCGTATTATGTTAGGTTAAATGTAGATTGTTGAGCACAAACCTGTTTACTACATTATCAGTTGTAGTTTTGTGTAAAAGAGTAGAAAGGAAATCCAAGAAAAGACAATCAACAAAAATCTGATAAGGCTACTCTGTGCATGATAACCTAGATTATTTTGTAAATTGTATGCCCTATATGTCTTAAGACAGTGATGGAATCTTAGAGTTCAAATCTTGAAAATGTATATACAATCTTCCAGCTAGCCAGAAGACACATAAGGGTGTGATAAGATGTAGCTGTGAAACAAATTAAGTTCTGTCACATTACTTGCAGGTCAATCGTTACTCTATTAGGAGTAAACTCTAGACTAGTTAAAATTATCAATTAATATTTGTACATATATTTTCATAGTTCAATTCGTCCACAGATGCTGATGTAAATTATTGTTTATCTGTTGAATGTACCAAATTTTAACTAAGTCAAACTGATAGAACAACTTTTAAAACATATCTTTCATGTCATAAAAAAAGTTGAATTGAATACAGCACTGAGCGTTGGTCATGTATTGAATAAAATATAGTCTACAGCTATAGTCTATATGGATTCTCTGTCTACTGTACCATCCAAAAGCCAATACTAGAGTATAAATAAATAAATAAATATATATATATATTAATAAAATTACCTACTTTTAGGTATGGTATATGGTGCAAACAGTGTACCCGTAAAAAATGAAGACATCATCAATAGCATTTCTGGATCATCACCACTCATCCATTTACTATCTGGTATTCCCAAAGTGATAATCATTCAGGCATGTCAAGGCCCAGGAGTACTATATGGTGAGTGAATTACTTCAGATAGTTTACATCATAAGCTAGGCCTTTACATGGCCTTAAACCAAATAACCAGAAAGAGTTTTTTGACCTTAATTTAAAATCGAGTCTTCTGGTGACTAAGAAATCTTCAGAAACAACAAATCACTATTACTCACCGCCGACGTTTTAGCAAGTCAAGTCGCCCTGAGGATGGCACAATACATGAAGGTTGAAACGTCGGTGAGTGATCAAATCAATCTGATTCGTCGTTTGTGACACGGTCGTCACCAGAAGACCGCAATCGACATCAGTGACTACGAGCCTATCCTGCAAGATTTTACTTTCATTGGTTGTTGCACCATGTTCCTGATGTAATCAATTTTAAAGTGTTTTAAATAGTCTATAATGTCTTTTTAAATAAGTTTGTAAGGAACTGAAGAATACAACTTTAATAGTTGCTGCTGATTTCAATGTAGATTCGAGAAACATGTAAATGTCAGTTACTAATGCACTGTTTATTAATCTTTGCATACCCTGTTCTCATATACTTTTGCATAAGAAAAATTATCAAACAAAACCACGCATCTCATAAATTGTCACTATCTGATAGTGATAACAAAAAATAAAATAAATTGACTTGTACAAATTGTCTGCTGGGTTAATCATACAGGTTTTCTGCAACATGTTTCAGTCAATCCCGAGAATGAACTGTTAGAGCCTGACAATACTGAAACTGATTGTCCATCAGTGATGACAACTGATGACAATCTAACCACTGACGGACCCAATAGTTTTGATCCAAAAGACAGATTGGTGTGTATGGCAACTATCGATGGGTTTGTTTCAATCCGCAGCAAGATAAATGGTAACTTGATGTAAATTTGTATTTATATTAACTTACTTATATACAGTAGACTCCCTCTTATCCGGACACCTTTTAACCGGACTACACTCGGCGGAAATGACATCTCTTTAACCGGACAATTTTCATCAGCACATTTGCTTAACCGGACTAGAACGGCAGGAAGTGGGCGGTACTGAAACGACTGTTCTCATGGGAAAGATTTGAGACCCGTGATCATGTGTCTAAATACAATGCTCTCCTAAATTTAAGTCGAATATCACAGTAAACGGTCCGTTTTAACGAGTTTTTGTGGACGTCGGTTTAGCCGGAAAACCCGTTGTCCGGACTAGTCTCGGTCACGAGGAGTCCGGATGAGAGGGAGTCTAATGTACTCCATTTTTTATAAACACCACCTTATTTAGTAATGGAGGTAGTGGTACTCCAAAAGTTACCCTGCCTTAGATGAAGGACTCAAATCCAGATTTATGTTTCTCACTATTTAGTAAACCTTCATTAATGACTAATTGGGACTCTGTCTAATAAAATACTGGATTATTACTGTGATTAAAGGCAGTGCTGTTATGGAACCCTTCCGATGTCGTCTGAAGACAATCAGTAAATTTGAATTCCTCAAACTTTCCATATTGTTACAATCACATTTACAGTGACAATCAAAGTGAAGTTCCTTTTCTTGCAGTCCCTACTAACGAGTGCTACTGTAAGTTTGAATTCTGTTAAATTTAAACCTGAATTCTGTTAAATTAAAACATATTAATTCTTCAATGTTATTTTCAGGTACAAAATACATTCAGGAGCTGTGTCGATGTATTGATAAGTACCACAGAAAAAAACACTTCTTAGACATTATTACTAAAGTTCATAAACATCTTAGTAGTGAGAAATGCATTGTTAAAGATGTGCATGAGACGCAACCAATCTGTATGGTTCCAGTTATGATTTCAAATCTTTGTAAATCGTTGTACTTAACTCCAAAGCATGTTCTCGGTTAGGAATTGAAGTGGTAACAGCTTGATGTGAACATTTTGTAAAATACTGAAGGTTTACACAGAACTAGACAGACAATAGGCGAACGCTTTAATGGTAAATTCTTAAAGAAATACATTAGCGTTAAATTACACTACATATTATAGAAAGTTGTTAAGCTGGCTTGTGTAGGCCTACATTGCTAGCTCATGAAGTAGTGTGCTGAAACTGTTCAAATTTTGAGGAATTTGAAAGCTTCTCTACAGCTTTCTGTGGGACCAAGGACAAATAGTACCCTGACAGCCTTCTTCTGAACCACCAGGATTTTATTTAGGTTGTTGTCATAGGTGCCACCCCAACAAATCAGCCCGCACCTTTTGGGAGATTCCACCATTGCATAGTGCCTTAGCTGATTCTATTCCTCCCATCTACATCATCCTTCTTATACTGTGTGTCTTCCAAATGAGAACTTCCTGGTTGGTTAATGAATGTGATTGTTCCATGATGATGATAGGTAGCAGTTTTGTATTTGTACATGATTTAAGTATTTTAAATAAGGCTTGAGTATACAGCTCAACGTTTTATTACATTCACATTAGATTGATGTAACATCAAAGGTCTCAAATAAGTCTCAATCTATGGGGAGGGGAGCTCAGGGGTGTCATCGCTTTCCTGATGAAAACCAAATTTAAAAATTACCGTAACACACCTTTGCGACATTAGAGAAAACTAAAATCTTAACAAAATTGATCTGCATGGTTAATGTACTAGCTAAATCCTTACACTAGTAATACACGAAGGAAAAATTGTTAAAATGTTGATAATTAATTAAGAACCTAAATATATAATAAAATGATCACTACTAGAAAAGTGTCAAACAACAACCAGCTCCAGGATTGCGTTTATATGACAAAGGTACCTCGTCAGACAATCCTTAACATGTAGCAAATGTTGATAATTAATTAAGAACCTAAATATATAATAAAATGATCACTACTAGAAAAGTGTCAAACAACCACCAGCTCCAGGATTGCGTTTATATGACAAAGGTACCTCGTCAGACAATCCTTAACATGTAGCAAATGTTGATAATTAATTAAGAACCTAAATATATAATAAAATGATCACTACTAGAAAAGTGTCAAACAACTACCAGCTCCAGGATTGCGTTTATATGACAAAGGTACCTCGTCAGACAATCCTTAACATGTAGCAAATGTTGATAATTAATTAAGAACCTAAATATATAATAAAATGATCACTACTAGAAAAGTGTCAAACAACCACCAGCTCCAGGATTGCGTTTATATGACAAAGGTACCTCGTCAGACAATCCTTGACATGTAGTAGGTACCGAATGTGCTAAATATGTTTTGGCGGTTATTTCAATAACTCCGCCATTACAATAAATATTAATGTAGCACATTCGATGCCTACTACATGTCATGGCTTGTCTGACAAGGTATGTTAAGCCATTATTTGTAGTCTACAAAACACTGTAAAAAAGAAGTTTAAGAAAAAAATGAACATATTTTTGTACTAATTTCTTTGTTAAAATGTCTATTATGTTAATAGTTCATTATAATTTATATTGTTAATAAAGTTTTTAAAAAACAATTTTATTTATTATATATATGTGAGAGTTTTATTTAAATCCTAAGAAAATCTAGTTTAATTCTATCCTATTTTGACATTTTAATTGAGTAGTCTATGTAAACAATAATTGTTGTGGCTTTCCTATGAAATAAAAATAATAGGTTGGCTTTAAAATGTAATAGTCAAATGCAAGAGTCGGCTGGACCGCTGGCCATTTTTTACCCATAACGCTAATGTTTAATGGCTGAAGCATATTACTGCATTGTTTATTAAGATAAAAAGTTGATAAATATCTCATTTTAAAGCCCTTGAAACCGTGGAGGTGATTTGCTCTCTACTTTTTCATTTTAATTGTTATTATTTTGTCAAAATACATAAATATCTATTTAATTAATACGCTACATGAAACTTTGTCTGTTGAACTCCTCCGCCATTTATTAACCGATTTTATCCATTGACGTCTCATTGGAAAGAGCGTGTCGCGTGGATTTGCAAACTGACTTTACATTTTTGAAAAAGTCCCTTGGGCTCTGCCCCAGTGGCTGTTAAAGTTCCCATGTTATCCTTATGAAGAACATATATTTGTTCACATTATGATCAGCTGGATAATTTAATTGCTGTTAATATTTTAGTTTCAATGCTACAAACAAACATTTACTGACTTGGTTGAACGTAAATAAATATATAACGTATATATATACGTTGGCGTAAATATTACAATAAAAATAAACGGTATCAGCATTCTGACACGTACTTTCTCCCATAAGTTTGTCAACAACCTTTACCATGTGTAAGCGGTGAGAGTAAATATATGGAAATGGGATTTGTACAATTTTGTTCAGAATTTAAAGGACTATAATTTAAAGGCTGGGACGGGTGGCGTCGTCCTGTAATCCAGCTACTAGGAGGTCACGGATTGTGGATATTTATAGGTATGCACTGTGGATGGGATACTCCCTGGTGTGGATTAACGTCCGCACTAGTGAGTATTACGACTATCCGCAGTACTATCCTGATAATTAGACCAATTCGTATATACCAAGGGAAAAATGTGGTTCGGATTCCACTATAAACTGTAGGTCCCTTAGTTGCCATTAGCTGTTTGGGCTATTAATTAACAGCTGTGTCTAAGGAATGTCGGCCTTAGTCACTAACAAGACTACAAGATCGCGCCACTCATCCTACACTCATCTCCATTCATACTTGGCTTAAAATACCTACATTGTATGGTCGCCATTTCATAAGAAAGTATTAAAGTAAAGTATTAAAAGTAAAGTATTAACATATTCAATTTTTATCAAAATCGTTGGGGCCAATTTTGAGAAAATACAATTTCTCCGGTTTTTATTGGTTTTGTGGGAAAATCCCCATTAAAAATCAAAATTTCAAAAAAATGAAAAAAAACGCCTGGAGATACCATGGATTAGAACCTACATACCAAATTTCATTGAAATCGGACCACAGGTGTAGTCCCTAGCTCTGTACACATCCAGACACACAGACATCACTTCGAAAACCACTTTTTTGGGTCCAGGGGGACCCAAAACGAATATATCCACTCAAAACTCAAGCTCGAAAATTTTGACGAAAACAATACTTTTTCCATATACTAGTGATGGTCCAAACCAGAAATTTCGAATCTCAAAACCGAAACCGAAACATTAAAAAATCGAATCCCGAATCTCGAATCTCAAAACCTAAACGCGAAACTTTTTTACTTAGCTGGTTACAAGGTCAAGGTTAAAAAATCATAAAATGTTAAATATGCAATCAAAACTGAAAGAGATCGACTCCTCCTGACCGTGACATAACATAAATATGTGAATGTAACTGATAATCTTAAAACCCAATACAACATAATTTTTTATAAACAACAACAAAAAATTAAATTAAACTTCTAACACCAACATAAACATGAATATTAGATTAATTAGAACATTTAGTGGTCAATATTTCTTTGTGTTAAGTAAACATTGATGTGAAACTGAATTGTACCAGTTATAGTATTTAAGATAACTTTTGAAGTTCAGAATAAAATTTACTTGTTTCATTACTGTTAATGGTGATGTTTGCTCTGTTGCTACCAGCTTATTTGGAAACAATGTTTAAAACAATAACAATGGCACAAAAAAATGTCAGCAGTTTCAAAAATAAAACTGCCAAAATCTTCAATTTCGAAACTTTTGAATCTCGAAACTTGGTGATCGAATCTCGAAACCGAAACTTTTCCTAAGTTTTGATGGTTTTGAGATTTGAGATTCGGTTTTGACACATCACTACCATATACTATGGTATAGGGTGAGAAAGTAAGAAGCGATGGACAATGATATATTAAAAAGAACGAAATTAAAACTGTGCTGCATTTCTTGAGCAATCATTGAATGAGCCAATTTGCAAACTATGGAAACATAGGAAAGAAATAGAACCCCACCAAGTAGAAGAATAGTTATTTGTGCAACTAGTGAGCAAAGTGAGCAATTGCACTTTGCACTCGAGTTGCACATTATATTTTTCCTACAGTTACCATAAAACAAATAAATTGGTAAAAAAACGTAACATATTTTTACACAGAAGTGAACTTTTACACCGTTTCATGCCTTCACGTTGCAAATCTGGAGTGAGTGAGACAAAGTAATTAGAGTGAGGCAATGTTAACATTGTCTCACTGATGAGCAAATTTGCCATTTTGCTTTCTCAAATCAGTGAGAGAACATGTACATTGTTAGGTAACTGTAGGAAAATAACGTTTTTTAAAAATTTATAATCATTATGGACAACTTAAGGCGGCTATGAGTGGGAAACATTTGTAGACAACAATAAAAAACAAGATCAGCTTTTAAAAAATGATGAGATATACAAGAAATGTTTGTTATATCGAACTGTTATGTACATCGTAAGTATTAAAATAATCTTTGAGTCAACTCTTCTGAAAGTCTCATCTGAAATTATGACGGTTATTCATTTTTAAATAACGCCTGCAATACTTTGCAATTGCTCGAATTCGAGCAACAGGTACACTAGTAGTAAATTATTTTAAGAAGTAGCGGTAGTTTATTTAAGATAAGAAGTAGATTTTTGTACACAGTAGGCTACAGTACTAGATTTTAAGATGCCAGTAATTAAAACATGTAAGGACGACTGTTGTAGATCAGTTTGAATCAAAATAGCCTTTAAATTCCAACCATTGACAAACAAAAAAGACTTTTATCAAAATGGTCTTTACCCTTTTAAGTTTATCAGGGGTTTACTGTACTTTCATCATGGTGGACATGTGGCATTATTTATACAATGAAATTTTTACATTCATTAATTTTAACCTGCAATATTCAAATACCCCCCGCCGCAGCAAACCTGCAGACTAAGCGAATTTCCATTTGCCTGATTGGATTTACACTAAAATGCCTCCTTAAAAATATCACATTTATTCCATATTTAAAAAACATAAGTTGTCTAACGAGTTCTTAGGTTTGCTGCAACAGGGAGGGTAAAAAGGTGTTTTTTGTAAAATGTTAATAGCTTAGCATAAAATGAATGCATTTTCCAAATTTGATCAAAATATGATCATAAACAAGCAAACTACAACAGTTTACTTATTCTCCATAAGAATAACTTGGGAATTTTAAATTTACAGTTTTTTGGAATTTTCTCCGTAACCATTAGGCGCATTATAACGCTTCAATATACTAAATTATTTGTATTTTTAAGCTCTACAAAATGGTTTGGAAAGAAAATTTTAAGTTTTAAGGGTCAAAAATGGGAAAAATTAATTTTTGCCCCATAAACCCCTGTTCCCATAGTCCGATCATGCTGGTTTGCGAACTCGTTTGAATAAACGTAGGTTTACACGTACCAAATTTCATCAAAATCGGGTGTTTTTTGCTCGAGTTATCGCGCTAACGGACACATATATAAATATATATGAATTTGAACGGATGGTGTTTTTGGTCTCTAGGGACCTCAAAACGAAAAAGTAAATCGGTCCCGGGTCCAGGTCTTACCATGAGTACTACGGTAATAGCTTATTCCCTATAGGGGAAATTCGCTAAAAGCATAAAAAATAATAGGCCTATATTTAGTCGAATTTGCTTAGCGTACTGCAAGTAGGGAGCAGAAAGTTGTAGATAAGACTTGTAACTAGAGACTAGGGCATATTGAGAGTCAACTGTAAAAAAAATTTCAAAGGTTTTCACCCTACATGAGATGAGTCCTGAACAGTTGATGTTTATTCGAAAAGCTCAGAGTACTTGGTAAATCAAATACTTTTTTTTGTCCTTGGACGCTAGGCACGAGCCTGGGATTGTTTTAGTGAATTTCCCATATAGGGAATAAGCTATTACCGTAGTACTCATAGTAAGACCTGGACCCGGGACTGATTTTTTTCTGTTTTGAGGCCCCTAGAGGCCAAAAACACCATCCGTTCAAATTCATATATATATATGTGTGTGTCCGTTACCACGATAACTCAAGCAAAATAGTAAAAAATAACGTGTAAACCTATATTTATTCGAACGAGTTCGCGAACCAGCATGATCGGACTATGGGAACAGGGGTTCCCAGTTTTGTGGGGTAAAAATGGGGTTTTCTCATTTTTCACCCTGAAAAAATTTTGCAATTTCTTTTCAAACCATTTTGTATAGCTCAAAAAAACAAATAATTTAGTATATTGAAGCATTGTTGTATGGTCAAACAGTTACGGAAAAAATCCCTAAAAAGTGTAAATTTAAAATTACCATGTTATTCTTATGGGGAATAAATAAAAAGCTTGCTGTCTGAAATTTTGTTTGCTTCATACTAAGCTATCAATATTTCAATATACCCCCGCCGCAGCAAACCTGCCGACTAAGCGAATTTCCATTTGTCTGAATTGATTTTCAGTTAAATATATTTTAATAACATTAGGTTTAACGAGTACCTAGGTTTGCTGCTACAATGAAACTAATAAAGTGTGTTTTTGAGTAAAATATTGATAGCTTAGTACAAAATAAATAAATTTGCCAAGTTTGATCAAAATATATTCATAAACAAGCAAACTACAACATTTGACAATATTCTCCATAAGAATAACATGGGAATTTTAAACTTACAATTTTTTTAATTTTCTCCGTTACTAATATTCGAACAAAAATACTTTTATATACTAAATTATTTGTTTTTTTAAGCTCTTTAAAAAGGTCTAAAGAGAAATTGGGAAATTTTGTGTTTTGAGGGTCAAAAGTGAGAAAAACCAATTTTTACCCCATAAAACCCCCCGTAAAGCCCCGTTCCCATGGTCCGATCGTGCTGGTTCGCGAACTCATTCAAGTTTATCCCGCTTTACACCTTTAAACCAAATTTCATCAAAATCGGACAAAAATTACTCAAGTTATCGCGTTCACGGACGTATATATATATATATATATATATAAAAATTTGAACGAATAGTGTTTTTGGCCTCTGGGGACATCAAAATGAAAAAGAAATTCGGTCCCGGGTCTAGGTCTCACCGTGCCACCTACGGTAATAGCTACTTCCCTATAGGGAAATTCGCTAAAAAACCCCTATTTTCTTTCCTGTAGCAGCAAACCTAAGTACTCATCAAAATTAATGATATTTAAATCTATAAGTATAAAAGAGGATGTTTGTATATATATATTTGTTTGTTTGTTTGTTTGGGGGTGATAAACTCGGACACCGCTGAACCGATTGCCACGAAACTTGGTACATACGTGTAGAATGTCATGGAATAGGTTTATACACCATCAATTTCGTGATCCGTCCAATAGGCTCCGCCCCAGTGGCTCTGGAGTTTCCCATGTTAACCTTATGAGAAATGGAATTAATGAATCTTAACAGCTGTTTCAATTAAACAAGTTGGTTCTGTTCTATGATGTTCAATAGCATTAAAGTTACAAGGATTACCAACAGGGTGCAGCACTATTATTTCTTTTACATATTTATGACAACAGCTAATTTGCAACCAAAAAGGTGAGTGAGCGTAGCGAACGAGCTAACCTGAAGGCAAGTGAGCATAGCGAACGAGCTAACCTGAAGGCAAGTGAGCGCAGCGAACGAGCTCCAACCTAAAGGTGAGTGAGCGTAGCGAACGAACTTCAACCAGGACGTGATTGAGCCATGCGAACGAGATCATCTTGAAAATTAAGAAGTTAAACGGGGCAAAGCCCGCGGGTTACAGCTAGTAGGAAATAAATCTGACAATTTTAAGAGAATAATTTAGTGGAATTTCAGCCAGTCCGATGGAAATTTGCTAAGTCTGCAGGTTTGCTGCGGCGGGAGTATATTTTTGGTCCTTGGACACTAGGCACGAGCCTGGGATTGTTTTTTACAATACTTCAGGCTAGACCTAGGGGTTGCGGCATTTTCAATGAGATCAAATGCATTGGTGGGATTTTAACTCGAGACCTCTCGGACTAAAGTCCCGCACTCTAACAACTAGACCAGATCGCTCCCCAAGTGAAATACATGGTGAACAAACAATACAACACATTTTGTTTTAATTCTTTATATAGGAAGAACAGATAGGTTTTAATTTAGTACCCATCTCAAGATGAACTTGAGCTAACCAAGTATAAGTGAGATATGTCCTAACTGATCAACATTTCCAGCACAAGTATTTAATATTTAACTTGTTCAATTAGTTATTTTCCATTGCTCGGAAATACAATCAAATCATTATTCTAGTTTTCAAAACTATACTTCAAACAAGTACACATGGTGATAACAAGTAAATAGTTCATGGGGAATTACTGAAAGTATGGTTTTGTTTTTATAACTTGATACTAGCTTTACCTTATCAATATGCAAGATCTGAGTTCCATTGTAAACGTGCTACGTATTATGTATTAAATCTTGGCACTCGTTTGAGAATAAAATTAGTTTCAATATTTGGCTGTGTATATTCTGAAGTAATTGAAACAGTAACTAAGCTTGCAAAGGGGAAAAAATCTGTACTTTTAATTATACACTTGAATTTCTAACAGGATATGCAAAATGTAAAAGGCAATTTTTTTAATAGTTTAACAGACTTCATAGATTGTGAAAGTTATTCTACATAAATATTGTTCTTTGTCTTTCTCTGCCATTGAACATACAAATTACAATCATTATTAATTGACCAAGCTATAGGGTGTACACACTACACAGCCCTTCACTAAACCATTCAAACTATAACAACACATTTTTTAAAGCCAATAGTTATTAGTACAGAATAACAATCAGTACCGGTATTAAAATAAACTTAAATTTACACTTAAAATCGGGACCATGTAAGTTTGCAGTTGAGGGAGGACCCTATTTACCATATGGTTTTGAATGAACCAATAAGAACCGTGCGGTGTTGCCAAATCTAATAATACCAGCTGATTTGAAAATATTGCTTGGTATATTTTAATTAGTGTTGTCAACAGGCGATTTGGCAACATCGCACTAGCCTTGTCTTGTGATTGGCTGCCACCAACTGCAAACTTATGTGGTCCCGACTATAAATACCCTCAATGTATAAAAGAAACCAACTATTGGTTCTTAATTAGTCTGTTAATACTTAACCAAACAACTGTAAGATACATAATGTATAACATAGTATTTAGTGATGTCAATGTCTTGTAAAATCAAGAAATCAATTTTGTTTTAAATATTAACTACATCTTTAAATGAACTTATATAATAAATATGTACAAAAATTAATTTAACTAAAATAGGTATGTACAGTTTAAAATTAAATGTAAACAATCTATAAAAATATATTCAAATTAAAGCACCACAAATGAAAGCAACACAAAAATAGGGTTAAATACATTGAACATAGCTTAATATAATAAATACTTAAAGACAACGTTAATATAAAAACAAAACAAAAACTACTACATTTGTTACAGTCTATAAATTCAAAAGTACACAAATTATCACACATTTTTGATATTTAAGTACATCATTGTTTTACATATTATAATATTATTAATTTCATTTCATAAAATTTGTTCACGATTTTAAGCATTTACTGTAAGTCCCTGACCATGAGTACAAAAAGGAAAACAATTTCAGCACAATCTCAAAATGTGCAAACAAGTTTTTTGTCAGTTGTAATAATATTCTTGATATACAAAATCTTCATTCTTCGTCAATACAACCATTAGGGAAATGTATACAAAGTTTCATCCAATGATTGACTTTGATCCCGACTGTCGACAGTTTCTAAGTTTGAGGAATATCTTGGAGACCAGCTTAAAGTATTCCCTATACCTCTCAAGACAGTGTTTGCTGATAACCTATTAATGAAGCTAAATTACCCAAATTGCAGTACCTTTTAGGTGGATTTCAATCTCGGAGCAAGAAGCATATCATTTTATTGACAACCAGGTAGCTCTAAGATTTGGGAACTGATGACTGATCGGAAAGAAAATATTAAAAGTTTGGAACAGTGATGAGGATTTAGAAGCTGTAAAAATTGAACTTAAGAGTCAGCAGGACGCTGGCCATCTTGGATTTTCTGCCCATAACGGCAATGTTAATGGTTGAAGCATATTACGGCATTGTTTATTAACATAAAAAGTTGAAAAATATCTCATTTAACAGCTATTGAAACCGCAAATGTGATTTGCTACCCACTTTGGAATTTTAATTGTTATAATTTTGTCAAACTACATAAATATATTGACTTAAACTGGGATTTTTCAACCTCTAAAACAAAAGTTATAAAAATCCAAAAAGCAATTCACACATAAAATATATTTAAGAATCACATATAATTTTCTGCTCGGTAATCAAGCTTACGGTGCATGATTAATATGCTTCAACGTAAACACATGTTTTTGCTGATCGGTGCTAGGACAACCACCGTTTAGCCTGGCATCTGAAGTTTAACAACAATGCAAAATGATTGACTCCTGCCGACTCTTAAGATTAGTTCTTCAAATTTGTCTCCAAGCTCAGAGCTGCTCAGCACCCTGAAGATTTATTCTCAGAAAGAGATATACTGGTAATTACAAATTGAGCATATGTAATCAAAGGGATGCTTAAAAACAAATATGAGACTGACGTTATCTGAGGTACCTGTCCACCCAATTACCTTTGATTTCAAGGTTCTACTGTACACATTAATTAGGCTAGGCAGCATCATTGAAAACCACACAAAGTTGATGTACAGAGGGTTGCAGTGAAGGAAGAACCAGACTGGATCCACCAGAAGTAAAATATCTTCAGTTTAAAAACTGGCCTGAAACAAAATCATCAGTGATTTAAGTGATGCCATTCAGTAAAAAAAGGTCAGGATTTTTTTGAAAATGTTAAACATAACGGAAGAGTATTTAAGAGGGAATACTGAATGTTTTTTGTAAAGTGATCTAAGCCCCTAACATTTTTCTGGATGTGTAAAGGATTGTACCCCTCTCTCCTACATCAAAGGCTAAGACAATAACCGATACACTAGCAAAACACCGACAACTTATAATTAAAACTTCTATATCACCAGAGGGAGCATGAACACAATTTAAATAAACAAAATACAACATATAAATTGTAGGATTGGTGAAATACCTTCTGTAGTTTGTTTACTAAGTTAGACTACCTGTTTCAAGGACCTTTTTGGTCCAATTCCAATGGCAATAGGCTTCAGTCCACCCACCGAAAATCTTTTCCCAGTACCAAACAGAAAATTTCTTATTAGTAGGTGAGCTTTATACTACTCTGCTAATAATTAAACACTATGTAAATCTTAATTTTTTTTTTCAAAAATACTATATAAAAAACTCTTTGCCATTTCAAAGTTGTGAATTTATGCATTTTTTAACTTTAAATAATACCTTCATGAATTTGGTATAGTATTTAAGATAGAATTAAACTAATTAATACAAAAATCCAAAAATTTTCCCAATAGGCCTATATGGTTATTTAAATTTTTATAACTTTATTACTTCACACTTTTATATAGGTATCATTTAAAATCTCCTATCAAACGACATCAAGTTAAGAAATATCAAACCTAATAGCTGAAAAATCTCAATTTTTGGTTATAGGGCTAAGCGTATCCTGATAGCTTGACCATATCCATAAAGTTGTTGTACTGATTTACAGGAACTACAATTAATTATACAAATATAGTCTACAGTAACTAAGCATACCCCACCAGAAGCTGTGGAATATTTTAAAATACTGAGGGCAGATGATTTGAGTTCCAGAGAGGAATCTATGGGGAAGTTTATTATCTAGAGCCCCTTATAGTCTCCAATTTTCCCATTCTCATGCAAGCTATCTGAACTCTCATTTTCCCAAACTTCTACATAAAATTGTTGTAATAAATTGTGGTCGATTTAAAACAAAAAAAAAGGATTCATTCACTTGACTCACTTCAGTCTAGGAGTTGCACGTAGTTGGCGGGGAACAGGCCGTAGCTGCCGTCAGGGGCCATACCTTGCCACCAGCCTGCGTCTATCTGGTCTATCCTGGTGATTATATCTCCAGGATCAAACGAAATCTCTGTCTCATCGGCTGCCAATAAAAATGAAACTTTAAACACTTCAAATTTAAACACTAGTACACAAATAATCAAAGCATATCTGTAATTTTTCAATAGTTGGATGATCAAAGTGACTTAACCAAAAAGTACGGTACACTTTGGATTCCGTCCTATTTCTCGCACCTCATGAAATTGTATTTAATTGTTAACATATAATTATTGAGGAGTAAGACTTCTGGGATCACTGTGAAATCCAGAATATCTTCCTTTAGTCACGGAAACATCATCTTCGTTGTCGAGGCAAAATCCTGAATACTGTATCAACAGAATCGCCATCATCGTCTCTAACGGTCATGGAAAAGTTATCAACAACTCCCACTATTTATTTCCCAATATTTCCCACGGTGATGTGGACATTACAAAAACATGATCTTCAAATAGCGCTATCGCGGCGAAATCATGAACATCTCCCGTGGCTGTCTAAACATCATAATTAACTTCCTTGGTCACAAAAACATCATCGTCGTCTTGCATGAATGCGGGAAATTCACTAACATTTCTCAGCCGTGTAGACAAAATATCATCGTATTCCGTGATAGTGGCAAAATTCTGTTCATCTCTCTTGCGATCGCTGCAAATTCATGAAATTCAGCCACGGGTGTCTAAACAGCATCATCGTCTCCCACAGCCACAGTCACGAAAACGTGATTGTTGTCTAGTGCAATTGCGGCTGTGTATACACCATCATCGCCTCCCACGGTTATGGAAAGGTGATCATCGTCTTGCGCGATCGCGACAAAAACATGAATATGGTTATGAACATGGTCCATAAAATTCCCGACTGTGACAACAAAATAAAGACTAATTCCTGACTTTTTAAGACCATTTTGAAACTGATTCCTGACTTTTCCATTTTCTCCCGACTACTAGACACCCCGACTTCAATATCCAATAGTCAAAGATTATACTGATTTGATATGTATTTAGATGCAATATGTTTTGCCAAAACAGCTGGACTAGGTATGTCACACCACAATGTTAAGAAGTTAAAAATTCCAGGACATGCTTCAATACACATTTTTTTTTGCACTTGGCTAAGGAATATATTTAGGAAGAAGGAATGGATTCACAACTTAGGGTAATCAAGTTTTTCCTAAAATTATTTTCTCCTGAAGGGCCTTCCTTGTAGGGCAGAAACATAAAGATTATTATGCTGAATACATATTGTATGCTATCAAGTGCCTAGAACCTTTTTCTTGAGTGAGTTTATATACCAGTTCCTTCGTCCTCATAATTAATTTTTTGACCAAATGCTTATTCTTTCAAAACATATTTAAGTTGGTAATTTACCTGCTTGATAGTCATACAAGGCTTGAGCTCTCAGTCCTTCGTCTTCATAGTCTTCTAAACTTGCTCCATTGTTCAAGTAAGCATCGTCCAAATAAGGTTGGGCTCTTTCCAATGCTAAAAACACATTACATAAGGTTCTTTAATTGAACAGTTAGTAAAAGGATTTAGTACCATTACAGAAATTATATTGAGATGTCAATAAATGTTGGAAAAAAGACTACACGGTTATTTACACACTGCTATCTGCAGTTAAGGAAATTTTCATGTTAAAAACAAAACATTAAGTTTAAACTTTTCTGAATGAGAGATTAATTCAAAGCAGATTTACGTTATTAAAATTATCAAAAATAACAAAATTTGATTCTTTCCAATCAGCTGTTGATACAGTAAATACTTACAAGTCTGGTGCGTTCATGACTTACAGATAATGCTGGATATATGTGCCATTTGAAATTAAAATGTATGGAGTAGAGAGCTGTCTGGCTGTGTCTGATGATGTCATTGCATACCCAACAGCAGCACCACACTATATTTTTTTAGGAAAAAAGCAACTGCACATTTTTTTCCAAGAAACCAATGACAGCAAACCGCGTCTTAACAAGTGTTAGGTCCCTGGTAACTTATTGGGTGTGCAACGACGACAATATGTTCACCTCGCTCAATCTGCACACCTCCTTTACTGCGTGTATCTTAATCTAAAATAGCCGTTATTACAAAGATAGCAGGAATACCACTAAAATAAAAGTCATGAGGGCAACAAATATCAGGCCATTCTCTGTGTTCAACTGTGCAACAACAAAACAAAAATACTAGGCCTACATGTGTTTTTATGAAGTATTAAATTTTGACACAGATTGTGAATACAGTAATTAACAAAGCGACATTGTACAGTAGCAATTAAAGATTTAAATTTATTACAGTTCTTATAAGGCTTATCATTCCAGACCACTTACCATCAGCTGTATGAGATGAAAGCACTTCATTACCGTTTAAAGTACCATTGCTGTCTTGAATAACACCATTCTTTTGTTCAACCAGAACGTTTTGTTGTGATGTTACAATATCTTCTGTAGTTTCTGGTTGCTTTTCAGTGTTCAAGACCTACCAACACCGATAAAAATTTTAAATCAAATAAACTACGAGTGATAGGTAAGTAATATTTTACATACATGTAGCAACATTTTCAGTTTTAAGCTGGGTTTTACTAGACGCGGAAGCAGAGAGGGAAATAGGGAGAGCAGACTCCTCTTGTCTTAGGTAATTTAATGTTACTGTTTTCCTAAAAGCGGAGCGGAACGCCATGTTAACAACGAGCACATAATATGTTTATCGCTTTCCCTGTTCCTCTCTCCGCGCTCCGCTTCCGCGTCTAGGAAAACCCAGTTTAACCCATTCGTCTACTTTGATGAGTCCTTCTCGCTGCTGCCACCAAGCGCCCTAAAATACATTGGCCTCGCCGCTCGCTCACGTCATAGTAGTTTGCGGTTTACTCAACAGATAGCAGCACAATACAGACTAAAATTTGTTTCCGACTTATTGAATAGGTTGGGAATATATTTATTTGGTTTTTCGGGTAGCAATACTGTTGTTTGGTAAAAATAACTTGCATTTTGGTCTGCTGCTGTTTCGATGTCAACAGTGTGTTTATAATGGCGGGCCGACATGTGCAAAATAGTGAAATTGATTGCATAATTGACGGAGAAGGTTTTTTATTGAGTGACAGTGAAAATAGTATTGACTATTATAATGAATACACAGAAAATCCGTGGCTCAGGAAAGTGACAATGGAAGTTATGAAGACCAAGAAGAGAAAATGGAGGATGAAGTTGAGGCTGCATTTGACCCGGCTATCGTAGGTTTAATTGATCCAAAATGATTGTTTCAGTGATATGGAAACTGAGGTAGGCTTAGTTGATCCACAATATGATTGTGTTTGAGATTGATTGAATAATACAGAAACTAGAGTTTATAGTTATATAAGATATAACTATATGACTCTATATCTTATGACCCAATATTCAAACTGCAATGTGTGTATTTGAAACCAAATTTCCTGCATCATTTTTATTTTCATATGTCTTAAAACCAGTGTTGGGAAGTAGCGCGCTACAAGTAGCGACGCTACAGTAGCGCGCTACTTTTTTTGTAGCGTTAGCTGTAGCTAAGCTACTTTTAAGATTTTGTAGCTTTAGCTGTAGCTAGCTACATTTTTAAAGTAGTTGTAGCGGAATTTTAGCTACTTTTCTCGCTACATTAACATTGTTTGAGATAGTGATTTTTACCATAACCTCAACCTTACGTGAAACAACCTCTTTCAAACTGAGATTTTCAAAACAATTAGGCCTACTTTCTTGGCTTCATACTACAGCTGGTTGCAGCCGTTTCATTCCCTATTACAACGTTGTGTGGACATGGAGGCTATTAAATGAGTGTTATCCACATTTTTGGCTCTCATTTCCTTAATTTACTACTCTATGATTACTGTCAGATAAAATAAAATCGCTAGTTGCAGACGACGTTTAAACGTTACCGGTGACAAGAGAAGCTATTGAATGCTTGCAAGTGATTAAGATATCTATCTACAGGGAAATTAGTAATCAATTTAGTTTCTTTATTATATTGATAGTGTTTCAACTTGGGTTTTAATGGAAACCAACACTAAACTTTAAAACAATGAGAAAGCTGGTCTAGCTTCAGCTGTTGATTGTGGTTAATCACCACAAGCCCTTCCTTGGTTAGATTACGAAGATTTTTCAAAGGCTTACTAAAGTAACAAAGAGGAAATTACCTGATTAGATTTAAGATATGCCTAGACTACATAATTGTAACTTAACGAAAAAATTTCCATATAACATGAAACTTAGATTGAAAAAATAGCAAAGTTTACTCCTGCTAACAGCTCTTGTATAGGACTATTCCTAGGCTATGCTATGATTTAAGACGAATACCAAGTTCCAAGTTCAATTATTAGGAATATATCTGTTTAGTCCTTGAAAGAACAAGCCTACTATAGCCAACTTGTTAGATAGCCAAGTAGGCCTACATGTTATTTTTACTTTACAAATTTCAACATGTTTAAATCAAAAGCCGATTTCAGAATAAGTTGCTGAATACTCTTTTCTGTACCAACTAGGTTGAAGCACAATTTGCCCTGTGCATAATGACAATAAAGGACGATTTCTTGACATTGAAAAGTGTTATTCATAGAACAAGTAACTTATCTCTATGGTTAAAAGTTATAGCAATGTCGTTTTTAACATTAAAAAAGGCAATAAACTCCAATTTTAGTAAGCTAGGCTCTGTAACACAAAATTTATTTTTAAATAATAGTTTTACAGGTCTTAATTGTTGATATAACACATCTATAAATGAATCTATATTAAAGAAATAAAATGAGCTAATTACTCCTCCGAAACTACTGAACCGATTGACATGTTTTTGGTGTCATTGGAAAGAGCGTAACGTGAAGTTGTGCAGGAAACTTTCTTTTTAGGTAAATAATTAGAGAGTGAGGCCCTGGGGCCCTTTAAAGTTTCGCATTTCTCCATAAGATTAACATGGGAAACAAACATTGTTTTGAAACTCCAGCTGTTGTCAGAAATTAAATATTACATTTGCTTTGACATTTAAATGTAAACAACCAGAACTGTCAAATGCCTGAAGAAGAACACATGTTGTTAATTGTAAACAGTCAATGTGTAAATTATCTATGTTGTATTAAAAATGTGTATAGTTTTGGATGTTGGTTTGTGTTTAATGATATAAGTTATTAATTATTGAATTTTTATTTTAAGGATTTGGCATATGAGTATGTCTATGATAAATAACTCCATTTCAGAGTTCTGCCAGTTTTTGCCTAACTCTGTTCTGTAGAGTTTAAAGTAGCCTACACCCTACACCTACAAATTGGCTAAATAACTTAGGTATGTAGGCCTACGGTACATTACAAAAGCTGACAGCCTTTTTACTTTGACTTAAATTGTAAGCTTACCTTTTCCCGTCCATGAACAGTGTGATAGTTAAACATTAACCCTTTAAACTGGAATAGGACTGTTATGTAAATTGTGAGTAATTTTATCAGTTAATAATCTTTTAGTTCACTCTTTTAAATTCATCGGAAATTTGTTATTAGTTTTTAAACATGTCATTTGTTTATTTGTGACTCCTCAACTCATGTACTTATTTGAAATTGCTCGATTTCGAGCAACATGTACACTAGTAAGTACTAAATATGATGGGGGACTGGGACACCCAAACTATTTGGTTCTGTTGTTGTAATTTTAGGTTTATAATGCCAACAAATTAAATACAATCTAGGAATAATTTGTTTTCCAAGTAAGGTTAGATACAATACTGACATTTTATGTTTCAACGTTTGTTCAACAAAAATGTAGTTGCAATTAATTTTACATTTTAATGTGCGTGGAATAAAAAGTAACGTCTTTGGAAAAGTAGCTAAAATTGTAGCTATAGCTACATTTCATTGTAGCTGTAGTTTTAGCTAGCTACTTTTTAGGAACTGTAGCTGTAGCTGTAGCTAAGCTACTTTTTTAGAAATGTAGCAGTAGTTGTAGCTAGCTACATTTTAAAAGTAGCTTCCCCAACACTGCTTAAAACATTATTTTTAACATTGAACATCATTTTACTGGGAACCTGCTTTTGACTTAGTTGTCTACCAATCAAAGTCATGTGAAACTACGGCCAATATCACTGAATCATTACAGTGAAGGGATGCAATGCAAGGGGTTTTAATATTTGTCGATACATATCATCAAACAATGACAAATAGTGAATTTGTCTGTCTGATCGCAGCATCATAGCAAAAACTGTCATATTTCATTAAACAACACCAGTTTTGATGACCAGGCTATAAAATCTAATATACGATATTGTGAGACCATTTTAAAAAAATTATGAACAAAGACACCACACGGAGGGCAAATATTTAATTTTAGCTGTAAAACTTAAACATTTCTATGACAAATTAGTAACGGGTGTTTTATTTGTGCACTTCTTAACAGAAAAATTATATTTGTAATGCAGCTTACACTGGGTGGCTCGGGCTGGGGAGGACTGCTAGGCTCGGGCTCTGGGTGGTCTGTAGGCGGCCATCTCACCTTCTCCTTGACTGGGGAGACTACTGGAAGTAACAATACTATGAGGTTACAATATTACAGCTGTTTAATTCATGGAATTAATTCATTGGTTGTGGAAACAAACCATACAGTTGAATGGAAATCCAGTAAATATTTTTTGCAACGTCAAATTGGATGGGAAACCCTATAAGATAGAGTTGCTATGAAAGGCTATTGAAGATGAGCCAGGTTTAGGACCATCAGTGGAAGATATGTATGCCTAACGTTTAAAAGTCGAACATTTATTTTAAGAGCATGAGGGCCTTGGAGATAGCCCAATGAGGTAGATTGCTTATCAACTGTAAGCAGCATGCATGTTTCTACCCCTGTTCCTGTACTCAGAAATTAAGTACAGTATTCAGGAAGGATTTAAATTTCTAATTTTTTTATACCTGAAGAGTTGGAAGAAGGTTGATAGGAAGCTCTTCTTTGTATCATTTGACCAGCTGATGTGTTTTGTTCAAAAACTGCTCTAGCATTGATGGTCCTCTTGGATATCAAAGCTTGGGCCTCCTAGAAGTAAAGAAAATTATGTTTAATGTTTTTTTTTAGCCTATGCAAATTAGCTAATTCTTTGAAACATTTTAAAAATTTGTTTTTGTTGAACAAGGTTTACAAAACTGTGATTATTAACATTTACATACATGTCAATCAATACATCGTACCTTAAGTACAGTAGACTCCCTCTTATCCGGACTCCTCGGGACCAAAGCCAGTCCGGATACCGGTTCTTCTGGTTAAACTGATGGCCCCAAAAACTCATTAAAACAGACTGTTTTTAAATGCATACTACATACAGTATTTGACTTAAATTTAGGAGAGCATTGTAGACACATGATCACTGGTCTCAAATCTTTACCACGAGAACAGTCGTTTCAGTACCGCCCACTTCCTGCTAATCTAGTCCGGTTAAACCGATGTGCTGATAAAAATTGCCCGGTTAAAGAGATGCCATTTCCGGCGGTGTAGTCCGGTTAAACCGATGTCCAATTTAAGGGTGTCCAGATAAGAGGAAGTCTACTGCACAATAAAAACCCCTTCAGCATTGTTTTTCCACTAAAATCTTTACTTAACAATTTTAAGGTCAAGGGGGGAGGGGGTTAAACCCCTATAACCCCCATATTTAAACAGAAACCAATATGTGATAAACCCATCCAAATAGTAACACATCTCGACTGTCCTGAGACAAATAACTTGTAATGATAAACACCTCAGATTAATAAGGTTTTAATCAACTAAAACTGTACTACAACAAGTATCCTAACATTTTGTGTTTTGACTAAAATGTAAACAAAGATTAAATCATATGTTTTACAATACAATAGTTTTGAACAAATTAAACAAGGAACAGAAGGAAGGCAAAATATTATGACATTCTTCCCGGCTTCATTTTGACAAATCAGACGGTGTAGAAGTCAGGTGGTCTGCGTTCTTGACAAGGTCGCCGCTTTTGAGCCGTTTGTATACTTCCATTTGGTTGAGAGGTTGATTGATTTGATGGATCATCAGGTTCTTGAACTTGATCAATGTCTGTTTCATGATCTATGGACGATCCGTTATTCTTCCCGTAAGGAGCCAGGTGCCTCAAGGAAACGGTTGATTCTCTGCCATCTCTTGAACGGATTCTGGCGTATTGAGGACCGGCATTGACTAGATCCACAACTTCTACTGCAGGTGAATACTTGCTGGCATGGTTGAACTTCTTCAGCAATACAGGTCCTGGTGCTGAGAGCCACATGGGTAAGGATTGGCCATAAAAGGATTTCCTCATGTGGTTGAACATCCTCTCATGTGGAGTAGCGTTTGTGGCAGTACAAAGCAAACTGTGTATGGAGTGCAGCGCCTCTTCTAACACTTGGTATTTGATGAAACGCTGAGCTCAGATCTATGGTGCTATAAAATTTGTACTTAGCCACCTCGTTGACAATTGTTTCAATTTTTGGCAAAGGATATGCGTCTAGCTCAGTGAATCTATTGATAGTTTGGGAGTAATCAATTACCATCCTCTTCTTCTTGGATTCTCCCTTAACAACCAGAACTTGTGCTCTCCAAGGTGATTGACTCTCTTCTATGATACCCTCTTGTTGCATTCTATTAACTTCCGATTTTATGAACTCACTATCTTCAGGTGAAAACTGTCTCGACTTAATTGCGATAGGTTTAGAGTTGGGAGTTAAATTCGTGAACAACTGAATCTGTTCAATTCCAGCTTGAGCAAGGCCACATATCTTGAGAGGAGCACTGTTTCCACCAAATGTCATTTCAAGACTTGAGTGATTTCGTAAGATATCGTGGCCAATAATAACGTCAGCACACAGATTTTTCATGACATACAATTTTGCGTCCTCATAAACATGACCTGAAAGTTCTAACTTTGCCAGACAGACCTCATTTATTTCAGAATCAAGTGATGTGGACGCCATCGCTACACTAAGTTTTCCAGGACGACATGGCAAGTTGTGATGTTGAACAAACTGTTTGCTGACAAAACTCTCAGAACTTCGTGTATCAATCAAAGCATCAGCCAGAGTAGAGTTTACCTTTACTGATACTGTAGCTTTAGATAAGACCGGAGGGGATGAAGCAGAAACACTTTTTGAATTATTATTTGACCGTGCACAAATACTAGCGGAATTTTCCCCCAAGGGTTTAGGTCTATCTACATTCTCTTTCTTTGATCTACAGACGTGGCTGAAATGGCCAATTTTATTGCAATTATAGCATTTGAAGTTTTTTGCAGGACAAACATTACAATTATGTCTGTTTTCTCCACAGAAATAACACTTCTGAGACGGTACTGCAGCTGAAAACAAAGTATTGTCCCCCAAATTTGCTTCGTTAGGTGATTGGCTTGAGTTCGCACTATTGCTCTCTGCGCGATTTGACTGCGTGATTTGAGTGGTGGCATTTAATCTACTGTTTAAGTACGACTCTGCTTGAACTTGAGCTACTTCGATACTCCTTGCTTGGTCAAAAGCCTCTTCAAGCGACAGTGTTGATTTCTTTAACAATCTTTGTCGAATATAATTTGATCGAAGCCCAGTGATAAAAGCATTTCTGATATTTTCACTGCGATTCTGTTCCGCCGTAACTGATTGAAAGTTACATTCTTTACAAGTGATATTCAGTGCTTGGAAAAATTCATCTAATGATTCCTCAGCCCCCTGCATTCGCGTGGCAAGTCAATGCCGGGCATAAATTTCATTCTTAGGCTTTACATATAAGTTTTTCAAAATTTCAATTGCTTCTTGATATTTTTTGCATTCTGATATGAGGCCGTAAACTTTTGGTCCAACAAAGTTTACGAGAAAATTGAGTTTCATCTTGTCATTTGGTGCAGGCGTCAAGGAATCAATGAAATTGCCAAATGTTCTGTACCAGTGTATCCATTCTTCTTGTGCATTGTTTGTATTAGGGTCAATATTAAGTTTCCCGGGCTTCAGAAGTTCATCCATTGTCTTCAGTTCGTTGTTGAGTTAGTTGATTAAATTGTAATGATAAAAACCTCAGATTAATAAGGTTTTAATCAACTAAAACTGTACTACAACAAGTATCCTAACATTTTGTGTTTTGACTAAATGTAAACAAAGATTAAATCATATGTTTTACAACACAATAGTTTTGAACAAATTAAACAAGGAACAGAAGGAAGGCAAAATATTATGACATAACTCAATCGTGAATTTTTATATTATCAGCTGATCTTAAGCCTTTGTATCTATAAAAGGCAAAGCCCTCACTCACTCACTGGCTCACTCTTTCACTCACTCACTCATCACTAATTCTCCCACTTCCCATTTACCTAGGAGGCAGAAATTCGGTACACCGATTCTTTGGGCATTAAATAGGAAAATTAAGTTAGTTTTTATTCTAAACGGGCTTTCGGGCTCCACCCCAGTGGCTCTGGAGTTTCCCATGTTAACATTATGATTTTTCATATTTAAAAGGAATTAATGAATCTTAACAGCTGTTTCAATTAAACAAGTTGGTTCTGTTCTATGATGTTCAATAGCATTAAAGTTACAAGGATTACCAACAGGGTGTAGCACTATAATTTTTTTTTAAATTTATGACAACAGCTAATTTGCAACCAAAAGATGAGTGAGCGTAGCGAACGAACTTCAACCAGGACGTGATTGAGCCATGTGAACGAGCTCACTTATGAAGTTAAACGGGGCAAAGCCCGCGGGTACAGCTAGTAATAATATACAAAGGCTTATTATGTGTTCCATGTCTTCTCCTAAAAATCACACAAAGCTTTTAGACCCCCTAGGGGCTGCTTCCTAAACAAATCATGCGAAATTTGAAAGTTTGAGTATTTCAACTGGCTTTGAGAAGTTTGCATAACAGTGAACGTTTTACAGATCCACTCAGTTAATAAGAAAATGTTTCAGTGACCAACTTTGTTCCTACCTGACTCCTTTCCCTTTTCAGGATCTCACTTCGTCCCCTCCTCTCGATCTCTTCTTGTTCTCTATCCTCTAGAGTGTCCTCTTTCTCCACTATGTTGGCCGCTTGCACCCTCATCAGTTCGTTCCTCTCCACCTCTCTCAAAACAGAGATGCTTTTGCTTCTCTCCTTAATCTTCGCTTCTCTTTGCACTGCTTCCTCAATCTACACAAATTATTCTTAATGAATTTTCCAAATAAATTTAGTTACTCTGACTACTTTGGCAAAATATAGGTCAAACTAAACCTAAAAGTTTACTAAACTTAACATTGTACAAACATTGGTTTTGTAATTTTATTAAAGTCATGTCCCAACCACGAGTTGTAGGCTATACAGAAGAAATAATCTGTTACTGTATCTTAAATCACTATTTTTTATACTTCCACTTCACAAAGTTTTATGAGAATAAATGGACTTATTTGATGTTTTACATTGTAAAAACACTTACTTCACGCTGTTTAATTTCGTTCTCTAACTTCCTTTTTTCTTCTTCTCGACGTTTCCGCTCGGCTTCTTGTCTTTTCTTTTCCTCTTCTTCTTCTTTTTGCCAAAACTTGTCTCTTTCATTAGAATTTATTTCTTGCTGAGGGATAACTCTCTTGTATGTTGTCCCCTACAACAATTACATAATTAATTACTTAAGAAATAAAGGGAATTAATATATTATTGAACAACCTAAAAATTAAAACAGCTAGCATTATACTTTACAATGGGATGACTGTATTGTTTTAGTAATTTTACAAAATCGTAGTACAGTAGAACCTCTTTAATCCGAACCCCTGTAATCCGAACGTCCACTAATCTGAACGCCTCATTGCTGTACTCTATGCACAGTACAGTTGTTCTTTATTGTATACTGTATTTATTGATATACGCACCGTAATTATTTCTTTTTAATACACAGTACTGTTTATTTCCTATGTTTACTACTGTCATTGACTATATATACCTACAGAAGACATCCCATAGCCATAGTGGACCTGTCGCCAGCAATTTGTTGGCTAGGAGCGCTAGAACAGCGCTAGCTTGTGGTGCGATCTATCTGTAAAGGTTAGAAACAGTCTCGACGCATGCGCAGACGAGTAGATGAGTACTGTACTGAGCAGTCGACCGCTCAGCGCTCAGCTCCTCCTGCTACGATCAGACGATAGCTGTGAGGCCGTGAGGGGGCGGGAGAGTGGAGTAGTGGAGAGAGTATACAATGCGTCGCTGTCACTACAACAATATCCAGAATGAAAGACAATGAGCTGAGCAAAAACTACTCTCGATCAGCTGTGGTGACACGGCACTCGCAATACACTATGTGAATGTCTTCTCACCGCGTGCCCTGGCGCCCTACTATTGTTTCATAAAAATGAATTCGTGCGTTAATGGTGTTTGATGGTTTGACTAGACCCAGGTTTCATACTCTTTACATTATGTTGAGACGCACACGATATTGTTAAACAACGCTATATAAACCTACTATTGGTACAATTTTTTATTTTTTAAATTTGTATTCGAAGCTTACAATTGATTGAAGTTTGTGTAATTTGTTGTTATGTTACCAGCGACTAATTACTCCTTACTTTATTCAAGAAGTAATAAACCATGACTTTTTATAAGAAGTTTTTATCCTACCAACTATGTTAAATTAGTGTTGCTAGATATTTTACATGCATTTTCAGTAAAATGTAATAAATAAGCAATAACTAGGATTTAGGACTTGAAGTATTAAATGATATGGGCCTATTTTGACTACTTACACATTATGAATTATATAATGAACATTTGAATTGTCATCTAGAAAAGTTTGAAGACTTAATTTTAACACGTATAACATACAGAATAACATAACAAGGATCACGCCTGATGCCGTCACCGCGTTGTGGTATAAGTCAAATAAGTACAATAGTAATTATACTACTTTATACTTCGGACGACTTAAATAAAAACCGAAATAAAATATTCTGCATTTATGCCTTAGTAAGGAATTTATCTTCAAATTAAACGTATTTACATAACATTTGTTTTTATTTGGCGTACTTGGCGTACAAGACGAAGAAAGATGGGATTTATACGTGCAGTTTCGGCCGTCGGCCATCTCCATAGTTTGATTGTTTACCCCATTGCTGTGGAGGGGTTGGAGGGGCGGGTGTCGCGATAACAGGAGACGTCAGTTCCATAATGTGTAACTCTGAGTGTTACGAACATAGAGTGTTTATGATTAACAAACTATTAGGAGCAAAACTCTATTTTAAAATGAAGGAGTGCTCGAAAGAACTGAGGCAACCAGGTGGTAAAGTAGGAAGGTTTCAGCAAAAAATTAATATTCTCGAGGGCAAATAAGTAAATTGTACAAAACATCAATTTAACTTATAACTCCATTACACATTTTTTGAATTTAATTTTGAAGTTGTGTATCATGTCCTAACCTCAACTCCTTATTCTCATTAAAATTAAAATGAAATAATTTATAAATAAAAAACTTTTTTTAAAAGAAAAAGTTTTTAAATGCACTAAAAAGGAGAAAATAATTTATAAATATGTGGAGAGTATAAATACTTGTAAGATTAAAACAAAAAACGAGGGGTGCATGCAATAAATAATTTAAAATTAGCTTCACCTATTGAACTAATGTATTATTATCAATTAATTGCATCTGCATGCACCCCACGTTTTTCGTTTAAAATCTTACAAGTATACTCTCCACATATTTATAAATTATTTGCTACTTTTTAGTTTTTAATGTGTGTGGATGTTAAATCTATTTCATGCATCTATATCAGATTAAGACAGAGGCATGTCGGAAATCTAAGGGAATCTCTTGGGAGCAGAACCTGTACCTCTTAACCTCTGCTTTTTGAACTGTCAAATTAGTATTTACAGCTGACTTTAATTAAATGATATATTTACATTCTTTCAAAATGTAAACATGGAAAATGTGGCAGCCAGTGGGGCATAGCCCAAGGGAAATATGAAAATTAAATGCTATAATATTGCATTGTCATCCACTTAAGAAATTTTCATGCAAACACGTTTCCAAACATCGCATTTGTGTCTTAGTGTTTCAAATTTAAAGTCTCTAGCTCATTGGGAACTTCGTTTAAAATTGATATCAAAATTTGTAGGAAAGTGAGCTAATAAAAACAAGCCCATGGGGCGTAGTCCAAGAGAAATATGAAAATTAAATGATATACTATTGCATTGTCCTCCATTTGTGAGCTATGTTTCAAGTTTCAAGTCTCTAACTCATTGGGAAGTTAGTATAAAATTGATTGCAAAATTTGTACCGGACAAGAAAGCGAGCTAATACAAACGTTTTAAAATAAAGTTCTGGAGTCTATGACTGTTAAAGATTGTATAATAAGAGAATCGGAGCTGATTTTTGCGATGTAATACAAACATATTTTAACACATTAAATCCACTGCCTGTTTATGTAAATAATGCTCTTATTGTTAAAATCTGAAATTTTTTAGCAATCATTAAACTAGAATTTTATGATAAAATTTTAAATAGGTTTGGGACATCATAATTACCCAAGTAATTACGCTAGTTCCACCAGCCCAAACAAGGGTAAACCATATATGCTGAATCCATACAAGTTCCAATGCTGATAAATTGTAAGATATTAATTTACAATAGATCTTAATAACTTAATAGATTTTAATTTATTCGGAACTGATATTACAATGACAACGCATTGTTTGTTTAATTTTTAGAGTTTTGTGAGTACAGACATAATTTTATAATGTTAACTGGCCGTATGAACTTGTACGGAGCGAGTATGAGGATGAACATACTGCGTTGTCTCTGTCTGTCGTCGATGATAGGACGGCGCCGGCGTGGCGTCAGACAGAACACTGGCTCAACCTACCCCTCTGCTCACCATCCCTCACACCAGTCACCACACACACACATACCATAAACACCACACTAACACATTGACGCTAGCTGGTCTGACCCATCGATTTACAACACGTCTGACCTTGATTAAATGCGTACACACTAGTGTACAGTAGTTGACAACAGTTCATACTAAATGTCAGTTGACAATCAATCTACCAGAAAATTACAGTACTTTGAACTTGAGGTTAAGCATTTTAAGATCTAAATAGTATTAATGTATTGTACCGATGGACACACCACACGTTTTTAAGAAGATTTGTAAGGAATCATGTTTCAGTCCTATTGAGGGGGGGCGCCAAAATAGGTTTGTTCGGGTCTCGTGTTTATGTTTTGAAGACTTCTTGACGACCTCCTAGGAGCAACAACACGTCTTAGGCATGACAATGACACCATGGTGTCGAAACCGGTCGCTATGCAGACGACTAATGGATTACGTTGGCAAGAAAAAAGTATTTAACCTCTAGAATATATTGTTATTTTATTGATGTAAAAATACATTTAAAGACAGCAACGTATATTTGCAGTGCTTTAATGTAGTTTTCACCACACTATGATGTTTCAGCTGTTTTACATACGTTAATTGGTGGCTGAATGTTACATTTTGCTGGCCATGCCAGCTGTCATCGTTATTCGGGGACCGAGCAGGTTTTTACATCCTTAGGGACGCAAAATCAGCTGTCCACTTACTTTCTTACAACACGAATGCATATTAAATACACATTCAGTATCCATAGCATTACAATATAATTGTTTTATTTTCAACGCTGCCTAGCAACTATTTATAATTATTTTTGATGATTCCTCAAATTATTTCTTCACATAACCTTAAAGTGTTTGTAGTGTTGACTATGTGTGCATTATTATTGCGGTGAATAGTGATAAATAGTTTTAATAGGCTATAGTGTGTTGAAAAATAGCGTTCGTACCACGAACCGAAATGGTTTTCGGCCCTAGGTACGAAATATACTATTTTATGAGTTTGTCATACAATTATTTACCGCACATATTGTATTTAACCGAGAACTGAAATGCAAATAAAGGGTGCTCAACTTTAATTAATTAATTAAAGCATTATCCTTTTTAAGCTGTTATTTTTAACATTGAAGTTTGTACTTAGCCAAACTCAAATCAATTAACTTACTTAAAATACCACGAGTACTCAATATTTTTGCGCAACATATTAATTATGCCTATATTTATTTGAGTACTCGTTCACATCATATCATATGTCCCCGTACCACACAATCGCGCAACACACATGCTAATGTTATCGTGTGTTTGACGAGCGCCAGCTTGTATTCATTGCCCGAAGTTGTAAGTGTAGTGTAGCCAGTGTAGCGACGGTAGCGACGTAGCGTAGCAGTGTCAGTCACGTGCACGTGGTCGGTGGGGAAGCGAGACAAGGAGAGAGAGAGAGAACGAGAAGGAATGTGCGAGTGAGAGCGATGCAGAGCTGGCCGCGGGGCGAGGGGGGAATGTGGGAGAGAGAGCGCAGATAGAAAAAAAATCCTACTATCGCGCGCCTACCGGCAGCTTACATCAAATACTTGCTCCCGAGACCTGGCTCACACTACTACCGGCTCATAAGCGTGGTCTGTCTTCTGTAGGTATATATAGTCAATGCTACTGTATTAAAAATAAACACTGTAATTTACTTTATGAAGCATTTTTCACTTTTCCCTAGCTATTGTTGTGTAAAAACGACAATATGTTCTGTAATCCGAACTATTCAATAGTCCGAACTACTCCCGCTCTCAATTAGTTCGGATTAAAGAGGTTCTACAAATCAGTTGGTGTGCATAAGAAAAACAGAGGGAACCCTATCATGTAATTTTGATATTTTTTATGGATAGGGATTTTACAAATTAAAACCTTTGATTCTAAACATTTAAAAATGTGCGTTAATATTAATAACTAACTTACTTCAGGGAAATTCCTCTAATGGGTGATTATTGTAAAGTACACAAAGAAAACCAATTGTTAATTGACAGAACAGGGTATTTATTTACCAGTTCTGTACAACTTGAACCCATGACTTTTCAGCAACTAATTGCCATCTAATCCTTATTTATATGTCTAGTTTACTTGATATAATATGGGAAATGAATAGAATTTCATAAAACATGAGTTGATAGCTTGATAAATTATGAAAGTGTAGCTTTAATTTCAGACGGAGAAAAATAAATTACTTTTTAAATAAATTATTTCAGTAGCTCTTGAAAAATATGTTGCTCTTGAATCGTAGAATTACAATCAGTGATTTGCAGTGACTAATAGGCATCCTGCAGAAAATGAACATGACTTCCAGAACTAAAGTTCACCACTATAGCATTAAAACAAGGCTCGTCCAACTCATTGCAAGAGCAACCCAACCCCAAACAATAATACGCCAACCTAAACCCAAAAATAAAATATCAACAACACAATTTATCTTACCACTGGTGCTGAATCTTTGACGGTTTCACCGCGGTCTTTGAAACTGTAAGCAGAAGCAGTAGCTTTGGATAACTTCTCAATAACAATATCGTTGTCAACTTCTTCTTCATTGCGGGCGTTTATGGTGACGTGAGTGCCTTTCAGAAGATTGGTGACGTCTCTGATGTGGTTGGCACTTGTGGCTTTGCGAGGGTGAGGTGCGCCCTCGCCTTGCTGAAAATACAAAAAAATAGTTATTCTCAAACATAATGGGTCAATAATCTCATAATCAACTGATCAAAAAAATTATGTTGATAACAACTGTAAGAGAATAAATGACAATACCTAGCCTATTTGAATAAAGGAATGAAATGAAAATTTAATGAAAATATTCATCTATCTATATATTAATAGGCAAGCATGTTTGTTTAAAACCTTTTTTCTCAGCTCGTGTGCATCGTGGGGTAAATCTACGCATACCGTTAGAAAGCTATTTTCCTGTAGGTGTGCAGAATCCTTTTATAAATTTAAATAGGCTCAAAGATAAGCACAAAAAATGAGTTTAAAATTTTGAAAAAAATAACATGGATCTTATGCGTTGCCATGCTGGTGACGAAATAACAACGAAATATAAACAGAAAATCAAAACAAATGGAAGAAACTCCAATCACATGTTTTATTTACAGTGTGGGGTGAATTTAGAGAAGTGAGTAAGTTTTACATATTTTTGGTCGAGTTTCGACCACTGGACGACCTCTCGTACTTATTTAATACGCAAGCACGATTTTTGTGACAATTACTCCTCCGAAACTACTGAACCGATTGACACGTTTTTGGTGTCATTGGAAAGAGCGTAACGTGAAGTTGTGCAGGAAACTTTCTTTTTAGGTAAATAATTAGGGAGTGAGGCCCTAGGGCCCTTTAAAGTTTCGTATTCCTCCATAAGATTAACATGGGAAACAAACATTGTTTTGAAACTCCACCTGTTGTCAGAAATTAAATATTAAATTATTCGTTTCCATGGAAGCATGAGAAAATTCACAATGTTTACATTTGCTTTGACATTTTATTGTAAACAACCAGAACTGTCAAATTTCTATTTCACAAATTCCGACAGCTGATCAAAAAAAATGTATTTTCGTTTGTGACCATGTAAAACAACTATGTGATAGGTTTATTTAATCTTAAACTTTTAGATAGATTATTTATTATAAATCTATTTCAATGATTATGAAACAGATTTTTCCCGTTGCGAAGCAAAAATTAATAGTGAGAAGAAGAACATATGTAAAACAGTCAATGTGTAAATTATCTATGTTGTATTAAAAATGTGTTTAGTTTTGGATGTTGGTTTGTGTTGAATGATATCGGTTATTAGTTATTGCATTTTTATTCTAAGGATTTGGCATATGAGTAAGCCTATGATAAATAACACCATTTCAGAGTTCTGCCAGTTTTTGCATAACTCTATCCTGTAGAGTTTAAAGTAGCCTACACCTTATTGTCTACATATTGGCTAAACAGCTTAGGTACGGTACTTTATAAGCCTTTTTACGTTAACTTAATGTAAGCTTACCTTTTCCCGCGTACATGGGCAGATTGATTGTTAAAAATTAACCCTTTAAACTGGAATAGGACTGTCATGTAAATAGTGAGTATTTCCTTTAGTTAATAATCTTATAGTTGACTCTTTTAAAATCATCAGAAATTATGACAGTTATTAGTTTTTAAACAAGTTATTTGTTTATAAATAACTCCTGTACTTCTTTGCAATTGCTCGATTTCGAGCAACATGTACACTAGTATTATTTTATTACATTAACTAAACTAGCTGTTGGTCCAACCTACGTACGGGAATCAAGTAGTCGATTAAAACTGAATATAATTCAGAACAGCTACTAATAAAATCTGCATCCCGAGGTTAAAATCTATGTAGGATGATTACCACTGAGTTAAACAGTATACACTCAAGCTAGAAGGACTGTGGTCGACACACTGGTATAAAATCTTTTTTTGTACATTTGTTGTAAAAATACAGCATATGGCTTCTATAAAAAGAGCTAACGTAGCCTAAATGCTTAGTTAAAATAATCTTTGTAGGTTATATTGTTGACTTAAGTGAAAGTAAATTACTAACACCTAAGGTTTTACTGTTACAATAATTATCTTTTATTTTACTGAAGTACACACACACAACATTTTTACTCAAACATAACTTATTCAACAATTCTCATTACTATAAAAACAATCCTAACTATTTACACATGGTCAGCTGTTACCAACACAAATTAAATTAAATACAGAACAAGTAACAGCAAACATATTATATAAAAATAAAATTACATTCAACACCTTCCCTTAATTTTAATTTTATGTAAGAAACAAAAAATAAATATCTCGATTATCGTCTTCTGTTCAAGATTTTGGATAGTTGATCAAAGCTTTGCTAAATTGATGAAACTTAACATTGTTCAAGGGTTTTGTAAACATATCCGCAACATTCTCAGATGTAGAAACAAAAGAAATGTTTATTTTACCTTGCCTTACATTTTCAGTCAAAAAATGGTAGCGAACATCAATGTGTTTGCTTCGCTTGTTAAAAATTCCATTTTTACAAAGCTTAATAGCACTTTGATTGTCCATGTTTAGGTTTGTTTCAACATTAGTTCCACTCAACTCTTGCAAGAAAGTTTTTAAATATAACACTTCTTTGACACATTCCGCCGCTGCAATGTATTCTGCTTCAGTGCTGGACAAAGCTACAATCAGTTGTCTTCTTGTACACCAGCTTATTGGGTCTTCTCCATACATAATGACAAATCCAGTAGTACTTCTTCTTGTATGCTTGCAATTTGCATAGTCTGCGTCACAATATACATTTAGGCAATTTTCTCCTGATGCTGAAAATAATATTCCTGCGTCTTGAGTACCTTTAATATATCTTAAGGTTCGTTTGACATTTACAACATCTTCATTGATTGGATTCTCAACACATCTACTTTCTAATCCCACAGCAAGTGTAAGATCAGGTCTGGTTTTATTGGATAAGTACAGCAAACTTCCTACAACTTCTCTGTAAGGATAATCTTTTGTCAGGCAGCTTACTTCTTCATCAGGTTTGCTCGTTTTCACTGGACAAATGGGAGTGTCTACAGGTTTACAATCTATCATTCCATATTTTTCGAGAATACTGTTTGAATAGTTCTTTTGTGTTAACAATATCCCTTCCCTTGAATATAAAATTTCCATTCCAAGAAAGTTTGATGGGTTTTCGTCTGTTTTTATTTTAAAATCTCTAGACAGCTCGTTCAAAAGTTTCTTCATCTCTCTTTCATCTGAACCAGCAAGAATTCCATCATCAACAAATATAGCAAGATGAATACTGCCATTTGTAAAAACACAACGGTCAGACTGAGTTTGTTTTAAGCCATATTTTAGTAAGCAGTTTGTAAACAACTGGTTCCATTTAAATGGAGCTTGTTTAAGTCCATATAAAGTCTTTCTTAATTTTAAAACTTTATCTTTATGATCAAATCCTTCAGGTACACACATATAAATTTCTTCATCTAAATTTCCATAGAGAAAAGCAGTTTTAACATCAAATTGCATTAGTTTGAGATTTTGTTTGGCAGCTAATGAAAATAACAAACGTAAAGTTGAATTACTTACAACTGGGCTGTAGGTTTCATCATAGTCTATACCTTGTTCTTGGGCAAAACTTCTTACAACTAGTCTCGCTTTGTATTTTCCGTTATCCTTTCTTGTTAATACCCACTTGTTACTTAGGATCTTCTTGTTTAGTGCTTGCTTCTTGTCAACCACTTCCCACGTTTCATTCTCAATTAGGGAGTTTTTCTCATCCTCAATTGCTTGTAGCCAATTCTTTTTATCTGGTCCTTTGATTGCTTCTTCATATGTCAACATCACAAAATCTTTATATCTTTCAGGTAGTTTAGTTTTTCTTCTTAGTTTGATGCTTTGTGTAGTATCAGTATTACTTGAACTTGGCTGTTCTTCATTGATTTCATTTTTGTCTGAAACCAACTCAAACTCTACTTCATTATTACTTATCTCACTTAGATTATCTGCACTCTCAATATCTTCATTTTCAGTTTTGTCTTCTTTCTTGTCATTTTCATTTTTGTCTTCCTTCTTGTCATTTTCATTTTTGTCTCCTTCCTTGTCATTCTCTGTTGTATTTTCAGAGAAAGTAACCTCATCACCATTATTAGTTATTGCAGAAACAGACAACAAGTTTTTACTGAGTTCAGGAACATACAGCACATTATTCAGGATACATTCTTTGGATTTTACGGTTCCACTCGTTGAAGCTAACATGGTTTGATTTTTCTTAGCAACATATATTTCAGAAGAAATATTTTGTTTATTACTTAACAAATCTTCACAATTTGTCATATGTGAAGATGTGCCTGAATCAACAACCCATTCAGATACAAAGTTTACAGTCCCACTATTAACCCGAACATTTTGTCCATCATCATACGACAAAAATGACACAGTTTTACTAGCGACATTTAGGTTCTGGCTTTTTCTAAAGTAACAATCTTTTTCATTATGATTTGACTTTTTACATATATTACAAAATAAATTTGGCTTTACATTTCTTTTTTCAAACTTGTTAACAAATTTTTTTACATTTCCACAGGTGTTTGCTAGATGACCAACAGCATTGCATTTAAAACATCGCCTTTCATTATCAGAGTTAGCCCTATTGTATGTATAGGCTTCTTGCAGTACTTTGCTTTATGGCCTGGAATTTTACAGTTGTGACAAACAACTTGGAATGCAAGATTTTTCTCTAGGCTTACCTCCTTTAACTCACTTCTTGACTCTTCTGCTAACAGTCTCGCTGTTAGATTTGCCAATGTCTTTTCTTCATTGGGCATTGATTCGCAGGCAGTTACAAAATACTTAAATCTATCTGGCAGACTGACAAGAATTTTTGATATTATCATTTTTTCATCAATATCTTGTTTTAAAGTTTTTAGTCTGTGTGCTATGTTTTCAATTCTACTTGTGTGAGAACTTATATCAGAATTAGGCTCATACCTGAGGTTAAAGAATTCTTGTAATAACGAGTACTTCTGCTGCTCTGAGTCTCTTTCATAAATATAACACAGCTTCAAAAACATTTCTCTTGAGTTTTCACAGTTAATGATATGTAACATCGGTCCCTTCTCAATAGAACGAACTATACACTTCTGAGCCTTGGCATCTCTTTTAATCCAATCAGCCTTCTTCTTTCCATCGCCCATATCTTCAAGTTTCTCAGAACCATCAACAATACTCATCAAATCACTGGATTGAAATATTATTTTAATCTGAAATTTCCACAATGGAAAAGTTTCAACTCCTTTGAGTTTTTCTACGAAATCATCTTCTTTTACTGATGCCATTGTTAGTCTTACTTTTACTTTTTCACTCACCTTCACTACACTTTAACTCTTGGGGTTTTACTAGAAGATTACTTCTTGTTTTTACAGTTATGGTTGAATTAATGATTTTTTTTTCTGGGCCCATAACCTGTTGACTTAAGTGAAAGTAAATTACTAACACCTAAGGTTTTACTGTTACAATAATTATCTTTTATTTTACTGAAGTACACACACACAACATTTTTACTCAAACATAACTTATTCAACAATTCTCATTACTATAAAAACAATCCTAACTATTTACACATGGTCAGCTGTTACCAACACAAATTAAATTAAATACAGAACAAGTAACAGCAAACATATTATATAAAAATAAAATTACATTCAACATATATTTCCAAAATAAAGAATGTCCTGGTTGAATGAACTAAATATGTTGTATTGACTATTGAGCTATAAAATGTGAAATATTCTCAGTTATTATATATGAAACATCTTATATTACTGGGAAAATGTAATATGTCTTTTATTGAATTTCCCTATAGGGAAGTAGCTATTACCGTAGGTGGCACGGTAAGACCTAGGCCCGGGACCGATTTACTTTTTCATTCTGATCTCCCCAGAGGCCAAAAACACCATTCGTTTAAATTTTTATATATGTATATATATATATACGTCCGTGAACGCAATAACTTGAGTAATTTTTGTCCGATTTTGATGAAATTTGGTTTAAAGGTGTAAGGCGGGATAAACTTGAATGAGTTCGCAAACCAGTATGATCGGCCAATGGGAACGGGGTTTTACAGGGGGTTTTGTTGGGTAAAAATTGGTTTTTCTCATTTTTAACCCTCAAAACACAAAATTCCCCAATTTCTCTCTAAACCCTTTTAAAGAGCATAAAAAAACAAATAATTTAGTATATCAAAGTGTTTTTGTACAGTTATCGGTAACGGAGAAAATTTAAAAAACTAAAAAATTTAAAATTCCCATGATATTCTTATGGAGAATATTGTAAAATGTTGTAGTTTGCTTGTTTATGGATATATTTTTATCAAACTTGGCTAATTTATTTATTTTATACTAAACTATTATATTTTACAAAAAAATACTTTATTAGTTTCCCTGTAGCAGCAAACCTAGGTACACATTAAACCTAATGTTATTTAAATAGGTTTAATTAAAAATCAATTCACACAAATGGAAATTCGCTTAGTCGGCAGGTTTGCTGCGGCGGGGGTATTTTATATTAATGTAGTAAGTGGAAAATTCCCCGCCACAGAAAACCTGCAGACTAAACGAATTTCCATTTGCCTGATTTGATTTTCACTTAAATTTTGGACAAAAGAGAATCAAACTCATCTACAGAATATTCCTGTAGCCTGTACACAGCAATAATTTTGATAAGAATGTCCTGATTTCATTTGACTTGTAATCCAGGATATCAGCAGTTAATAGATTAGGCCTATTGTTATCTGTACAATCACAAGACAGATAGTCTGCTGCATTTCGAAAGAATTTTTTTACCATAATAGCTTATTCTCTATAGCCTATTGGACATTGTTGACAGCTGAGTTCCCAAACCCACTCGACTGAAACTTAAGAGATATTTGAAATTAAAAAATCAGCTTGATTTGAGAATAAATTTGATATTTTGTAAAAGGCTAGCCTACCCATTGTTTGCCAACACTGTAATACACCTTACTATCATTCAAAGCATAAAATGTAATGGAATAGAATCTGATAAGAGAGGTATAAGTTCAAAAATATTGGGGATGTTTTTAAGATGATTTTCATTGGAATTCAATTTTGAATGAGATTGCTTGCTTGAGATTACCACAACGTAAAAAAAGTTTGCAACATTTGTGAGAATACATTTTTAGAGTGAATTCCTATATTGTATTTATTTCATAAATACTGTACCAGAGTCAGAGATATAGATACTTATTTTTTTAAATTTTTAAGATTCTACATTCATGAATTTAACAGTCAACAGTCTTTCCGTAGGCCCCCTGTGCCCCCTCCAACTGTTAGGAATTTTGATCAAAAATACAATATTTTGGCTTATTTTTAGACCTTATAGTGCTGATATGTTGTGCGTTCTCCCCCCACCCCAAAAAAAAATGTTGGTCACGGGACGCATATGGTCAACACAATCACCAGTACCTAACTTAGTAGTGCATCAGAGTGTAACTTGACAGCAATAGTGGGCTTCCCTTACCATACTGTTACTAACAGCCTTTTTACAGTTAGGTATACAGTTTATTTTAAACCAACTTTATACTTTTCAATGAAATGGCGACCATACAAAGTAGGTATCGTTCCTTTGTAAGCTCAAGGCAGACAAATTTTAGGATAAGAGTGATGATGCAAAACAAATTCTTATTGCATTGGACATTGGTATAGTCTGATCAAAATCTGTTACTTTCCAATCATTAATTAAATTAACATTCACCTATTGGGTCTGATGATGATTGGAGTGTCCAATCAAAATCGATCACCACTTACCATCCTTTATGTATATTTACCGTCTTGTGAGTAACAGAATAAGCGTAAATATATGTTTTAAGTGTTATAAGACATTTCTTTTATTTACTATCCGTCAATGCAATAAACATTTACAATGCTGATCAAGAAGTTATTTAAAAATTGTTCATCTTTCTAGAAAGTGTTTTGAATTAAATAGAAATCAAAATGTGTATTCTACAGTGCTTGATAGGCAAGTACCAATTAATTATTTAAAACAAAAACAATCTTGGTAAAGAAGGAATTATTTTCTAAGTCTATTTCACAAAACTTACCCAATTAACAAGAACAAATTTGTTCAAACTGGTTTTCGGGTCTAAAACCTTACAGAAGGCATACATAATTTTCCCACTGTTGAGATCTTCACGCATCTCTTCAATACCTCCATCTAAAACATACAAAAATCTTTTGAACAATGTTCACATCATTCATATTAGTAATTTAACTTATTTGTGATAGGCTAAAAGTTGTTATGCACAACCTAAAATAACTTCTAATTGCTTCTTGACATGGACAAGGATGGAAGCTATCAGTTACACCGCTTGAATTATTTCATGATCAGGCAGTAGGACAAAATAATATGATGAGTCATGACTCATCTTCCGGCGTCGCCACACGTGTCCCCCGTGATTAATTATACTGGCCAGTTTTTTACTGTAGGCTATTATATTCGTTTTTTGTGTTTTTCGTGTTCGTGTATGTGTTTTAAGTGTAACGACGAATCTAACCAAATTGGTTAGATGACCTATTGACGTTTTTGTTAACCTGAAGATGGACTTATTTTCAAGTCCAAAACTATAGTAGTGTAATAACAAAGCAGGATCACTTGACAAAGCCAGGTAACTTAAACCATTTAGCTTAAATTTAGTGATCTAGAGGCCACCTCACCATGAAAGAAGGAATAAGTTATGGATTGTATATTTACAATCAAATGAAATCTTACTAATATTATAAATGTGAAAGTTTGTGTGTTTGTTTGTTTGTTTGAAGTTCAATCACGCATTAACTACTGAACGTAGGCCTATTGAGCTGAAATTTGGCATGATGATAGCTCACATCCCCGATTAACATATAGGCATATTCTTATCTCAAAAATCCTTTTGGGCTCCGCCCCAGTGGCTCTGTAGTTCCCCATGTTAACCTTATGAGTATTCATATTTAAAGGGAATTAAAGAATTTAGTCAGCAGTTTCAACTAAAAAAGTTGATCCTACTATGACACGAAAAGCGTTGGATTTACAGTACCAATAGAGTGCAGCACTGTTTTTTTGCATTTATGAAAACAGCTAATTTGAACTAAGCAGCGACAAAAAACTGTGATACACAATGAGAACTGTCAAAGTAGGATTGTTTACAGTTAAGTTTATAGGGTCAACCGGGGCTAATATGAACAAAAAAAGTAAACTTTTGACATTAACTCAAAAATGGTAAATGACAGAAGAAAAGAAAAAATAGTAGTTTGTACAGCTATTTTAGCTGTATCTATTTATTTACTAACAAAAACCATAAATGTAACCATTATAAAAAAAAAAATTAAAAACACTGTTCACATTAGCCCCGCTAAAAGGGGCTAATGTGAACAGCCCATGGGGCTAATGTGAACACTCTTAATAACTTTGTTATTTACAACACTAGGCATATGTGGGGGCTGTTGTGAACAAGCCTAGGGTCTAGTCTACCAGTTGCAATAAGTCTCAATATTTTATCTTAAATAGTTTTTGAGATATGAAGGTATCTTTGGAGAGCCGCGGGTCGCCCTACGGTAACCCTTTTTTTTAAACCATTTATAAATATTATACAGGGCTAATAATAAGATATAAACAAGAAAAAAATTATCTGTCAACATACCTGAGTATTTATTAAAAATTTCTTCCACATACAAATTGTTTAAAGCACTTAAAAAAACAATAGCCTAATTTAAGACAATGCAAATTGTTCGTTTAGGCAAATGACAGTTTATTGCACTTTCAGGCCTATTAGGTAAATATAAAAATGTGGGCTAGGCCTATTCAACACCTTAACTGTTGTCTTTGTAAAATTAAAACTGTTTTATCACTGTAAGGCCTTCAAAGAAGTTTATTGAGGAACTTACGCCTCAAAAACTTCGACAATTTTGTCGGAGACATACTTATGTCTATCACTGGTTCCACATACATTAGGGGCTGGAAGTTTCCCCAAAATGTCAGTGGTAGAAACAATAAATAGGCTATATCATCTTCTTTTTCCAGGAATGATTTTTTTCCTCATCATAGGATTGAAATCTTATCACTTCGATCTCCCCGTCAGCCAGTGTTTTTAACACTGTAGCGACATAGCGGAAGGTGGTACTGTTCACAATAGCCCCCATCCACTGTTCACATTAGCCCCCCAACTTTGAAAGCTTATAACTTTGGCTGTTATTAATATATTTTAACTTTGGGAAAGGAAAAATAATCCCCAATTCTTATTTAACAAAATTCAGGCTTAAGATTATTCCTACAACCAATGTAAAAATTGTTATAACAAAAGTTTTCACTTTGCGCGGAAAAGTTTTTTGGGCGGAAAAAAAGTGTTTTAACAAAGTATTTTTTTAAAGTACCTAAAAGTCAAATTTGAAGTTTTCTCATTATGGACACAAAAAATACAATAAATTTCCTTTCTAATTATATTTTTTTCATGATTAAAAATCCCAGATAAATGACTTTTTAAGTCATTGTTCATATTAGCCCCAATATTTTGGTGTGTTCATATTAGCCCCGGTTGACCCTATTTTTAATTTCATGACTAATTTGTGATATTTTGCGAGTTTTTGATAATTTATTTTTCTCTATTGTTTAGGTGAATTGGTAGAACATTATAGCTATGGTTAGATGTGTAATACAATTAGCTGTAAATTAAAAGAAGCAAATTTTATCAAACTGTGTTCTCCCCCATTGCAAACGCAAAGCTTGAGTATAACTGCAATAAGCATTTTATACTTTTATGCAAACCCCGTACGAAGGACAGGTACTCTGCTAGTAATCAATATATCGACAGTATTAATCAATATTTTAAATCAATTGAATGTAGGGCGTAAGGTAATGTGCAGCCTTCTTCAGACTCAGTTGTTTTGCTGATGTTGCTTTTAATTATGTGATAAAGGAATGGCTCAAATTAACTTAACAAAGCTGTTTGAAAAGATTTGTCTTACCTCCCTTACCCACAACCTTTAAATCATTTGTTTGTCCTTCATAGCTGAAGAGAGCCCTGCAATATGAACAGAAATAAATTACATACAAAATATAATGAGTATTAAAATAATACAGTGTGTGTAGGCTCATTTTAATTACCTAACTTAAACATTTACTAGGCCTATGTCTAATGTGAATGGAGTAACACATCAATCATTAAATAATTAGGTTCACTTAGATCCTGTTAAAAAATGTTTAACATTAAATCTAGGCTACTAAAAAACCAGAATTTAGACCGTTCCTTTAAAAAAAGGAGCTTTTAGCTTTTATTTAAATAGGCTAATAATTTCTGTACCAGAAGGGGACGTGTCTTAAAATTTTGCTAATATGCCAAAAAAGACAGACTAAAAACTGTTAGAAAACATAGGAACGTGACTAACTTATTCATTTAATTTGTCCTTACACATGCCGCTCAGAAAGTTAAGTTAGGCATAACTTACTTATCTTAATGAGGAAAAAGCTAAATGAAAGATGAAGGTAAAGAGGATGTAGGCCTAATTCATTTTTAATATACATTGTATTTTAGTATGCTTGGTAAAAATCAGAGATTTAAAGCTTATAGGCTTGGCTAGAGTTTCAAAGCTAGATTAAAAATTTAACTTTTGATAAAGCTCAGTAGTCTTAGGTATGAGTCAAGCACTTGAGCGTAGTTAGGCCTATATTGAGTTTTTATTTTAAAATTACCATCTGATATCAATTTATTCCTATAAACACATTCTAAAATAATCTAATTGGAATACTCTTACCAGTTGGTGTTGGTTTTGTCATCCAAAACATCCTTCCAAGCGGCTATGAGGGCGTCTTTATATTTTTCTATACCCAGCGCCATTGATTTACATTTATTTGATCAATCTTTTAATCGAACAAGTAAAATTTCTTGTTAACACCGGAAAAACAATTAAACCGTAATATTCACAGTTAGTGAGATAAGTCATGCATAAAACACTTGAGGTCAATTAACCTTAATAGTAGTTAAGCAGGGAAGCGGCTGAACGACCGAACGGCTTTCTGTTTTCTGTCTGCTCTTGGTCGTTCATTGTCACTTGTCAGACTTGTTTTCATTTTTATATCGCCCACCAGCTGAGTGACGCTGCCATAGAGTAAAACTTGAGTAAATGCGTCCTCGTTTGTATACAGGTATACATGTATAGTCAACTAGCTGTACCCGCGGGCTTTGCCCCATTTAACTTCATTAGTATTAATAATACCAAAGATTACATATTATAATACTTACTCACCTTTAGGTTGGAGCTCGATCGCTGCGCTCACTTGCCTTCAGGTTAGCTCGTTCGCTACGCTAACTCGCCTCCAGAATGAAGTTCGTTCGCTACGCTCATTCACCTTTTGGTTGCAAGCTTTTGTCATAAAATGTAAAATACCCCTGTCGCAGCAAACCTGCATACTAAGCGAATTTCCATTTACCCGGCTTGATTTCTTCTAAAATATTCCCTATAAATTTTCAGATTTATTTCCTATTTAAATAACATTAATTTTAGTGAGTAGTTAGGTTTGCTGCTACGGGGAAGATGTTGAGGTGTGTTTTTTTAATTGAAATATTGATAGCTTAGTATGAAATAAACCAAATTGCCAAATTTGATTAAAATATATCCATAAACAAGCAAACTAAAACAGTTTATTTGTTCTCCATAAGAATAACATGGGAATTTTAAATTTACAATTTTTTTAATTTTCTCCGTAGTCAATGAACATTCAAAAACACTTCAATATACTAAATTATTTGTTTTTTTAAGCTCTTCAAAATGGTCTAGAGAGAAATTTTGAAATTTAAAGTTTTTAGGGTCAAAAATGAGAAAAACCCATTTTTACCCCATAAAACCCCCCATAAACCCCTGATCCGATTATGCTGGTTCGCGAACTCGTTTGAATAAATGTAGGTTTACACGTTTGTACCAAATTTCATCAAAATCGGATCAATTTTGCTCGAGTTATCGCGCTAACGGACACATATATAAATAAATATATATATATATATAAATATATATATATAAATATATATATATAAATATATATATAAATATATATATATATATATGAATTTGAATGGATGGTGTTTTTGGCCTCTGGGGACCTCAAAACGAAAAAGTAAATCGGTCCCGGGTCTAGGTCTTACCATGAGACCTACGGTAATAGCTTATTCCCCATATGGGAAATTCGCTAAAATAATAGTGTTGCACCCTGTTGGTAAACTTATTAACGCCTTTAATGCTATTGAACATCACAGAATCAACTTGTTTAGTTGAACCAGCTGTTAAAAGACAATATTTAATTAAAATCCATATTTTTTAGCCCCTGAGCTGATCTTGTGACTAAATCTTATCTTACTAATATTATAAATCTGAAAGTTTGTGAGTTTGTGTGTGTGTGAGTGAGCGTAGCGAACAAACTTCAGCCTGGAGGCGAGTTAGCGTAGCGAACGAACTTCAACCAGGACGTGAATGAGCCATGCGAATACTTATGAAGTTAAACGGGGCAAAGCCCGCGGGTACAGCTAGTCAATAAATAGAGTTACCTTCGTCAATCAGCTCATAGTAGTTGTAACATTGTTACGGCCGTTTCAGCATCTTCATGCCATCATCAGACGTTCAGTCTTAGTGGCGTCGTTAATATACAAAAAACTGGAAAACAAGCAACAAACTGACAAAACCATAAGATCAAAACATCCGCCCGACCATAAATCCAGGGCCCTACCCTTAGCAGGCAAACGCTCCAAATTCCAAAAGCCCCAGTCAATAAATGAAACAGAGGACTAAAGACATCCCGCCAAGATGACTCTGTTGTGTGTCCGTTCTCCGTTGACACATTACTCAATTGACCTGGTCGCTATGAACAAGTGACGATGACGAGGGTAAATATACAGGGAGGTAATAAAGTCCGAAGACAGTTAAATATTTCCTAAACGACAACAAATATATCTATAAGATTTGGTACATCAACACCACACCTAAAAATCTACTTTTTTTAGGAAATATAAATTTTCTGTCATATCATGGGGACGTCAAAGGAGTCAGAAGAAATAGAAGCATAGGTTGAAATGTACATCAAATTAAAGGTTTTTACTAGCAGAATATAATGCCGCAAATTTGAACTCAAGCGGACAACCGAGCCAAGAATGACAGTTGTTCAAAGATTCATTTAATTTGTATTGCTATTATCCGCTCACTCCTCAGGGGGCATAGCCCTAGGAATCGGAAGAAAATTGTTAACATGAGCATAGGTCAATATGCACATCAAATTAAAGGTCTTCACTAGTAGATTACAATGCCGTAAATTCAAGCTCAAAAGAACGCCTGAGTAAAAAATGACAGTCGTTCAAAGATTTAAAATGGCAGATTCAAGAAATCTTTGAACAGCTGCCATTTTGCGCAGGATCGAACTTTTGAAGTGCGGTTTGCGGGATTGTATTCTACTAAAAAAGACCTTTTATTTAATGTGCATATTGACTTATGCTTCCATTTAAGATTTTCTTCCGACTCCTTGTGGGCCATCCCCCTGAAGAGTTATTGGATCACTGAATATGTGTTAAATTGAAGTTTTATGCTCTGTAACTTTGTACCAAGTATTGTAGCTCTATCTATATTATTTAAAATATTTAACTGTCTTCGGACTTTATTATCACCCTGTATAGAAATGGTATTAGTGTAGTAGCATAAGGAGACCCCCTGAGGATGACATACAAGTTGGTGAAATGCCCATTGAGTATATACAGCATCATACAAGGTGAAAAAAAACATTGATACAATTTAAGTTCTTGAATCTGGGTACTATTTATTTTAAAAGTTGCTAATAGAATCTGCCATTATTTATTTAAATTGAGTTTTTAGCGAATTTCCCATATAGGGAATAAGCTATTACCGTAGTACTCATGGTAAGACCTGGACCCGGGACCGATTTCATTTTTCATTTTTGAGGTCCCTAGAGGCCAAAAACACCATCCGTTCAAATTCATATATATATGTGTGTGTCCGTTAGCGCGATAACTCGAGCAAAAATGATCCTCGAGCATTGTGATGAAATTTGGTACAAACGTGTAATCCTACGTTTATTCGAACAAGTTCGCGATCCAGCATAATCGGACCATGGGGACTGGGGTTTATGGGGTGAAAATGGGGTTTTCCCATTTCTGATCCTAAAAACAAAAAATTTTGCAATTTCTTTTTAAACAGTCTTTTAGAGCTTAAAAAAAGAAATAATTTAGTATATTGAAGCGCTGTTGTATGCCTAAGGGTCACGCAGAAAATTCAAAAATAGTGTAATTTAAAATTCCCATGTTATTCTTATGGAGAAAATGAAAATTGTTGTAGGCCTAGTTTACTTGTTTATGGATATATATTGATAAAATTTGGCAAATTTATTTATTTCATCCTATACTATTGACGTATGGTCAAAAAAAACTTTTTACTTTCCCCGTAGCAGCAAACCTAAGCATTCGTTAAATCTAATGTTATTTAAATAGGGAATACATATGTCTTATTTATGGAAGTATTTGAGTAAAAATGCAATCAGACAAGTTGAAATTCGCTTAGTCTGCAGGTTTGCTGCGGCGGGGGTATTTAACTATATTCATATACTAAATTAAATTATGCATGTCACACGTTTTAATTTTTAACTTGAACACACTTTTGAAAGGGGGGAATCTTAGCTCATCATTTTGAGGAATAATTTTCCATAAGTTATTACAAGTTTTGAGATCAACTTTGGGGTCTGTTTGAACCATCAAGATGTATCCCATCGACCATCATTACAGAAATCTCCACTTTAGTTGTAAGACCAGAACTGAAAGTGCACAAAGGACAAATTTAAACACATTAGATACAAAACATAACATTTTATTTACTTTTCTTTAACAGTTTTAATACTGATTTCAAACCCTTTAGAAGTAAACATATAATTAAAATGTAGAATAGCATTCTAAGGCCCCACACGTAAGCACAACCACATTCTACACAAGTTGTTTCATATCTAGCCGGTCCTCAGGGACGGACACTAGTAGAATAACCTAGTGGGAATTTCAGTTGATTTTCACATGCAATTTCCATAACCAATAATGGTTTTCTTATATATTAGATGTTACGTATAACAAAATAAATATACTAAGAGAATTATTTTTAAACTATTAAATTGAGCTTACAGTTTGACATTTAAATCGATTTGGCAATTTGATTGCACATACCCTTAAAATGCTTTAGTTTTAAAAGCGTTCCAAATGAAATATTTTCCTTAAAATATTAAATGCAACAAAAACAGTTAATGATTTAAAGGTTTTTCAGCCTTTGAATGGATGATATTTCAATTTTCTTAATACAAAATTGAAACTCCACAGCCTTTTTTGGAGTATGATCTTTTTGCTGACTTGATTTAGAAAAAAACCAAACTTGTTCACATCAATCACATTTTCATTTTGACTTAAGGAGTATTTAACATAAGTTTACTGGCAAGAAAAATAATGGTTTATTAGGTAAAAGTTATCTAAGGCATAAATATTTCCATACAATGTACTTCAACTTAACAAGACACAACTCTTGTTAAAATTACCAACAGCACCATAAAATGGAAAAAGTACTTTCAGCTTAAGAAACACACAGTTTAATTTAGCTTTAAATACTACATTACTTTAAATTATGGAACTATCGCATATTAAATACAATCAAGTGATGCAGTATATTATGTAAATGTATGGAACAAAATTAGCACCATGTTTTAAATTAGGTGATCCTACACTGCTAAAGGTGAAATATATGGAGAAATTTGAATGGCTTAAGCATAAGAAAATATTGCAAGTCCATTCCACAATATATAAATCTTTAAGGAATTGTTGTAAATGTTTAAAATAATGAGACAAAATTGATTTTGCGTTACATTAGTATTTACAATCCAAGTTAAAAAAAATAATTAGCCTACCTTAATTAATATTTGTTTTTGAATAATATTCATGAAAAAAAAACATCGAGTACAAAACATTTCTTTCCAGGGTTAATTAATATCTGGTTATAAATAGCCAAATTTTTATTTGAAGTAGTTAATAATTTTGTCAATATAAAAATCCCAAAAAAAACCAAATAAGTTGGGTCATATAATGTGATTTTTGATGTACAAGGTATTTTCAGTGCATTTCTGTTCAAGTATTTCACTGATGTATTAATAAAAACAACGGTTTATGTATATTGATCGATATCATTATATTTTCCAGAGAGATATCAAGAATCTTTATAATATGGTACATTACATACTATAAAGATACTGGTACCTACTTCCACTGGACATAACTGTTATAAGGAATGTTTCTTCTATAATTAATTATTAATATATATTAACTGTTGAACCAAAATTATTCACATTCTAATGTTTGAAGACATACAAATACAAATTAAAAGCTTTGGACATGGAATGTTCTTGAATGAAAAATTAAATTATTAATTTATTTATTTTGATGTAAAAAAATGCTGAAAAAATTTGTTTTATGGATATAAAAGATAAAGTCAATTGATTCCAGCAATTTTAAAAATGTCCGTGTCACCTAAATCAGTTACAAATCTGTCATAAATTGTCTAAAAAGACAAAGAATGTCTTAGAACCAAACACTCTCAGTCCTAAATGTACAAAAAGTCTGAGGAATGTAAAATACATTTTATAAAAAAATACAGGTTCTACACTATCAAGAATTATAAAATGATACTAAAATAAATAACATTAAAACCATATCCTTAGATAGATATATTATACAATCCAAATAAATATAGCTACTTTACATTATGGCAACATTGATGACAATGGTAAAATAATTTGTTAAAAAAAGATAAGTACAATAATCGTTAAACCAAAAATACATTTACGTTTAGTATTGTATAAATATTTACAATTGAATTACAAATATACTACAGTGGCGTTGTATTTGATTAATATTAGACACACAATGCAAATGAGTTGTTTATTTTCTAAATACTACGCTCTAAATTAAATGTGATCAAATTGTTCTTACAATTATTTTTTTGAACACAAAAAAGGAAAATTAAACAACTTGGCACTGAAACGAAACAAAATCTTATTCTGAAAGCAAATGATTAAAATAAAAAAACAACCTTAATTATTATTAAAACCCCTAATGAGTTATTTGTGCAAAAGTCAACTCTCTCAATCATTGATTTATTTATTGTATTCAGTTTTACGATTCTAAAAAAAACCCTATTGTCAAGTTAGAAATATTTGTTCGGTGTCTCCCATACATAAGTGGCTAGGATATTAATATTTTTACTTTGAAAAATACTTAAAACTTCTCAAAGTTGTTACAGTTTGAACTCTGCTTAGTTTCTAAGAAGACCTAACCACTTGCTTCCGTTTAACCGTTTAAAAATTAACTCATTATGGGTCTATGAGTTGGAAAATCTCAGTTTAAGTCTAGTTGTATTAGCAAGTCTTTGTGAACCAAGGCATGGCATGAATACCTGCTGTGGCATGAGCCACATAACACTTATGCATGCTTGCTACAATAAAACCCATAAGAGATTATTAAGTTTATTAAAAGTGTCCATTATTTCGAAGTCAGCTTACAGTTGGTGAAATGGTAATACAGTCAAATTAGGGCAAAAAGTTTACGTAGGGATTGTTAAACATACTGTACATAAGCGTTGAGATCAAATTCTTTATGCAAAAATTAACACAAAGTATTTTAAGTTGGTTTCAAGAAGCAATTTTTTCTCTATGTGACTTTTTTCAAACAAACTTCATAATTTGATCATAATATTGATTTATAACTGTTATAATCCTAAAGATGTTATTCGAGATTAGATGAATATTCTTTTAGTGGTGGGTGAGAGAAATAATTATGTTTACACAATTTCAATCTGTATAAGTTTTGATTTTTTAATTAGTATCTACTTTGAGAAGTTTTTTAGGGGTATACTCACAACCACGTTTAAAACAAACTCAACCAAGTATCTGGGATTTAAAAAAATGTTTTGCCCAAAAATAGAGTGGTTATGGTTTTTACTTTAACACGCTCGCTGCTGACGACTCCGGTTGGAGTTTCGGCATAACTATGTAAATATTGTTCTACCGTGAGCTCTGTGTTTATTGGGGATCAACTTATGTCAGCCTGTTGTACCGGTCCTATACTTAATTTCAGTTGCATCAGTTTTCCCCCACCACTAGCGTCCCTGGTGTACAGCTCTGGTTGCAGTCGCCCTTATGCACCCTTTAATGTGAGCCTCGATCTTGCCTTGTTTGTTTGTTTGTAGTTTGTTTCTTAGTTAGGGTCGCCATGTTGGGGCTTTGGAGCAGTAAACATGTTAAAAGGACTTAGTGCTACTTTAGCTTTATATGGAATGTAATTTAAAAAATGCTAACCTTATTTAAGACCCCTGCATGGACACCTATTTGATATTGTCACTATCAATTGAGATGAGGACGACACCTAGGTGACAATCAACATAAATTATTCAGTGCAAGATAGGTTATTATTTGAACTCAACAAAACATTAATTGATACAGTTTTTAAAACTACAATTTCACTGAATTAGAATACTAGATAAGTACAAGTAAACTATAGAAAATAAAAGCTCAACAAAATATTGACTAGTTAAAATTTTTAAGCTCAAAAGCCGCAAAACTTATTTATTCGATACTCACTGGCAATTTTAACACACCTTTATCACTCTTTTCAATTGGAATGTAAACAGAAAAGCTACAAAAGAAATCAAACTCTTCAAAACATATTATTTATCTGTATAACAATACACAGGCTAACTTAAAAAATATTCATGACAGTATCGGTATAGATAGTATGTAATTAATTGTGTATTATCATTGACTATTGGATACAGAAGGTATTATGTACATTTCAATAGCTTTATCAAATTCTAATACATAAATTGGAATGATGTGTTACAAAATTTATTTCAATATAAAATTTTACTTAAAAAATTACAAATAATTTGTTACACTGCAGTGGATTTCCTCAGTAAAAACTTCACATGACTTATTTGTGCTGTTTTGGTCATCAAAAGTGAGACAGTAAAACTCATTCACATCCTTGATAAATAAAAGCTGTTGGTTTTAACTCTTTTAATGAATTGAATATAACAGCTTAGGAATGAAAAACCCAAATTATCGTCTAAATCTTACACAACTTTATTGGCAAATGATTTTCTCAATATTTAACATGTTTGCTTGGTTAATTATTTACCTCATGTATATTAATAAACTCATGGCAGTCTTTCAGCTGTCATATTAGAAGGAAGGTCATAGGTCATGTATTATTATGTAACTGAGTAAACAAAGATACTAACTTCAATTGGTTTGGTACGCAAAAATGTTCTCTCTTCTATCTATATAAATAAAAATTAATCCCTTTTTTTAATGGTATTCCATAACTCGTGATTGAGTGCACCGAATTGGAAGATTTTTTTTTTTTTGGTCGTGTTTCTTAGTGCTAGAGGAAGGTTTTTATATAAGGAAATGTATAATCCATCCAAACGTTATTTAGTAATTTGATTTTAAAAATTCAAAAAAAAAAAATTGCCTTTATATTAGCTCATTCACTTCAACCTGGAGGCGAACAAGCTAAACCTAAAGGCGAGTGAGAGCAGCCAACGAGCTCCAAACAAAAGGTGAGTGAGCGTAGCAAACAAACTTCAACCAGGACGTGATTGAGCGATGCGAACGAGCCCATCATGAAAATGAACAAGCATTTTTCGGTTAAAAATCTATTACCCCGCTTTTTCTCTTCTTTTGAAATGAAATGAAATTAAATGTGTTTATTGTCCTTAGAATTTTCACAAATTATTGACAAAGTCAAACAACTGCTAAGGTTTATAGCATATTCAGTTAATAAATAATAATTATTTATATGATTTATAGTAACTGTGGGAAAAATAAAGTGCAAACTGCCTTGCTGCACTCGAGAAACTTTCCACACTCGCCTATGGCTCGTGGGTAAACATATCTCGCGTGTGTAGCAAAGTGCCACTTCGCCCACTAGATACACAAATAACTATTGTTGGTTTTGGTGATGTAAAAAAAATGTTGATAATCTATCTAAATAAAGAAAAAGCTTCATGTTTTTTCAAAGTACTTACATTCCACCACAGCAAACATGTTAAAGAAACTTTAAAGTAAATTTTTACCACATTTAAAGCAAAAAGAAAAGTAAAAACTCCAATTGACGTGGAAAAATGTTTACAGCTTTATGAGTTTTCACTAAAAAACCACTGTAGTAGAATACAAATTTTACAACCTTTACGGAATGTGACATGTATATATTCACCTACAAGTTGGTCGTCTCAAACTTGGGTTATAAATGTGGTTAATTTCTCTATCTCTGCTTGCATGGCTGATCTCTTCTCAGATTCTTCTGAAAGTTTGGCAGACAGCTCTTTGATGGCTTTGATAAACGCCTCTTGTTGAGCCTCTAGTTTAGACTCTAACCTTTGAACCTGGAATATATATTTTTTTTTAGAACGTCAAAGTGTTATTATTGTACAAAATACCACAAAAACATTTTTAACAGGTGTTTAATATTGTTAAGGTGTTTTTAACAGGGAATTCGCTGGAAGGACCAAGTGGAAAAGGACTGGAGAAGATTGGGGGCAGAGGCTCAATGGACGCAAAACAGAGAGAGATGGCGAGGCATTGTTGGCGAGGCCAAAAAAGGTTTGAGGTTTGAGTGGCCTAATAGGTGAGGTGAGGTACTGTACTGCTAGAGTAGCCTATGATGTTTTAAGCAAAGAGAGACTAAAAGAAAACCTAATATTATACATTAGACAATCAGGATCTAGGCATTCCAAACAAATATTTTTCATTGCTGCATTATTTATATGTCCTTTAAAGTATAGCGGCCATGTACTGTTGTATAAAACTTAAAGTCCTCAAAAAGTTTTATATACAAGCATAAATTTATATAAACAAATTTTAATACTTAAAAATGCAATTTGTCTAGTAAGGATTGTTATGTTCAAGGATAGGGATCAGCTAGCTTACCTGGTTGACAGAGTCCAGATTTAGCCTTGGTACACACATAAAACTCATAACAAAACACAGAAAAACTGAATATTTCGTCCCAGAAAGAAGACTGGCAGTTTAAGTTGAAATTCAAAAGTTCCACAACAGTGTTGCCAACTGTTGTTTAAAATGAAATGAAAATTTCTGTTGCTATGTACATCTATGTACACACACACACTCATATATATACATGGTAGGTTGATTAAATCTGGACTCTGTCTACCAGGTATGCTAGCTGATCCCTATCCTTGTACATAACAATCCTTATCAGCCAATTGGCCTTTCCTTAACTGTTAACCCATTTGTCTAGTAATTCTGTGACATGGTAAAAATATATCTTACTAATATTATAAATCTGAAAGTTTGTGAGTTTGTGTGTATGTTTGTGTGTATGTTTGTGTGTGTGTTTGTGTGTGTGTTGCTCAATCACGCATAAACTACTGGACGGATTGGGCTGAAATTTGGCATGATGATAGCTCACATTCCCGATTAACATTAAAACATATTCTTATCTCAAAAAACCCTTTCGGGCTCCGCCCCAGTGGCTCTGTAGTTCCCCATGTTAATCTTATGATTTATCATATTTAAAAGGAATTAATGAATCTTAACAGCTGTTTCAATTAAACAAGTTGGTTCTGTTCTATGATGTTCAATAGCATAAAAGTTAAAAGGATTACCAACAGGGTGCAGCACTATTAATTTTTTTAAATATATGACAACAGCTAATTTCTAACCAAAAGGTGAGTGAGCGTAGCGAACGAACTTCAACCTGGAGGCGAGTTAGCGTAGCGAACGAGCTAACCTGAAGGCAAGTGAGCGCAGCGAACGAGCTCCAACCTAAAGGTGAGTGAGCGTAGCGAACGAACTTTAACCAGGACGCGAATGAGCCATGCGAATACTTATGAAGTTAAACGGGGCGAAGCCCGCGGGTACAGCTAGTATTTTATAAATGAATCTTTTATAAATAGATGTTTTCATGCAAGTATTTTTCAACTAATTTCAAAAAATCATTTCTGATTTGTCAAACCTTTTCATTTAGCTCACTCCACTGCTTGTTGGACACTGTGATGGTGTCTGGAGAAGAAGGAGAGGGGCTGAGACTGAAGGAGCGTCCACCAAACATACTCTGTGGTCTGCTTCCTGTCTGCCCCGCTGTCTGGCCCCGCAGTGTCACCGGGGACACCTTCTGTGGCTCAGGACTCACTGACTCACTTGTCCCACTGATCATCACACGAGTACGACCTACAACACAACAGCTTATGCATAGTGAACGCAATAGCAAGTGATCTGACTTAGAGAATATATTACACAAAGGTAGGTCAAGAACAAGAAAACTTTTACGGTTAGTGGTTTTTCTGCAATTTGCTAAAATGATACACACCTAGTAGTGATGTGGGCTGGGTAAAAAGTGTAAACACAAGCAGTGTTTTGCATAGTTCATGGGATTTTTCATGACAAAAGGAATATATAATCAAGTGATATTATGTAAAATGACGAATAATGGTCTTTTGTTGTTTAGAGGTTATAGTCAGTGAAATATGGTGATATAAACTAAAAAAATAACCCGTGAAGAATACCTGTAAAAAACTGGGTATTTATGATGTCAATGCAGGGGTATTTAAGATTTTTAATACTTAACCATAGGTATTTTGGTCATAATTATTTAAATTTTTAAATAATAAAAATCTAATAGACAACAATTTGCATTATGTGTCAAGTTTCTAAAATCTGACGAACATAAATTTAAAATATTCTTACATGACATGCACTTTAAAATAGCATTTGTAAGGGTAACATTACATTTATATCAGCTAGTAAAGTATGGAATTTGACAATACAGTACAATATTTCCATTGCAAAAACCAACCTATGCTATAAAATCATCACACATCTGCCCTACCTTTATAATACAGAGTCATAGCAAACTGCTTTCTTTACTATGTGCAACTTAAAACAGTTTCAATAACTCAAACACATAACCTAGCTCTTTAAAACAGTGAAGAGACAATCATTGTACTTTGGTTAGCTAATTTATTATCAGAAGGAAAACTTTATTGTGGTAAGGAAGCAGAAAAGTCAGATAAAATACAGATAAGAGTCTATACATTGCAGAACGTGCATGACAAGAAAATAATTTACAGTATTGTTTCAAAATTGAAAAGGAATAGAATCAAAAATAAATCATGCCAGCTAAAATTTATATTTTATCTACAATATAACTGTTGTAGTTTATTTTGAAATATTATAGGTTGTGGTTTATTTTAGTAGATCATATGTACAGAAAAATCATTAACTCTAATAATCTTACTTAAAAAAATATTGATTGCAAATAGCTTGGATAAATTTAATTTGTCAAAAGGATAAATCAAAGTTAACAGGGGTTTTACCAGTGGAAAAGCTGTTCACTTATTTGTTAATAATAGATTATTATTTTTCAAACAGGTTCAAAGTAAAAAATGTGCACAGATACAACTCTAGGAAAGAATTTATCATTGTTCCTACTATTAATAATAAATAAACAAAGCGTACAAGAAACTATTTGGTTCCTACATTGTTTAATAGTTTGTCACAATGTATGAAAGAAATAAAAACATATAAATTATTGAAGGTAAAACTAAAAAAATGGTATATGACCGAGTAGTTAACGTTTTTAGAGAACTCTTGTTATTGTTAAATCATAGTACCTATAATACAAGTTGTGTCTTTTGTTGTTTTTCAGTTGCTGTTATTCTTTACAGAACTTTACATATTATATATATATATATATCTCTCTTTTATCAACTGTTAAAAATATAGTTCCTGTTTTATTGTATGTTATAAAGTTCGTTTCAGCTGTTATTATTCCTTGTTAGATATTTATTTGTTTGTTGAATGTTTGTAATCTGAAAGTATATATTCATGTTAAATAATTTTAAGAATATTCTTTGCATTTACACTTGTTCTTATTTTTGAATTTTATTTATTTTTTCTAAAGTTTTTGTACAGTTAATAGTTCACACTGACTCAAGATCAAGATAAAGATGGAAAAGGCAATTAGTATTATAAGAAACGCTGCGGACAAGCCTTTTTTTAAGGCTTATGCAGTTTTGTATTATAAACCCATTGTATATGTGCTGTACCAAGTAATAAATAAATAAATAAATTTACTAGGCCTGCCAAAACTGGGTACGGCCCTGTTTACATTGAGTTTTGTCCACTCCATGATTACATACAGTAGCAGCCTAATCTTACCTTGGGCTGAGTTTTTCTTCGCTTGGTTCATCTTCAGCTCCTCTACCCACGGGGCCTTGTTGCTGGTTTTATCGTCTACCAAGTTCAAGTGGGGCTCTGCATTACCATTCATTAGCCCTGTAGACTCCCCACTCTGCAACGAAATATTTTGTTACTTGTTGTTTTGCAAGTTGCAAGTAGGTGTTAAGCTAACTTATATACTGATAATACAAATATTGTGGCAACATGTAGTCTGGTGCCTACATGTGTTCTAAGATGTTAAATTTCTTATATAGGCTGCCCAATCAAATATACTCTACTGCCTAAGAACTAAACCGTGTAGTGGTGTAAAATCTTTATGCAGAAAAATAAAAATTAAATTCACTGAAACGTCCACAAGTTATCAACCGAAGACTTCCACAAACGATTTCATTGGTATGGTGGGTGACGATGATGAGACCCTGAGATTCTAGGAGATAATAACAATAGAAGCATACCGGTACTGGGGTCACGGATTAGTCATTGTGATATAGTAGTGCAATAAAAAGTGAACATTAATTTTGTTTGTCACTACTATCATTCGCAAGCATTTTTACTCAACTCTTTACTGAAAAGTCCAATTGTTGCATAGGAAGCAAAATTCTTACTATCTCAAAACTCAGGAGAGAAATAATACTATCTAAACCGATCTAGAAGTTCAATCCCATCCGTCCCTGATTTTAGGTACGTTGAACAAACAGTAGGGCCCAGAAACCTTCAGATTTGAACGCACGTATTTAATGTTACACTTTGGTAAAAATCAATTTTATAGCTTACTGACATACTGACCTCTTTGACAGGTATGCCAGAGGGAGGTCTGCGCCGAGGTGCCCGCACGCGACTGGCGGTGGGATGTGTCAGCATGGCCGTGCGACCGACACAGTCCAGGTCCACATCAGGCTCAGGTTCTGCCACCTGCGAGGGAGTGAACGACCCTGAGCTGCGACTAAGGCAACCTCCGTCTGTATCGTCCGAGGTTGAGGCTTGCTTCAGAGAGAACGTTAATGGTGTCAGTGGTATTCTTGCCATGCTCACTGTTGAAAAGTACACAGATTAGCGAGCTTTAATTTTTGGAAACTGATTGTGCTCAAAACATTGGTAAAGGTTTTGTAATGTATTTATGGCAACTGGAGGCATGTTGGATGCCTTTTAGGTCAGCATCAGACAATGAAATAGACTATGATATGCTTATTACAGTAGAACACCCCATATCCAAAAATGACGGTTATTCCGAGGTTGGATATGAGGGGTTCAACTGTACTTATCCTCTGTTGTTATATCTTCTGTGGCTAATGGTAAAAATGAGTTCAGATAAGCCGAACTGAAGTGTGCATGGGGACATGCCAGAACATGGAAAACATCATTTATTAATTAACACGGTCTGAACATAGACGTTATTGCAAAGATTAAGAAGATAACTGTCTATCTCTGTTACCAGTGTCTTGGTACCAGAGGCCCCGCTAGGGCTTCACTTAACATAGCTTTATGATCAAACTACCACTACACACTTACCAGGGTTGGTGGGGCTGTCCGGAGGCTTGGTGGGGGTGGTGGCAGTGTTGGTGGGCTTTGTCTCTGTTACCAGTGTCTTGGTGCTGGACGCCCCGCTTGGGCTTCGTTGTGGCTTTTTGAGTGGTGGAGGGGGCAACTGGGGTTTCTTGCTAATACCAGGAGGACTTGTTTTTTCATCTGAAAAAAAAAAAACACAATGAAAAAAGTGTGTTTATCCTATTATTTAAAATTGTGCTTATTATTGTAAGTGATTATCTGTTTTCTATCCTGAGGAGTTACTTTGGTACAGTTTAAATTTTTTTTAAGGACTACTGACCACAGCTAGGTGTAATGGATTTATTTGTAGTTATTTCTAAGAGCGTGTGTTACAATGGCAAGAAATACAAATGTTCTAAGTTTTCAAGGGTAGGCCTACTGGTTATAGCAGAGGCAAATGGTTATTACATTTATAATAGTAATCTGTTATTTGTACAGATTATACTGCCAAGTGAACAGTGAGAGTGGTATTATAGATTTAAATTTACTTAAACATTTAAACATCCAATTTACTCCCACTAGGATTAAACTAAAATTATTTTTAAATAGCATTTGTACTGAAATCTTTACTCTGTCCAATTTTAATATGACAAATGCAACGTTATCTCGATTTCTATCAATAGATGATGTAGCACTGAGTAGCAGCGTTTATACTCTACCTGGTTTAGGAGGCAGTTCGATGGATTTACGCGAGGATGTGGTCTGTGGTGCAGTGGTGGAGGGGCGAGTGATGGAATCTTTCACTCTGTTGGTTGTTACAATGTTCGTCTTTGCTGGGGGTCGAGCTGGCTTTGACTATAAAATTAACATTGCAAAATTATTAAAAATTATATAACTAGACAACAAAACAACTGATTGAAAACATTGTTTTCATTTACCGTAGTGGTTTTCTTTGAGTGTAGTTTAAGGTTAGTTTGTTATGAATAATGAAATGTATAACTATATATATGTATATTAGTTTGTTATAATTGAACACAATAACAAACAACTAAAAAAAAGTTTCAACGGCAGACTTAGCGTACTTACAAAAATATGAGAAAATGCACAAATAAACACCAAATTTTTGAGCTACTGTACTAGCTCCTTTTCAGTAGTAGGGTCTTTGTTCTTGTAGGGAGTTCTAGTTGTGAAAAAAGGAAGAAGAATGTGCTGTCTAGTCTAATGTTTTTGGTCACTGATAGATCAATTGCTGGGTCAAGACTGAATTATAGTACAGTAGACCCTCTCTAATCCGGCACTGTACCACTCCGGCACTCCAGTAATCCGGCGTCTTTTGATGTGTGAGGTCTTCCACAATCGTGGCAAAATCACCAGCATCTCCCGCGGACGAGTAGACGTTATCATCGCCTCCCTCGGTCACGGAAACGTCATCATCGTCATGCATGATCGTGGAAAAATCATGATTATCTCCCACGGCCGTGTAGACGTTATAATCCTCTCCCGCCATTACGGAAACGTCATCTGCGTCTTGCGCAACCGTGGCAATAGCGGTTACCGACCTTGCGATCTTCAGAGACGTGTTTTAATTGCATTTTAAGTGTTTTTATTGATAAAATTCCAATTATCCGGCAGTATCACAGTCCTATAACTGCCGGATTACTGATGTATTCTATATTTACAAAAGCCTGCTGTGTTGGGATAGGACTTTTACATGTGGTTTCGGTTGGGGGGTTCTCTGGATTTGGTAATTCACTTGAGGGAAAGTTTCCATCCCCTCAATAATTAATTTTGAGGAGTTGCAAGTTGGGGGAAATTAGTTGAGGAAAATAGGTATTACATGTGTTGTAGTTATTGATTATGTAGGGTTTGTTTGTCACTGAGCTGTTAAATTTGATGGTAGGAATATGAAAGTCGCAAGTTTTACATTTGTTGTACATCAGAAGGGTACAAGCCATTAGAAGAACTTTTTACTCCTTTGAGGATCTGGAATTTTAGTTCCCACCATCATATACTTTTAAGGTTATTTGTTTGATTGAAAACTATAGTTGGTGGCAATTTGAGTAGTAGTAGAATTTTTTAAACTTTCAAAATTTTCCTTTTGTTGTACCGTACAAAGGAACGAAACATTTAAATTTGATGATCCTTCAATACTACTGGTCGATGTCAATTACCGGAACTAAAAAAATCCCTACTCAAATGTAAAATGAGTAAATCTTTTGTACAAACGGTGCAATCACTTCTATAAATTAAGCCTTAGTAAAATGGACCATATTGGAGTTTATACAGATTTTCCTCACCTAATGATCAGTTTAAAGGACCATCTAGCTTTAGTTCTTGAGAGATGACTGCGTTATTCTAGTTATACTCACGTTTTACTCACTCTTTTCACTCATGTTGAATTGTGGCTTGTCCCAAAGATAGATTATTGTAACATGTCTGGAAAGTCGGCCAGCATGTTTGCCAGTTCAACAAAACAGTCAATTCCGAAGACCAATATTGTAATAGTTTATTTTGGCAATGCAAGCCTTTAAGTTGAAAGGCTTATAGTTAAGCTATAAAACTTTTCTAAAATTATTATACGTTTTTATTTTCTCATATATGAATTGGAAGTTATACTAACCTCATCTGCAGTGATGACTTGTATGAAGTTGTCTGGGAATACACCAACTTTTCCATTGAGTTCTCCCCGCCACCACCCCTTGTCTTGACCGTCCCGGCTGATTATGGTAATGATGTCACCTTCCTTCAACGTCAACTCGTCGTCGTTGACTGCGTCGTAAGGGAACATCACTCTACACAGCTCTTTCACTGAAACAGATACAACCACTTAATAATAAATATTATCATATAACATAACCATGTATTTAACTAGTAAATACATGATTAGACCCAGTTTAACCGGTCAATAGTAAAACAACCAGTTAGTAGGCCTAATCACACAACTTGTATAGATAATAAAACCAAGCAACGTTTACAAAACTGATTGGTAATATTTATTACAATAATTTATATAGCCTACGTTATTTAAAAAATAATATTATATTTTCAACTTTCCAAGAAATAAAACAGAAACTATCACGTTTTCTAATCTACCAAATTTTCTTTAAAAAATTAGATTGAAGTCTGGATAGACTATTTATATTCTGGTACAAAAGTAGGTGAAAAGAACCTTCCTCAGTGGATATGACAAAACTGTTTCTGCACTGGGGTAGAAAGATGTAGATGTAGTTATTGAACATTTAAATGGGGAATGAAAAGTGATCAGTTATGAGGTTTAAAACTATTGAATGCCTAGTCTATGATTGTTGTTTCACAACTTTTCCTGGACAATCAGCGAATAAAAAAAGATTTTAATGGCTTAGCACCTTAAATTTAGCTCTTTGAAGGTATCCTTTTGATGTATATTGTACTTGTTTCTGTATAATTTGAGCAGAAATTTTAAATTACATTTGCACTCTACTTTAAAGCATCTCACTAGTCTCATATAGCAACTGAATACATATGCATATAAAATTTCCCCTTTTATTGAGGTAAGATTATTAACTAGTACAGTAGAGTAAACATCTGCTAATTTGGTATATGTTCGTCCGGCACTTTCAATTCTGACATTGATCTAAAGCTCTATAAACATTTGTAGGCTGTTTTTGGCTAAATTAGCACATGTAGCAATACCGGAAGCGATCTGCAGACGTTACACGCAAAATGCAGACTCGCCATTTCATCAAAAAGTATAAAGTATAAGTAAAGTAACTTGAACTCAAAGGAGTTTTAGACGTTTTATTTTATTTTTTTATTTTTATAATTTTAAATTACTACTAAAATAAGGGAAATCACAATTAAAAACCAATAATGGCCCGCCAGCAAAGAACTTCCTTTTGACAATCTACAATTAATTAGTGGTATTTTTTGCTGATCTCGCAATGACAGCTGTTTCAAAACCCGTTCAGTAGTTCGATATTTTCAATAGTCTGGCACGGCACTGTCAATGTCCTAAGTATGCTGGATTAACGAGTACCTATTTACTAAACAGATATTCTGACACAAAAAAAAAATTATTTTGTTCACAACAATTGATTCATTTATATACAAAATAGCTGATTGATATCTAGAAACACTTTGTTTATACCTAATATACCACACTGATAACTACAACAGCTGATTGAGGGCTTAATCAGCTGATATGTGTACTCACTAGGTTTAGGTGGTAGTTGAGGTACGTCTGCTGCACTGTGTGACGTAGACTCCTCATGGTTCATGGTGCTGGCTACAACACAATACAACAAACATCAGCACTTGAGTGGCTGCTGAAGACCCAAACCCCACATTCCTACCTGCACCCCTCCCCCCTCCGTCAGTGTTGCACAACCTTTCCACTCATCCCTTCAGCTCTAGCTGTTATGTAAATAAACAGATTTTAGAAAATCGTCACACAATTGTTTTGTTTTGCACAAAAATTAAAAAGAATTATTCACATCACACAATTTTTTTTCATTATGTGTAAAAAAACCTTAGACCTTATGGATTTATCTACATACAAGTCAACTATATTCATCATATCTGTAGGCCTACATACTGTATTATTTCTGTATGCAATAATACAGTACACTAAGTTTGATCCAATAATGAGTATGTAGTCCTATTAAAACTTTTCATTCAAAGTTGACGAAAATGGTAAAATTTTGATTTATTTAGAGTCTAAATGCTACTTTACACATTTTAATTGCTTATTTCTAAAACATTTGATGTTTTATCTAAGCCTAATGAGAAAATACAAGTACATTCAAGATATCATAGGCCTAAAGTGATAGCAATATGCCAAAACTAATAAAAATCTGACTAGTTGACTTTGTTTACTTTAAAACGAGGATAAAATCAAATAAAGCGACTTGAACCATTTAACCTATGTGACCCTGATAAAAACCTGTGCCTTAGAATTACATCAAAATACAATCAGTGTCTGTTCAAAGACAGATAGACACCGCGTAAAAAAAGAGAATTTTTGATGTTGACAGTCTTGCTGCAATTTAGTTAAACTCGAGACCGTTTTTAACGTTCATCTTAACACTAGAACCAGCAAAACATGACATACCATTGGAAGCTTTAGAGCCTTCAGAGTCCAGACTGCTCTTTGAAGTCTTGCGGTGTGAAGCCTCCTTAAGGCCGGCCTCATCATCAAACACTTCTGAGACAAAATTGGAGGGAAACACTCCGACCTGGCGGGAAAACAATGACAGAGATAAGATATACAACACCATCAACTAGCCAACCACCCAGAAATAGGATATTAGGCTATAAGGCCTGGAAGTGGGAGTTTACGAGCATGATAATTTCTGAGTGCCGGATTTTACACAATTTCCATTCTCCAGATTTACGATTAGCAGCTTCCCCAGAGAGACGCGTAGAATAATTTTGCCTCACTATTACCAACAAATATACAGGGTTAGTAAAACCCCAATAGTCAATGGTAAAACACAATACAAAACACCCATACAATCAGAACAGTGTTTAATGAAAACAATTTTAAAACATTTTCAACACATTTTCAAAACACAACAGAGAATTTACAAATTTTTTAAAAGGAAACATTTTTAAACCTTTCCAGTATTTATTTTGAAAGTGCAATTTGCCTGTTCAACTACCTCTAGTATCTTATGTTTGGATAGTACCATAGACAAATAGAATAAATATAGACTGTCAAAGGAAGGTTCCGGCGCCCACCGCTAGGTATGCCGTGTAGGTACGGCGCACACTGCTGCAGGCGAGGAGCGCAGGAGCCAGATGTGACCAGCAGACGCTGCAGTGGTGTGTGCCGTAACTACACGGCAAACCTAGTGGTGGACGCCAGAACTTATGCTAACCGCAGCACAGCTGACGGTCTATATTTATTCTATTTGTCTATGATCGTACTGAGGAAACCCATGTTACACCTTATTGATAAAGAATGGCCTGTAAGAGTGCTAGGTGAATTTACTGGACTCCTGCTGCTTTTACTTATCTCTTTCTATCAATAACTTTTTGGTCTTCAAAGAGACCAGAAAATAGATGCTTACCATGTAGTGTGGCAAAAATAAATAATAACGACACAATTGGAATTAACAATTTAAAAAAATGGTGAACGAGACAAACAAATCCCTGCTATATAGAACCAACAATTCTTGAAATTTGGCAAAAGGTCTGAATTGATTGTGTTTATTAACCTGTTTTAGGGCTAGAAATATTACTTCGACTCCTATAGGGAAAAGGCTAATGAAATAAGATTTAAGTTAAAAAATGTCTAACATTGTAGGAAAAAATAAATGAATACCGGATAATCAAGGTTTTAGTGTAGTAATAATGTAACAACCATATTTTTAATGGAGCAAAGTCAATCTCGCTCGAACGAACAACATTTTTTTATCTTCCAAATTTCTCGAAAATTCAAGATCAATCCTCCCTACTTTTTACTCTTGTTATGAAATATACTATTTTCAATGTACATATTTTACTGTTTTGTAATTATTGAGATTTTTTGTTTGAACCAGAGATGATTATTTTTTGTTCAGCATGAACATGATAAATAATTTTGATAATGTATTTGTTTAGCTGCTACAGATAAAATAAATTTCTTTAAAAAAAAAACACTTATGAATTACTAGGATGCAGTATGAAATAAACTTAATACCTCTTCTTGAATGGTTATCAGTCTTTGAAGATCCACTGACTGCTGCTAGTAGTTGATAAGATAATTCGACTTTAATGTTTCTACAATAATACTTTGTGAGAAATATGAGGGCTTCAAATAATTTGTTACATAAAAAACACTCCTAATATTGAGCTTGAAAAGGCAACTACTATAATGTGATTTGAATAATAAAAATTTCACTAGACAAATATTACCCGTAAATGAAAAATAAAATAAACATAACCAAGTAGATATTTCCTTGTTGGGTAATCAACACTTAATTGTACATGCTTTTAAAGACTCAATATGTGTCACGAAATTGCATGTCAGTTATGCATCATTTAATTAAAACATATTGATTTTGATTTTTAATATTCACAACAAAATAATACTTAAATGGAGGACACCTTGAATGGATTTTATTATTACTGATATCATTATTACATTGTGGCAGGAACACGATGCTGCATATTTCAACATAGATATGAGTGGAAGCATGAGAAGGGAGTGAGATGCATTATGTAGCTTTGTCACTGAGTATAAGCCGCTTCTAAAACCAGAACCATTTGAAACCCCAATGATTAATTTTTTATCTGACAAAACCCCAGAACTGGACAAATAAAATGTGTTGGGCGAACTATTTTACAGCGAAAAAGCTTAAACAATATGGTACTCTACAGAGATTCACACTTAGCACCACGGTTATCTAGTTGTTTTCAAACAAATCGTTTCCAGTAATCAACAGCATTGAGTCATCACTGTATATAGAATGAGGAGGGAAACCAGTTACAACAATATGTTGGGAAAAGTGGAAAATTAACATAGGTACCACACTGTACTGATTTATAAAATAAACTAAAAACTTGATATCTTAGTTTTGATTTTTAATAATAGTTTAGATTTTTAATTTACCAGTCAATTTTTTTAATTTGGTAAAAATTAACTAGTATCATGGATGTATGCGTTTTAGGTATCTAGACTTCTAGATCTACTTGTAGACATACACATTTAAAAAAATAACCATAAGGTACCACAAAACAATATTTCAGGTAATTAATATATTCGTAAATTATTTTAATTTCTGCAATTCAGAAATATGAAACATTTTTCCAAAAACCAACAGGTTATTTTAATGTAAACCATTTATATTTCTAACATTTATAAGACATCTTAAGAGGTGTTTTAGGACAGTTTAGCCACACTAATAAATCCTACTCTGTAGGACTTCTTGCGGAATGTTTACGAGAGTAAGAGAAAGAGAGGCATAGACAAGTGTTTGTTTGGAGGTCAGCACCACCCACATCTGACTCACAGCTGATTCTGATTCACAACATGACATCATTCAATCCTCTCTCAAATCAGCTGATGTATAACCACACTTATCACAGTGACTACCAGCTTCTTCCAATGATTATTATAATCAAGCACATTTTAAAATTTGTTTCCGGTTGTTGTTGCATTCATAAATCTGTTTGGACAATGATAACTAATTGTAAAAAAATTAAAAAAAACTTTTTTAAAGAAAAATTTACTAATAGTTAACTTAGTCAACAAGTTTAAATAGAACTTGTTGTAAAAGGGGGAAAAACAATAATGTTGTTGGTTGATTCATTGTAATAAAAACTTATACCAATTTAAATATTTAAGGATATTTATGTACCATATAGTCATTATATTTTGGCAATTTTGATTTTTTACAAAACTTTAGTTTTAGTTTGATTAAATGATTAAATGACTAATATATTTTATTGTTAAGAAAATTTGTAGGGACAAAATTCAAGCAATGGACACAGAATTGATGCAATTAGGCCAAACCTTGATTCATACCGTTTCCAAAATAACCAACTCAATAATTAGTGCAAAATAAGACTGAAATTTGTAAATATGCGCAGTACAAAGTTCAAAATTATGTTCAATGAAAGACAATGAACCTTTATGAATCTAATAATACTATATGGGAAAATTAAGCTTTAGTAAAAAAAACCCTTTAATATTACGATATCAAAATAAGATTTAACTTAAATAAAAATTTAAAAAAATTAAATAGAGTTAGAATATTCACAAAATGTACAGTTTAAACTTTAAATAGGACTGTTTGAATCCAGAATGCATTTATCAATCAACTAAATCCCTCTAGCAACAAACATTTAAAGAAACAACACGTCAGAGAGGTGTAACAAATGTTACTTGGCCTACTGATTTAAACAAGGCCATAGCAAACAATAAGACTGAGTACAAATACATTGTTTAGCAGCAGAGCATTTAAGGAATCACCATTTTAGATGCTGTACCTATGTTTTTGTAAAAAAAAAAAAAAAAAAAACTGTATTTATAAACTATGTATTATAAACTATGTATTATAAACTGTATTATAAACTATATGTATTTACAAACTCTAGGAATGATTTTAGGTGTAAAAACAATAGTGAGAAACATTGTTAGTCAGTGTGTTTGTTGGGATCGGTAGGTATTATTTTATTTTATATAAGAAACCAGTTTAAACCCTGAGTTTGTTACTTTCTAACATTTAACTTTAGATAAGCTCAATGACTAAGTAGAGCCATCAAAAGAGAAACGAGGTAAATTCCCTTGGGGCTCTGCCTCAGTGGCCTTTAAAATTCCATTCCCATGTTATTCTTATGAAGAAAAAAAACGGGGATTTTGTCACAGTTAATTTGAGAGAACGGCTGCCCTCACTTGGTAGGGGTGTCTAAAGAAAGGTTTTGGTGTGTAGATGAGCCATCAAAAAAGAAACGAGCTATAACTTTCCTTGGGGCTCTGCCCCAGTGGCCAAAAACGGGGATTTTGTCACAGTTAATTTGAGAGAACGGCTGCCCTCACTTGGTAGGGGTGTCTAAAGAAAGGTTTTGGTGTGTAGATGAGCCATCAAAAAAGAAACGAGGTATAAATTCCCTTGGGGCTCTGTTTCAGTGGCCTTTAAAGTTCCATTCCCATGTTGTTCTTATGAAGAAAAAAAACGGTGTTTTTGTAACAGTTAATTTGAGAGAATTGCTGGGCGTAGAAACTTGGTAGGGGTATCTAATGAAAGTTCTTGGTCTGTAGATGAGCCATCAAAAGAGAAACGAGGTAAATTTCCTTGGGGATCTGCCCCAGAGGCCTTTAAAGTTCCCTTCCTAGATATGTTTACATTATGGCCATATGGATAATTTTACACTATTTAATGAAACAGCTGATAAGATTTTATAGGCCTAAGGATTTGCTGAATCTGTCAAGATAAAAATTTACATAGTTGGAAATATAATAATTTGCAATAGGCTATTACTTTTTTTTGTGTACCGGTACTAACTTGTTGAGCAGTTATACAGTTTTTATTTAATTTACCCCTTTAGGACTTATTTCTCTATCTAGACCAATGCCTCAAACTCCAAGTACGTTGAAACATCGCAAGGAAAGTCATACTGGAATACGAGAGCGATTCAGTAATCACTTTAAACAAAGAGTTTTACAAGGCTTGATGATGAATATTTTCATTGTGTTATGTACGGGTATTTTAACCTACATAACCTACATAAGCGTTAAACTGCCAATAACAGCTAACCGAATGGAACCCAACCTAAACTGAAATATCCTAACATAACCAAACTCTATTACGTCGGCAAGTTCCTTTTTGATGTCTTAAAAACCATGTAGATTGTGTAGTTTTTTATGCAAATTCGTGACAGCAATAGTCTTTTGAAAGAAGTTGGATTAGGTAAAAACAATCTTCCAAATCTAAACTAACTTCACATGCCTAAAATATAGCAAACTAAAACGGGAATCTCGGGATGAAACCCGCATTTCCCCCAAAAGTGCCTAGAATCGTCTAAGTTAGTTAAAGAATGCAGAATGTTGTAAGTATCACTTGAGTAGAGTAGCTAAAGTTTATAAATACCAAATTTAATTTATAGCCAATCAAAGAAACTCAGAACATCCAGCCCTCAACTGTCGACGTCAAGGCAGCCAACTGAGATGGACATGCACTTGGATTTGGATTTTGACATTCCGGTTATTGCTCTTGAGCTAACAGATTCCCACGACGAAGAAGAAGATTATCATGTTCCAATCGTAAATAATGACCCTATGCCTCAAACTCTGAGTAGGTACGTTAAAACGTCACAACAAAAGCCTTACTGGAAAACGAGAGCGATCCAGTAAGCTTCACTTTTTCTATAGTATGAATGCTACAGTAAGCTGGGATTGTTGTTATTTAAACATAAAAGTAACCGTCGATTACGACGGGTTTCACCAAGTTGTTTATAAATAAAATCTAACCTGTCCATTTAACTTTCCTCGCCACCATCCTTCCTCCACCTCTGATAGGATGTCTATGAGATCGCCAACCTGCAGCTCCAACTCATCATCATTGGCCGGCTGATAGCTGAATAGAACTTTGCATCTGCGGCCAGGAACTGCAGGCAATACATATGTATATTAGCATTATATATTTGTATTAACAATATACATCAACAGGATCTTACACTGTGACACAACACTCAAGAGCATCAAGTTAAAGGCTATTTTATGTAACCTTTAGTCAAATTCAATCCTGTGTTTTTGCAGTGACAACACAAAAATAATAAATAATTCTGCAACAGACTTACCTTTTTAATAATTAATTGTTTAAGAACACTGGCAAATATGACCTAAAGTTTGAATACAAAAACTAATTAAAAAGTAAACTAATTAAAAATACAAATAGGAGTTATGACATAAAAAGAAAGATAGGAGTCCAAATTGGATAAAATGATTTTGTAACCACTTGAGAATGCCATATATGGCAAAACATATGTAGGTAGTGGACTTCAAACACTATATTTGAACTGCAAGACGAGGTATGTAAAGTTTAGTCTATACTACGCAGTTCAGGGGCTACAAAATGGAGTTTAATAAAAAGAAAGTTATTTAAATATATATAAAGTTTTCAAATGTAACCTATTTTATCCAGAATTATATAAGTAAGGGTACTTTGGTATTATACGGGGGCCAAATATTTTACAGCGCACTGTGATAGGTTATCATAATTATGTTTGTAGGAATTTCCTCGTTTCGTTATGAATCGAACGATACCAGATCAGTCATAGGCCTACTTTCTATTTATGAAAACCTAACCTAACATAACTGCCGCAGCGCGCTGTATAAGGGTGGCCTACCAAAGTACCTAAGTAAGTTACTGGCAGGCTGATAAAAAAGTACACAAGAGATATAGTTTAAAGCGTTATGTTTAAATATAATATGTGATTGAAATCTTTAAGTCAAACTAAATTTAAATCTTACCAGCTCTTAATGGCACATCCATTGTGGAATCTCCAAGTTCAAAAACCTGAAACACCAGCTCTAGTAAGCAATTTTAGACACAACTTGCTACATGAATATCAATAGGATACTTTCTACTGCCTGCCATGGTATGGACAACAATATTCAAGTGTCTAAAGGATGTTTTGCATATCTCCAATAACACCAGCCTCAAGGTTATAAGTACCGGTAGTAGCTAACACTGTAGACAAATAGATTACTTTTTACATTGAAATGAGTAAGTTTTTTACTTATTTTGTCTTAAAAGTTAATATTTTCCCAACGAGTAAACTTACCCTATTCCTAACACTTGTCAACACATTTGAAGAAAAATAGACTGTACCCCCAAGGTAATTTGTCCTTAACACTTGATCAGACGCACTGATTAAACACCATTGGGTGCGCACGCTGAGATTACTTCAGTGTTTGGAAAAATACAGATAACAACTAAGTATTTCAAGCAGGTACCAAGGTTGTGATTTTTTGCCATTAAAGTTAGGCCTATATGGAACAACAACAGAGACTTGAATTTAACATGCAAAAAAATTTTTTACTAAAAAATAATAATTAAAAAAAGCACTAGGCCTGGGTTTTACTACTTAGGATTTGGACCATTCTCTTTTAAAAAGTGTAAAACCAGGGGTGCCCACAAGGGGGGGCCGTGACGCAGACTGCGTCATTGAAATTCTTGGGGGGGGCTCAAAAAATTCAAATGGGGGGGGGGGGTAAAGTTAATTGCAACAGTGTTCAACGTGACGACAATCCAAAATACATTACGAAATCGGCAGATAGAAAGTGGATAATTAATAACAATAGTTATATTATTGAATTAAATTAGTTAAAATAGGATTTTAGGATAGTTTAGGATTCGTGTAGAAAGTTATTATTTAAGATTAGCAAGACGTGAGATCTAAGAGAGGGAGCGCACGGGATGGCTCAACTGCTGTGATACATAAAAGATAACGCGTGGTACAGACACGTCCAGCTACACCTTTGTTGACATAAAGCTCGTTAAAATACAATCAAGTAGCAAGTAGCATAGGCTACAATACTTTACACTATTGTGTATATTCGATTACCTGAGTTAATAGGGAGAGGGCGGAATGAAAAATACGGTTAATCCATTATAGTATAAAAAAAGATGACAAACTAATTAAAACGCTGTAAACAGCCATTAAGTCACGATTTACATTTTTATAAACGAAATTCAATATTGCACAATCATTATTATTGTAAATTTCAAATCATTTATCTTGGTTCAGTTGTACAAACGGCAACGTTTAAAATTGTAGCTAACTCAAACTCAACTAATCACTAGCTAAACATCACATTGCTATAAATAACGTAAATATTAAAGGAGCCTTTAGAAAGTGTTATAAGGTACTGCTCATGATAGACAGATAGGCTACCGATAGGTGCTGTATCACAGCATAGGAATTGATAGATAAGTACAGTAATAAAAAAGTGTAAAATTATATTTAGAGATAATTAAAACACTCTTAAAAAAGAATGTAACGAGAACAATCTTGTTATTCTCTTTCTTTGTTCTTCTGTTCATTAATAGGGTTCTCTTCAATTCATACACAAATTCAACAAGTCGCCATATTTAGGCCTACTCATTGGCCAAACACAGCCTTACTAAAGTTACCATGGTTATCACTCAATCACAGTGTACTAAGCATTATATCGTCATCATTCCCCAGCTGTTGTATTTGAAATCTGTTGTAACATACCGCACAGCAGACAGAAGTGTTAACGGAGCAGACGATTGTTGGCGCAAGCGTTGTTTCCATTTCATTTTCATCAATGGAGCTGTGATGTTTCTAAAGGGAAAGACGCTGACAATTCGTTATGGATATTCTGGCAATAAAACTTCCTTAAATTGAGGTGACTTATAAAACTCTAATTTTATTTATATAGAAAGATAAGTTTTCCAGTCCTGTACAACACTGATTCACGGTCTTTTCCCTGTAATCAAAATTCAAGTACAACTTGATACACACAGAATCTCCGGTTCCCGACCTGGATGATGGCACAGAAAACGATGGCTAGTTATTTAATTTAATTTACAGTTACATATTAGTACTCGTGATAAATCAAACTCGTTATGTAAGCCAAAGCCACACGGTTATTAATCTCACTTGGTTTTGGATTTGCTTACAAACGTGATTGGAAATGGTTAGGGCCTACACAGTATTCTTAAAGAACATTTATGTAAACATATCAGTGACAGCTAGGAAAAGGAATCTTTATCAAAACAGCTGTTCGTAATTTCATATATGACGTGTTCTCCTAACAGATTAGTAGTATTTCATAAATTAATGACGTATGTAGTAAACATGGAGAAAATAAACTAGAAAAATCACACAAAATTGTATTTTTGATCGTCCGTTATTTTATTTCCAAAATAGTGAGGCCATATTTTAATGGCTATAAGGACTCTCTCGCCAATCCTGTGGATACAATTAAACCATTAGAATCATAATCGGTACTCTAGTTTTCTTCAGAGCAGGCCATGAGTAGGCTGCATAACATGCCTTCTGGGCCGTGACAGACGGACATAAATGGAGATAAGACATGTTTCAACTTCTTCAATGTATAAAACATAAATAACCCAAAATATGTATAATTCTGAGCAATGTACAGACAAAACTATAACTTTATTGATATAGATTAACTGGGTTTGAATTTTAAATATCTAAAAAAAAATTAAAAACTTCTTTTATAGTTTTACAAATAGTGCTGGGCGGGGGAATAATGTTTCTCATTTGTTGTGTACATCATTTATGGGGGGGGGGGGCTGTTGCTCAATTGGGGGGGGGGGTGCGTCATGAGTCTAGGGGGGGATGGGCACCCCTGGTAAAACTAACTGTCAATGACATACTAGTCAATAGACAAAAAATTTACAATACTAAACACAATAGCCTAATGCAGAGAAGCAATTAAAAACTCCAATGTGAGGATAAATGAGTTCATGTAGACGATTTGAATAAGTTTGTGATGAATGGATGAAATAAGTTATAAATACAATAAAAGGACGGCAAATGTTTAGAACGTTAACCCCCACCACGCAACCAATGGAAATACAAAATAAAATGCAATGGTTTAACATAGATATGTAAAATGCCATTTTAGACTATAGCTCCAGGCAGATAATAGTTGTTTGATACTTTTTGCTTGTACCTGCATTTTTAACATTGCATATTTACTAGCTACTACCAAGCAATATTTATAAACAATTTAAAAGTAAGAAGAAACAAATAGGGGGGAAATTATAATAATTAAATAACTAATGGCGCTGCGTAGCGGTGACACGAGCAGCACTCGTAAGTTGGCCGCCGGACCTAAAGCGGCCGTACGAGTAACGCTCGTAAGTCGGCGCCAATGGGTGAAGTTACCCTACACTTTATGATAAGAAATTTGTACATTAACATTTAAAGAGAAAAAAAAATGTCTGGTTGATTTGTAGGGTTAGCAATAAACTAACTTAGTTTCACGTGAATGATACTGCAAACTAACTTAGTTTTTGTACCGAGAAGAGCTTTAGGATAAGTTACAGGATTTGATTAATTGGTAAACAGTCCAATAAGTTAATGATTAGGCCTTTTGCTAAGGGCTGGCGTGCACTAGCCCAACCACGACCACGACTCCGACCAGTCGGATACGACCAGTTTAAAGGCTCGTCCAAACCGAAGCGGGAAAGTGGCGGGAGCGGTGCGGGAGCGGGAAGGGGGTGAGTGACCGGCGGGAACCAGCGGCAGCGATACGGGGCGGGAAAGAGGGAGCCCACACCGAAAGCTGCAGGCAGCGGGAAGCGGGACGACTCCTCCGTTCATTTTCATCTTAGCTACAGAGTGGTTGTGTTAAGTGAATGTTTGTGTTTTATGCGTTCATTGCATGAATCGTAATGTAAAAGAAGAAGCTTTGCTCTTGCTAGCAACAGCTGAGGATGAAGATGAAGCTGCAAGACGGCGATCTGTTTGGCTTCATGAAATTAATTTAAATAGACATTTATGCCGAATCTAAGGAAAGACGAAAGGCGGTTTCAAAGGGGGTTATCTACAATCCAAAAACTACTTTGAATATCAATAATTTTATCGTGAGGTGGCTAATAAATAACAACTCTTAACATCATGAGCCATGTACCCATGTGTTCCCGTGGCGGTACGAGCGGGAAAATCCAACATGTTTCAAACCGGCGGGACGATCGAACAACGCTGCGGGACGGCGGGAGCGGTACCGCTCTAGTGTGGGCGCTCACATCTAACACCATGTGTTTTAAAATCCCGCGCGGGAATTCGTCCCGCCACCTTCCCGCTTCGGTTTGGACGGGCCTTTATAGTAGGCGTAAATGGAACAGCGCGCACTGGTCGACTGGTCGGACCCTGGTCACACGGCCAAAGTCCTTGCAGTTTGGTCAGGACTCTCTGGTTGTTGCAGCCAAAAATAGAACAGGTTGTAACCCAACCAGTACACCGCTCAACCCCCAGTATTCCTAGATCAAACGGTAAAAAATCAATTGTTTTTGTGTGGTTTGTAAAGTGACTTATTTTGTAAAATGTGGCAGGATTTTGACACTGAGAGTTTTATTATGGCTATTAAAGAAAGGTCCTTTTTATGGGATCTATCAGCAGATTATGCCAAAGGAGGGGTGAAGAAAGAACCTTTGGAGGAGATCACGCTGATGTTTAGTGGACGTGAGAACGTTACTCATTCAGCCACTTCTTCAACATCCATCTTGACACTGAAGTACCGGTATGGTAAACATTTGTTGCCTTGGTCGGGTCGTGCTCTTGTTGCATGGTGGCGACCGGTCTGGCAATTGGTCGAAGTCGGGCTAGTGCACGCCAGCCCTTAAATCGGTGAGATCAATATTGAAAACAATCATTAAGTTATTAATCAATGCACAAGCAATAGGCCTGGATTTTTTTCTTAATTTTGACGCCAGTGGCATTATTAGACGAGAGATAATGTACGGTGGGTGTGTAGCCTACTGAAATTGTGATTTTAGGGAAAGCGGTACGGTACTAACTCATGTTTTGAGGATGTGTCTCGAACCGAATTTAACCAGGGTAGTCCTAAGTTATATCCCCAAGTTCTGCTGCCTGAATAGCCTAAGTTAAGTTTTAATAGAGCCTGATCTACCTACTTGATTTTGTTATGAAAAGTAAAGTAGGGTTTCTTTAATATCAATAGGAGAATTATGAGGCTAACTCAAATAAGTTAACTAGGCCTAAGTAAGTTAATTTGCTCCTATGTCAACATCCCATGTCACTGGCTGAAAAATTGTTCTAACACATTACACTATTTTTGGGGTACGGTAGACTTCCGTATCTGTTGTCAAAAACAACCGAATGAAAATATAGCATAATCTTACATTCGGTTGTTTCTGACAAAAGATACAGAAGTGTGCCCCATTTTTGCTCCAAGAATTTAAGAAAAATTCCAAGCAAAGCAATTGAAAATGAAAATATATAAGCTACAAACCTTTGCAAAATTATCAGGAAACATCCTCTCTTTCCAGTAATAACTAAACTTAACTTAAGGTTCCTTTCCCACAAACCACCAGGTTGTTTACTGATAGCCTACAAACAATTGATCATTTCACCCTTCTTGATAAGTTAGTCAGTTTGTCAGGCTCCTGAGCCTTGTAATCAAATTCAACAACTGCTTCAAATAGGTTTGCTGAAAATCAAAAATATAAACTTTGTTCTTTAGACTGTATAACAACAATGCTGAGATGGGCTAGATTTGTTTCCTAGGAAGTAATCTTTTTGTAACCTACTTAATGACAGAGGTTAATTTTATAATACTTACCCATGTGTGGATAGATATAGAGCTTCAAAAGATGTATAGCACATTAGATAAACATTTACAACATATAAAATTTACAATAAACTACTTCATGACGCACGGGCCAACCCTAAAAACCCTTACGAAATGAAAACTCGGAACGTCACAAACACACACACAACAGACAACAGTGTAGATGTTTAGGAGTTTATTCTTCTTTCTCTCGCCAGAGTTGAGTAGCAGTTCATTTAATCTTGCTGGCAGTTGTGGAGAAAAAAAGGCTATTTAGCAACACAACGAGCAATGGTCGTGAAAGAATTAGCAACTCGTGTAAGGATTATATTGTATATAACTACTGTGTAGCTATTATTTCGACTCTACATTTTATTTAATTACTCTTGATGATATATGGTATTATTAATAATGTTGATTTGCGTTATACACTATATAATTTTTTAATAGCAAATTAATCGTGTGTACCTACCATTTTATTCTGGTAATCCAACGGGAAACCGGCACAATGTAAAATATTTCCGAAAAGATAATAAAATAAACGTTATCAGCAATCTGACACATACTTTCTCCCATAAGCTTGTCAAAAACCTTTATCAATGGGTAAGCGTGGGAGTATAACATTTTATAGAGAAAAAAAATCACATAAGTTGCAATAACTTTTAAATCATAATGTTTACAGCAATGGGGGGGTTGCCCTATGATGTTAAGAATTATAAGGACCATCACATACTAATTTCAATAAAAACCTGTTTTTACGAAAATACTATTTTCTCTTATTTTATAGGGGTTTTTAATGGGAAAATAACATAATTTACAATAACTTTTGAACCTTGCTTTTTACAGAAATGGGATTTGTACAATTTAGTTCAGAATTTAAAGGACTATAACATACTACATTTTTTATCAAAATTGTTCGGGCCATTTTTTATAAAATCCAATTTTCCCGTTATTTTATTGGTTTTATGGGAAAACCGCCATTAAAAATTAAAATTTAAAAAAATGAGAAAAACACCTGGAGATACAATGGATTAGTATAATTACATTCAAAATTAGTAGCTTTGTATATAAATAAATTTTACAAGTTTGATCAAAATATATAAACCAGCAAACTACAAAAGTTTACTTATTCTCCATAAGAATAAAATGGGATTTTTAAGTTTACAATTCATTAAATTTTCTCTGTAACCAATAAAATTCCCTTTAATATACAAAATTATTTGTTTTTAAGCTCTTTAAAAAGGTTGAATGAGAAATTGGGAAATTTTATGTTTTGAGGGTCAAAATGAGAAAACCCCATAACACCCAATCCCATAGTTTGAACTCATTCAAATTTTTCCTCACACCTTTAAACCAAATATAATCCAAAATTGAACAAATAATTACTCAAGTTATCGTGTTCAACATTAGTCCCTCTAGCGTTGTTTGTTTATCACACTTAAATTTAACATTTTTAGAATTTTCCTCCGTTTCCAAAACCGTACAAAAACACTTTGATATACCGGTACTAATTAAATTATTTGTTATTTTTTATTCTTTAAAAAGGTCTAGAGAGAAATGCTGGTTCTCAAAATCATTCAAGTTTATCCCGCCTTACACCTTTAAACAAAATTTAATCAAAGTGGGACAAAAACTACTCAAGTTTTCGCATTCACATATATACAACCGTGAATGCGAAAACTTGAGTAGTTTGTGTCCCACTTTGATTACATTTTGTTTAAAGGTGTAAGGCGGGATAAACTTGAATGATTTTGAGAACCAGCATTTCTCTCTAGACCTTTTTAAAGAATAAAAAATAACAAATAATTTAATTAGTACCGGTATATCAAAGTGTTTTTGTACGGTTTTGGAAACGGAGGAAAATTCTAAAAATGTTAAATTTAAGTGTGATAAACAAACAACGCTAGAGAGCACTGATGTGGACTAATGTTGAACACGATAACTTGAGTAATTATTTGTTCAATTTTGGATTATATTTGGTTTAAAGGTGTGAGGAAAAATTTGAATGAGTTCAAACTATGGGATTGGGTGTTATGGGGTTTTCTCATTTTGACCCTCAAAACATAAAATTTCCCAATTTCTCATTCAACCTTTTTAAAGAGCTTAAAAACAAATAATTTTGTATATTAAAGGGAATTTTATTGGTTACAGAGAAAATTTAATGAATTGTAAACTTAAAAATCCCATTTTCTTCTTATCTATATAAATAAAATTAGAGTTTTGTCTGTACATTGCTTAGAATAATGAACTTTTTGGTTATTTTTACATTTCATAGGTCAGAGAAACCGAATCAAACCTTATCTCAATTTCTGTCTGTCTGTCTGTCTGTCTGTCTGTCTGTCTATCTGTCATTCTCTTGGTAACGCTAAAATACGCACTTTATTACAACTACTCCTCAATAACTATAGCACTGTCCCGCCTGAAACTTATTTTCCAAATACTATACATATATGAGATGGTTTTAGACGTATTTCATCGAATATGAGACAGTTAGATATTTAACAGTAAACCCTTGAAAATCAAGTTTTTGTCGATTTTTGACGTGGAATTTCTGGAAGCCCATGTTAACCTTATGAGAAATGAAATTATTGAATCTTAACAGCTGTTTCAATTAAACAAGTTGGTTCTGTTCTGTGATGTTCAATAGCATTAAAGTTACAAGGATTACCAACAGGGTGCAGCACTAGCACTATTATTTCTTTTACATTTATGACAACAGCTAATTTGCAACCTGGAGGCGAGTGAGCGTAGCGAACGAGCTAACCTGAAGGCAAGTGAGCGTAGCGAACGAGCTAACCTGAAGGAAAGTGAGCGCAGCGAACGAGCTCCAACATACAGGTGAGTGAGCGTAGCGAACGAACTTCAACCAGGACGTGATTGAGCCATGCAAACGAGATCAGATAGTAAAAATAAAAGTAAGCCTACCGTTATAGGATCGACCGGCAGACACAGAGGTAATTTAACCTTTTATTGATTGTCATACCGATCCGGAACAACAAAAAACAACATAAAATGAAGCTATGTATAATAGTTTGGCCAGCATATCTTAAAATATGCAAACCAACTGCTGTTCTTTATATAAGAAGGTTTCAACTGAATATTATAAGATCCCCGTGCGTAGAACGGGTACACAGCTAGTGGAGAATAAGTAAACTTTTGTAGTTTGCTCTTGTTTATATATTTTGATCAAACTTGTAAAATTTATTTATATACAAAGCTACTAACGTTTTACTAAAAAACACGATTTATTACCCTTACCTGTAGAAGCAACCCAGGTACTCGTTATACCTAAAGTTATTTAAATATATTTATTTGAAAATCCAATCAGGTAAATGGAAATTCGCTTAGCCTGCAGGTTTGCTGTGGCAGTGGTATTTACTGAACAAAGAAGAATTTTGTAGTTTTATGAAATTTAAAAAATGTTTCTCTTCGATAAGTTTTCTTAAATACCAAAATTACCATATTCATTATCATCATCATTTGAGATGGGAATGCCACCTAGGTGCGTATTTTAACCCAAATATGAGCAAGGATGAGTGGAGAGAGGAGTGTGAGATGATCTATGTGTGAGTGTGAATGTAGCTAATTTTTACTGACTAACACTCCTTTCGATTTTCGCTGTCTTGTTGGAGACAGTATGTTTTTTGTCGTGTCCATGTTTCTTTCATATTACACAATTTCTGACCAAACGGTGAGATAAATGTTTTTACAATGTCGCAATAAAAATAAACAGTGTCCGGATAGGTCAAATTGTAAACAATAAGCATTGCAACAGCTGATCTGTTTGCACTGGCTGGTGTGCTAACTGGCTGGTTTTTAATCTCATTCAATTAAAAACTGTGCAGTATCAGATCTTGAATTGAACTACATACACCACTGACGCAGGAGTTGTCAACACCACATACCACAGTTGCCGCCGCCATAACCGTGTACTGTAGTGTGAAGCTCTCGTTCTTCTTGACACTACTAAAAAATAATTACCCGTACGGTTTTTACACTTAAATCGAATATTTGAAATGACGGTAAGATCACCTGTTTCATTAGCAATAAGGATAATTTATTTATAACCCAATGATCAGGAACATCTAGGTCCAGTTTCGAACCATCAAAAAGCTAAGCTACTGACTTTTCTCGGAATCAATCCGGCAACTTTTATGGATTGTTAGGCGAGCACTATTACCACTCAGCTACCAAGCAAGATATTTACCATACATACAACATTATGACTTTAAATTTTACAAATTAATGTTTATTTTGGATCTTACAGTTTTTAGTCATACACTTGTTTTAATTATTTAATTTTGTCATTTCTCAACTGAATCCAAAACCAAGATTTTCAGCAAAACAAAAATTCCCTTGGGTTCTGCCCCAGTGGCTTTTAAAGTTCCCATATTATCCTTATGAAGAAAATATTTGTTTACATTATGATCAACTGGATAATTTTATTGCTGTTAATATTTTAGTTGCAATTTAAGGACGCATGTGCAACAAACATTTACTGACTTGGTTTAAATGAATTATTTTCTATTTGAATTTGGGTTGGGAGTAAATATTACAATGAAAAAAGCAAGAAAGCCTGGACAATTCAATATAGGTACTAAAAAGAAAACTGAATTTAAACTGTGTTGTATTTCTTGAGCAATCATTGAAAGAGCCGATTTGCAAACTATGGAAACATGAAACATAGGAAAGTTATAAAACACCACCAAGTAGAAGAAATAGAAATAATGTTTTTGTAGAATTTTTAATCGTGAGTATTTCCATAATCTTTGAGTCGACTGTTCTAAAGTCATCGGTAACACTGTTATTCTTTTTAAACTAATGCCTGTAAAACTTTGCAATTTCGAGCAAAAAAATAATAAAGTTTGATTTATTTGTGCTACCTTACAAAAACAATTCCCCTCATATTTCCTGACTATTGTCATAAATTCTCACAAAATAATAAAATTCCAGAATAACCTCCTATCTGGAGCAACATTTCTTCACAAAGCTTTAACATAAAACATGTTTTTTAAAGGTTTTAAGAATATATTTATCAATTTACAATAAAATATTTATTACAAAATTAACAACAAGCGAGAGATAAAACAACTTTAACATATGTTTCTATTACATTATCTTTAAAACTATATACAACAATCCAAGCTTAACATGATATTCTAAAAACAATATTAAAATAAGACACATTTACAAAGTCTCATAACCTCCATTGTTCACAATATGTAATGATAAGGTACCAGAAGTAAAACATAGATTTGAATAAAAATACAAATACAAAGCGAGGCAAAAAAGCAAACCGCAATTCATAGCAACCAAGTAAATTAACATTTTCATCCTAAAAATCAGTTTTGCTATATTGATTCAATCATTCAACAAAACTAAAAAATGCCAGCCTCCATTTTAAGTTACATCTTTCGTTGAATATAAAGAGCTAATTTAACATCAGAGCAGGTTTTTTTCTATAACTAAACATTATAATTAAAGCCTTAACATGTATTTATCAGTCTATCAGGACTCTAAGACACTAAGATGTAACGGAGGACTCGTGGTTAGACTCGTAGAGAGTGTAAGTATCTCCATTGTGAGAGTTGAAGTGTTTTCCACCAGTAGCGGGGAGGGAGGGGGTGGACATGACGTTTGAGGGGGATGACTGTGGCGAGGGGGAGGCGGGGAGGTGTTCAGGGACAGGAGGGATTGGTTGGGATTGGATGGGTTTGATAGCGGGTGCTGCAACCGGTTGTGCGGGTGTGTTTGATTTCAACTCTTTCTTGAGATTTATAATCAGTTCTACGAGCCTTTCCTGAAACAATCGAATGTCATATAATTAAAATATTATATTTAAAGGTGGGTCATAATTTAATAAATTCAATAAATTAATAAATTCAATTTCGATACAATTCAGCTTGATAGTTAAAATTGTCATAACAGCTGATTTGAGGAACTGAACTGCACTCCAAGTTCCACGCAGACAATCAAATTTCTGGCTTGAACTCACATTGTTTAAAATAAATGTTGTACACACACGGTTTGATTCGTCTTGGCAGTTTGGGTTATTCATGTCAAATTTACTAGCCAAATTGACCATGTTTAGTGGGCTTAACATTTTTTTAAGAGGTTGGCGACCTATTTTAACATTGCATTTGCCCATCCACCTATGGGCTTCGGGCCTGTGCGAGGCACGTGTCCAGCAAAGCAAAAGGTGAGCCGGTACAGTACAAGGATGAACAATACTGATAAAAGTAGTGACAGGGACCAGGATCCGAACCCACGACATCGCTGCCTTGGGTATGAGGACCCAGGTTACAGTACATAATCTGTTTCCTTGACAAAAAATTGATAAAATAATCCTCATAAGCCTAACCCAGTGATTTTGAAAGCCCAAGAGAATGAATGATAGAATGATAATTATTGGCACATAACGTACAGAGTTTACAGCATCAGGTGCTTCGTCATGAATAGATAAGTCGTCTCTTTCTTCCTAGGTTAAAATACATTAAAGGCATTAACAAAAAATAGGCTATGTGTATAATACTGATAATACACAAGAGTAAAATGTAACAGAATAATATAATATACGCTTAAAACTATTTAACATGGACGATAAAGTAATAAAGTATTATTACTCAAAAGTATAAACATTTGAGTATCAACAAGGTTTTAAAATATATTTTATTAGAGTTTATTAAAGATTAGAGCATCCCATAGATATAGAACAAAATCCCTAAGTTACCCGGTAAGTGGATGGAACTGTTTTTGATTTTTTCATATTTTTTTTTCAATACTAATACAGTAAGTAAAATTGATGAAATATGATAAATGGATTTTAGCTTTAAAAAGTTTCACCAATACATTGAATTGACTGAATAGTGAATACTGCATAATTTCAATTTAGTATAAGGAGTTAAGCACTTCTACGTCCACTATTGTTGTACGCCTGCCCAGTATCGGGAACTGCTTTATCAAGCTCGATTCGTAAACTGCAAACGTTTGAAAATAAAGTTTTAAGAATAATTCTAAAATGTCCCTGGTATGTTCGAACCCGTCAAATACATTTAGAACTGAGAATAAAACCTATAGAAGATTTCATCAAGAAAATTCCATCAAAATTATTTACAAAACTTCCATTAACCAGCAGCATTGGATTTTATAACACAGGCCAACCTTCTGAAATCCAGAGACTCCAACTAAAAACCAGATTGCCTCAAGATGTTTTATTATAACAATTTTTTTTTCATTTGTGTTTTATTGGTGGACAACGCCTTTACAGTCCGACCCGCTAAAACAGTGACAATAAGTGCCTGAGGGGCTAGCCATAGCTGACCTCTACCTATGTTAATGTAATTAATAATGTTATTTTTTTCTTTCTTATATTATACCTAACATGCATAGCAATGTAATGCTAATCGGTTAATAAAATTGTTATAAAAAATAAAAATAAAAATAAGCAGTTAAGGTTATTTCAAAGACAGCTTTGAGGCTCATCAGTTCATTGTATACAAAGTTCAGTTTAGTGTGTTTGAAGGAGTACACTTTGTCCCATGAAGGAATATCTCGAATTTTTTAATGACAGATTTTAGACCATATATGTTCTTTACGCCAAAGAGGCCATTATTTATTATTGGGTTGCAAAACTCTACAAATTGTTTAGCAGGTACTTTTATCCAATTTCCCACTCAGACTAACTCCTGAAATGTGATTTCCCCTAAGACATACTGTGATTCAGTTTAAATGCTTCCAATTGAGTATTGTGGCTTTTATTTATCATTATTGTTTAAATTTTCTTTAAGGTGTTTGTTTATAGCAAAAACATAACAAACAAAATGTGTATCTTTTATGTTGATTGCACATTTTCATGTAGGTATTTTTTTTAAAGGTTGGCAGCCTCTTTCAACCCTGCATTTGCCCATCCACTTAGACTACAGATCTGTGCGTGGAACGTATTGTATCCAGCAACGCAAGTGGTGAGCCGGTAGAGTACAAAAGGTGAACTGTACTGATAAAATGTTTGTAGCAGTGACCAGGATCCGAACCAACGACATCAATGCCTTGGGCCCAAAGTCCGTGACGCTACCAACTGAGCCACCGACTCACCTTATTTTACATTTTGTTACCTGATTAAATTTTATCATGAAAAAGTTAACTAATGTTAAATACAAAATCTATTAAATAGTTACCATCAAGTGTACGCTGAAATGATGAATCCTTGTGATTTGGGTTGCTGTCATTTCCATTGCAGTCTCCAGATGCATTGCCTTAAAAATGTCAAAATATTAAATTTTTTGTATTATTGTATCCAACCCACATTAAGGTAAGTTGTATAATATTATAATTTTTTAAATAAATATCCATTAAAATATAATACTTTATGGTTTTATCGTTAATTTGATTGCAAGATAATCTATTTAATGGAAAAATAAAGCTGTTAATCGTCTCAAAAAGACCTTATCAGCTGTATTGTAAATTGTAAAACATATATAGATGATATACTTATATTTGATTTTCAACTTTGATGATGGCCCCTAGAGTATCATAGAATTAGGTTTAAGACAGAAAAATTGCCAAAAGTTTTACTGGAAATGTGCCAATTTGGAAGTGTAAAGGACGAACATATAGTCAGACGTACATTCGACTATACATGTATGTATAGGTAAGTGGCATCTATTAGCCCAGTTCCAATGAGAATACAATATTACATGACACATTAAATCTAGAACACTCCTGACGTTCTTGAAACAACATATCAGTTTAGTTATGTTTCAGAAATGTTTTATTTTACCAGAAGTATTACCATCCAGGAAAGATGTTTTGATCAATTGTGGCAGTGATGTTTATGGTTTTCATTGTTATAGGACGGGTAAATAGGGGGTAGGAGGGGGTCTTTGAGCCCGTAACACTTACACCAAAACATCAATACAAACTATAACCACAGCCTTTGTTATTAAAAATTCAACATCGCATGCATCAGTATTCATAAACTTAAACGTGATCCACAAAATGATTGTGATTCTGTCGTAGTTAGTCAGAAATTCAAAAGGTAGTTACTTTCAATTAAGAGCCTTATATTATGCGTGGCCACTCGAGTAGCTTGCCACCGCGAGGCCATATGCTATCATATGGAGCTTATTAAGCAACGCAACCGCAGTGGCGAGGCACGCGACAGTCGCCGCGACTGGCCACACCACTCGCTACTGGTGGTGAGCCCAAGCGACTGTCGCCCCACCAGCGGGCGATGTTCTCATATGCTGCTTATAGCGCACAGCCACAGTCGCAGGCCACAGCGCAGTCCCCCACTCCCTACCACACAATCAGTCACGATTTTTGTGTCAAAATTGTTATTATATTATTATTATTATGGTTATATTAATGTCAAAACTATTATATGTAGTTTAAGGTAAGTGCTAGCCTCTCCTTAGCTGAAATGAAAAATTATTTACATTCTTGTGGGTTACGGATAAGTCACGGTCTATTTTTCTAAAAGTTCATCATAAAAACATTTTGACACCCGGAAATATTAAAAAGAAACTTCTCCATAATTTAGTGTAAAAAATACTTCTTCTGAAAGAAGCTTTTAGTAGCAGATGGACCCCAAAACTGTTGTTTCACCTACGTTTATGACGCTTAAGTAAAAGCAGAGTAATAGTTCATCTTCTTTACTATGTTACATAGATTCCGTGTGGACGACTATATCATTCACACTGAGAAACTACATACTGTATACAATTCGGTCAGATACGCAACCTCACCACACTTGACGCCACACCTGTGGCCTCCCCAAGTGACTGAGCAGTTGCGGTCGCGAGCCACTCGAGTGGCCATGCATAATAAGGCTCTTAATTGTTAATTTCCACAAACATTGAAAATATCTTTTGTGACAATTAGTCAATTATAAACTGCTTAATTTTCCACACTCAACAAAAGGACAAGTTCCAAATCAGAGCATCACACTTAAGACATTTTTTTCACATAAAACTCGTATTAAATCAAGGAAATAACACAAGAATAAAAATTCAACATCCTTCCAATACCGATAGTTAGTGAGTTTGTTAAAAGAAAATAAACAATTATTTATGAAACCAATAACAGTACTCGATACTCTGAAACATTTTTACTTGGAGAACACCACACTGATTATGATTGCCAAGAGAACAAAGTTTATTTTATTTGAAAGTGAATCTCATTTGCTTCACACAAGCAGGTTATGAATTTGTCAGAAGCTATTTCAATTATTGTTTTGCTGTAATATTATCTTGCTGAATAACTAATGAGACTCTTGGAAATTAAAGTGGAAACAGGTCCCAGAGCTCACTCATGTGACTTCAGAGTTACTCAGACAAATGTGTCTCATAGTGAATGACTACTGTAATCACTCATAAGTGGGTAAAACCAGATTGACCAGACGGATTCATGTCCCGGATAGCATCAGGGCTTATATGAACTACATGCTGGATTGCACTTTGTAACAACAGGGCCATCATTTCTGATTGTCTTTACTTTTTTTAAATTATATTTTTAAGAACTAACATAGGCCGCTCGACCACAACAACTTGAATTTCATATGGTAATTGGAACCATATAAACACTTAAACATAACAACTTGAATCAAAATCATGCTTCATCTAAGCAGCACCCAAGCAAGCAGACGATGCAATAAGAAACAATATCTATTCTTACATGTTATTTTGATGCCAGCTAGTAACGTAACATGGATGGACCGTACTGAGCGTAAAGTACCTTGAGGAAGTAGTCGGCCCACCAAACAGCGTTGAGTGCGCTAATGTGCGCAACGTGCACCGTGTATTGAGACAGGAGTACCACCTTTGCGCCAGTGAAGTTGGTCAGGTGAACCACTCGACGAGCGATCTCGCGGGTCAACAATGTGATCAGCTGTTCCAGGTTCTGTGGTGGAACTTGGTTCTCAGGCTCGTCTTTACTCAGTTCCATCCACATTGCTTTGCCCTTCTCCATGAATGCTTTAGGGTCGCGTGCAAGCTGAAATGCGACCAATCAATCTTAGTACTTAAGAAAAGTATTTGTGTAAAACAAGTGTAGCATAAGTATGTTTTAGGATGTACAGCTTTTATATTCATAGCACAAACATAACCAGGAAAAGGTTTTGAAAGTTGTAGCTTCGCAAACCCTGTGTAGTTACTGTCAAACATCAGCTGGTATGACCTGAGTAGTACTCTGTCTAACATCAACTGGTATGACCTGTGTAGTTACTGTCTAACATCAGCTGGTATGACCTGAGTAGTACTCTGTCTAACATCAGCCATGACCATAAACAAACCCATGTATCTAGAACTTAGATGCAATTTCAAACCATCAAAAAGCTACTATTCTTCTCTACATCCCTACTCGAAATGTAAAACTAGTGAGAACTGTATTAGCAAATTCTAAATCATTCAGTACAACACCGCACAGTATTTTTTATCAAAACTAAGTTCCCAAGCTTAAAAGTGTTTTTGTACCAATTAAAGTTCTTCAATACAAAAAAGAATCAATCTGAATTTTACTCACCAGATCTACCAAGTAGACGAGGCAGCGGATAGTATCGGCTCCTTGTTGTTTGAGAGCCTTTGCCTCAGCGATTGTGCGGCGTGTGAGTCTGCGCTGAAGCTTGCGGCTGAACTGGTTGACGTGTTGGAACGTCGCTGCTGTCTTACTGTCTGAATTTGCCAGAGGAGCTGGGTTTTCTGAAACAAAGAGCGTTGTTATAGTGGTGAATCCCAGACTCTCTTTACCCCAGAATATTGATCAAAAAGCCAAGAAAGAAAGGAAAAGTAAAATCCATAGCCTCCTCTAATAAAAGTTCGCGGCGTTATGCCTATTTTGCCATGGTAATAACAGAACTAACAAAAGTGTAAGCAAACATAAATATTATTGGCTATATTCTCCATTATAAATTTGTGCAACAGCTGTTTTTCGTTTTGATGGGACAGCGGTACTGCCACTTTTGTCCAACCGCAGCCTTGTGTTAGAGGAGGCTACAAAATAATTTTACTCTTTAAAAAACTTAGAAGCTTTTTTATCAGCTGATGTATAAAGGAGTACCGTAAGTGTACCACGAGCAGAGGGTGAAAAATGAAAGTAATAGTACATTTTCATCACTAGGGCGTAAAGTGACTTTTTTCGACCCAAGCTCAAGTTTGGGCTTGAGAGGTTTGAAAAGACACTACTGTACCCACTACCCACTGCCCATATGATGAACTACCTATCTTTTTGTTATATTGTGCCATTATTTAAGCAAACTAAACAACAAAACAAAAATACTTTTCATGTACCGTTTAAAAACTTGAATAGCTACAAAAGAGTATTTTTTAAAACCTTATTGCATTAATGTTTAAAAGATTTAATGTTATTTATTATGAAAAAAAATCATGCTTAACTTAATGTAGGCTAAATAAAACTAAAATTACCATTAAACTTTCCCATAACTCTAGTAGCGGCTGTGGCAATTATCGACGCCAGAAGATGTTTTCCTTGTCCATTCAGTCTAAGCCCATTTTTCGAGAAATGTTTTCTCTCAAGATCGGATATATTCAGTAGTGAAATATGTTGTATTTTGGATAATTTAATATCCAACTGGTCATTTATTCTAACAATGCTGTTATTGATAACTCCATTTAATGGAAGGTCATATTGAGGGAAAATTGGACATACAAATGCATTTGTATAATATGTATTGACAGCAAAAAGATTAATATTTGCCATATATTCGTTATACGACAAATCTACATTCCTTCCAAGTGCAACATCGTCCAGTCCCGTAATAAGGACAACTGAATCAGCTTTCGTAAGACTTGCGATTGATTTAATTGCATTCTTTACTATGTAGCTTGAACTTGCTCCAGGATTTACACATGCAAAAATTTCAACATCGTCTGACACAAATTTTTTCAACTTATCTGTCAGCTGTTTTCCGTGAATGTCTGAATACACTTGCAAGCGGTTTTTTGGTCTGCAAATTTTCTTGCCTTTTATTCCCTTTTTGTCCCCATAATCTTCTGGAACATCACGGACAGATGTTTGAGAGTTTTCACCCGGGAGTTAAAGTAAAAGATCAACATGGTGACTTAAACTCAGATTGTTAATATTAAACAAGTTTGTTTCAATAAAATTATTTCAAATTTTTCCTGAGGCAATTTTTGTACCGTTGTTTATGATTCTCTTTTTCAAACGGAATATGATTTCAGCCTTCTTTTAAGGTCAGTTCGGAAAGGGCATGGAAAACACAATTCCTGTTTTGATTGTTATAGTCTTCCATCATTTAAAGTCTTTGATAATTAAGTAAAACATAGCTATCCTTCCATGAATGAGAAGATCTTACTTTCCTTTTCTTACAATTATGAAGTACCTCACAGATTGTTTGTAGGTTACGTGACATAAAGAAAAAAAATAACAGCTATACATATCTGGGTAATTGGAAATCCAAAACATTTTAAAGTGTGGTTTATTTTTTTAAAAGAAAACCCACAACTATCATAGCCTGGTTTTCCAGTAAAATAATAAACATTGAAATATCAATAGTTAAAGGTGTAGCTGAATCTAAAGGAGAGAAAACATAAAATTTTCAGAACTTACAGGAATAAATTAAACACATTTGCTCATACAAAAATTACTTTGAAGGAAAATTATTATGATTAAAAATACAAATGATCAGAAAAATAAAGCATAGGTGTAAGTATTTAATTCTTTAAATTTAATTCTTATAGGAACACAATCTTGTAGGTAAATTCTCGGTAAAATCTATTCCATCACACGAATGGTTCAAACTAACCTGAAGGGGTTTCAGCTCCGTCAGTGATGTCAGGCAGGTACTTGTCGACATATTTGTCAGCGACATCGATGGCGTTGTTGAGACGGTCGGCCGCTAGTTCACCACAGATGCTTGCGCCGTGCTTGCTCAGCTGTTTCACAGAGTCCGCCCGTTTCAACATCGGAGTCACTACTTTGTTGGTGACGTAATCCTTTGAGATGTTGTAAATCTGCAACATGTTGCAAATTACTTCTATAATAAATATAAGTTGCGTTTTAAAACTTAATTTAGATTTTAATTTATTTGGAAGAGAGAGACAGTTAATACATCGAAACACTGACAAAACGTTTGAGTAAATTGATACAACTAACTGTTTTCCTTACTAAAATAGAAGCAGAAAAGTTTTTTGATAAATATTTCAATCACTAAAAGTCTGCAAAAAATAAACTTATCACAACCAACAACAAAACTACAGGTATATAAATTAAATTCAACAGTTCATTTGGTTCTATTTGCATGTTAGGAGAGTTAATTTGAATAAAAAGAGTATACTCCTCATCTTCTATATATAAAGCCAAAATACCCATGAACTTTTGAGAAAACTACACGTCACACCCCCATAAACCATATACTTAAAATATTCATCATGACAAGAAACCTTGCGCAAAACTATCCATAATTTAATAAATTGCCCTTTAAGGTTGTAATTCCTTTCTAAAGGGAACTTTCCATACACCTAATGTTAAAAATACCTCAGCTGTACTTATTTGTTTGAATTACTGTATTCTGTTTTGTTTATTTCAGCTTATTAACCAATCAATAATTTTTTTTAATACTTATGAAGTCAAATGGGGTGAAGCACGTGGTAACAGCTAGTTTGATTAATTGATTAATTATTGTAACATCTGAATCCTAGATTGTGGTGAATTTAATGTCCAGTAATGATAACGAGCGTTGATGTCAACAAAATCCTACCTATCCTTATTTAGGATGAATTTTACATAATTTTCTTCACTATTTAGTTTTAATACAGAAAAAAAACCGTAGAGTAGAATTAAATCGTTCAGTCGGAAGATTTTAAGGTAAAAAATAACCTCTCAATAAAGCGAAGACATCAACACTTCCAAGCTTCACCAGTCCCTGACAAACCCTAAAATTCCCATGAGCTGTTCCATAAGGATTCTAATTCAATAGGAGGGGAGGTTTAACCCCAAGTTAGTTGTAAATAAGTTTTTGAAATTACCAGATCAGGGGGGTAGGTGACCACAGGGATGTTAGCTTCAATAACGTCGAGTGCCTTGCAAGCGATGTTGTCCACAGCTGAGACGGGCTTCTCAAAGTACGCAACAACAGGCATCGCAGTTCCTACGGCTAACCACATTCCTGTCTCAGCAGGCAGCATGCCCCACTTGATCAGAGGGTTGGATTTCTAAAAGGATTAGAAAATTTAAAAATCTATAACTACAAAAATTATCTATTTAAACCAAAATATGGCTACCTTGTTTATAAAATTGTCTTTCATAAAATTGGGTTATACTCCATCATAATTTGAATTGTAAAATGTAAAAGAAAAACACTTTTTGAAAACGGAAATGGCAAAGCATGTGGTATTACAAAGTGTGAGTACATTTGCACCATGAATACTTGACCAGAACAGGAATACTTGATCATGTATGGATCATCGAGCACAAATGGATCATAAACATAAATAAACAGTTTCAGCAATCTGACACATACTTTCTCCCATTAGCTTGTCAACAACCTTTATTATGGATAAGCGATGAGAGTAACTAACCATGATATTTAATAGGTAAAATCACAAAAGTTGCATTAACTTTTGAACCGTAATTTTTACAGCAAGGGGGGGTTGCACTATTTTGTTAAGAGTATAAGGACCGTCACATAGGCTACTAATTTCAATTAAAACAGTTTTCTCTAAAAAAATATGATTTTCTCTCATTTTATGATTTTTTTTATGGGAAAATAACATAATTTATAATAACTTTTGAACTACAATTTTTACAGTAATGGGAGTTCTACCCTTTTGCTCGGAACATAAAGGGCTGCAATATAAAAAAATTGTATACAAACTGTTTGGGCCATTTTCGTGAAAATACAATTTTTCTGTTATTTTATGGGGTTTTTATGGAAAAATCATCATAAAAATGAAAGTTTGAAAATAATAAAAAACCACCTTAAGATTAGTACCTACATACCAAATTTCATCAAAGTTGGACCACAAGTGTGGATTGTCTGCTCTGTGACTGTAGTTACACATCCACACATACAGACACAGGGGTCCAGGGGGACCCAAAACATATATATCCACTCAAAACTCAAACTTGAAAATTTTGATGAAAACAATACTTTTTCTCCATATATGTACTATGAATATGGGGAGAAAGTAACAAATGACGTTGCTGGCCCGAATCCTATAATAATTATAGCATTAACATAAAAATGGTTTAGACCACGATTACTAGAAAAATACCGGTATGGATCATAAACATAAACAAAATGACGTTGTTGGCCCGAATCCTATACTAATGGCATTCATTGAACATATGTTTTGGCAGTTCCATTTAAGCAATGTAAAATAATGTTTATTTTCGGGCCAAAAACGTCATTTGTTTATGTTTATGATCCATACCGGTATTTTTCTAGGATTCGTGGTTTAGACATAGTTCCATTTAAGCAGTAAAAGCAGTAAATGTTTACTTTCTGGCCAGTAACATAATTTGTTTTTGTTTATGATCCATACCATTTCTGTTCTACTATTCGTGATTTGCACAGATAAAATATAACGAGGATAAGGAAAATAGATATCATAGAGAAAGTTAGGTTTGAATAGGTACTTGATATTTACTAAAGAGTTATTTACAAAGAAACCAATTTCTAAAAAATAAAAAAGTTGAAAAAATAACAAATTTAAATTAAAATCATAAAATTAAAAATACAAAACTACAAAACCGTATTATTAAATCAAGACAGAGGACTGTGCTTCACATTGCTTCTCTATTTTCAATAATTTATATTGTGTGACTACTGAACAACATCAAAAACAAAAAACGCAAACTTACAAGAAAATGTAACTTATAATACAAGTATTTTGAAAAAGGTAAGTTTTGTCTCTTTATCAACCATTTAAATTAGAAAATTTGGTAAAAACAATATCTGAAGCACGTGTGTGTAGGGTACATTTGTTTTTGTTTGAGTATCTACAATGTTGAGCATAGATAAAAGATAAGAAGTACAAGAAAAATAGATATCATAGAAATTTAAATCTCATCTTAAATTAAATAAAATCTCAAATTTAATTTTTTTTAATTTTTTGTAATTATACTACGTCCTAACGACAATGTAGCTCTTTGAATAGTAATAAAATTAGGGATTGCATAATAGCTCTTTTTTGGAAATAATATATAGGACTAGGTCTACAAAACATAGAACAAATAGATACACAATAAAAGGTCCCAAAATATAATACTGATCGTCCTCATATAGGACTTCACCAGAGGCTGTAGTGGTGTGAGAGTAGGAATACTCACCAAGAAAAATACAGCTCGCTTACTAATAGGTTTCGTGGAAAAGCAGATTGGGAATGCTTTTCCTATACTTTCCCGCCCCACTGCACCACTGGTGGGCTGAATAAAAAGTATAGAGGTCTAATATTGTCTTTAACAATAAGAACACTACCTAAAGAACCAACACGTACCTTCATATTACCGTAGTAAGCCACCGCAGACTCAAACACAGGAAGATTGGTGATTCTCTCAATACTCTTGAGGTGAACCATCTTCTTGTGTTGATGTTGGTGGTGATGATGGTGGTGATGGTGTCTCTTGAGGGATTCGGCAGTCATGTCGATGCTGTGGCCTGCCAACGGAACACAGAGAAGAGTTAGCCTGGCTGTGGTCTCCAGTACGACACTACTGTATATCTCCGGAACACTGCGGTGGCTCTAGACTGATATCAACGGGTCATTCGTTATCTCGGACCGGACGCGGACTACGACCTATTGCATGCTATCTCATGACTTTCAGCTGTCAGCTGCGGCTCTTACCATGTACAGGCCTGAGTAGGCTATCCCGTGATATTATAAAATGAAGTTTCATCACTGATGAAAGTGATACGATTACTGCTTCGGTGTCCTGTGATAAAAGATAGCGTGGTTTTGATTTGTTTGGGATAAACAGTTGTTTGTTGAGAAACAGAGCGAGTTTACTTTTGATGTGTTCTTTTCTTAAGTTTAGAGGATAGTGGATTATTTCTACCTGTAAGGATCTGTATAAATCTGTGTATGGGAGTTGCATTAAGAATCTGTAGTTGAATTGTTTAAATGGAATAGTCCTCGATCTATATACAGCTGATCTTAGTCAGTAAAGGCAGGTTCGCACATGCAGGATTTGCCGAGCACCAAACAAGTACTTGCCAAATCACAGTTGTGGATAAGTGTACTCTCATCATTTGGCCACTGTCAGGGCTTGTTATTTGGTTTCCTACTTTGTGTTGGTGTTTTTCATACATTCAAAGCGTACGAACATTTGCTATTCGCGTGAAACAGATAAATGTGTGGACAAACCTCTGCTCGGAGATCAGCAAATACCAACACAAGAAGTACACCACAAGTTAAATATTTAGTGCTTAGCAAAAGCCACGTGAGGGCCTGTCTTTTAAGCAACACACATCAAGTATGTCGCTATAAAGTGATGCACTCAAAATCTATCTACAAAAAGTGATAAAAATATTCTGTTACTGTAACTGTTATCTGTGTAAAGCACAAATCGTCACAGGTACCTGGGACTTTGCGTCGATGAGAGATACTTATTGGTAACATAACAAATTATGCAAAAAAGAGTTGAACTAAGCAACACTAACTAAACATCCGGGAGCCATAGATAGTCTAGGGGTTAGAGCGCGGGATTTTGGTTTCTGAGGTCCAGGTTCAAAACCCTCCAAATCACCAATGAATTTTGTCTAAATGATAATGCAGCAACCTCTAGATCTAGCCTGAAGAAATGTGAAAACAATCCCAAGCTCGTGCCTTGCGTCCTAGGACAAGAATAAAAAAACAAAAAACAAGAAAAACAACTAAACCCAAGTTCTATACCAATCTAACTGAACTTTTACTAAACTACTCAGCAAAATGTGTATAACTTGGAAAATCCAACACACAATTGACCTTCAGCTTAAAATAACACCTTTATGTAACAAGTGTGATGATTGATGAAGCTCTGCAATGGGGAACTTTTGGGGTTTCTCTGATTCGGCTTGTTTTCTTCTGTGGCTGTTAAGTTTAATGTTGTGTGTAAAAGTAGTTTACCCGATAAGACAAAAAGTACCCTATTGCAGGAACAAGTTTTAACAAATTATTTTTTTTAGAAAGAGGACTTAACAACCTTTGTAAACTCCTTATTATCTTGAAACAAATATAATATAAGTTCTGGATCAAACCACTTTCCAACGTTTTTGTGAGACATTGTACTTTACTTTCTTTGGTAAAAATTATTTTTGTTGTTTTTTTTTAGGAATATTAGATCTTGGCATTAGAGTAAACAGGACAGGCCAGAACAGTAAATTTACTTCAACAAATAAAGAATATTTGATTTGTTTGTAATTAATTGACTTTTGTTCAAATTCCAATCTTGAAGGCCAAGGGTAAAGGTTACATGATAAAACTGTGGGTGGAGCTATCCATTAATTAGTAAGTTGTTTACAATGCTTCATGAGTAAATAAACTTAAATAAAACTTTAGCAAATCTTGTAAGAAAGTTAGGGTACCGTACCTATCTAATATTAGTTGTACTTGTGCAGTAATATTTATACTCCGCGCCAAAGCTGGTGGCGGCTGAGGGATTAAGACCGCCAGGTAGGACTACATAGGTCGGACATGCTCACCGACCTGGCCGTCCTAATCCTTCAGCCGCCACCAGCTTTGGCGCGGAGTATGACGCGGAGGGGTTATTTTGGACACCTTTATAGGGCCAAGGATACTCTAGTTGTGGTAGTAAAATGTTTTCAAAGTGCTGAATAAGTGATTAATACCCTATACTTATAGTGGCTTTTCACAGAACCATATGGCAGGATTTTAGTATATTTGGTTATAACCCACAGAGCACACTATGTCTCTTGGATATCAATTTGAGAGTCCCAAATCCTGGGATTAATAGGATATCCTGCAATGTACTGGGACACAAACGATCCCTGCAGGACTTCTTGGGTTGCTCTGGAGATAGGGATATCAGGGCTATTCACAATGTCCTGCAGACATCTTGAACATCCTCAATCAAGCTAAATTAATGTTGTCATTAGGAAAATCGGAATATTCCATGGAGCAAAAGTGACTATGTGATGTTGTTTTGTTTAACGTTTTGTCGTAATTTGGCATAATTATTTTAAAAAATGTAGGGGTGTTGGTGTGGTGATACAGGTACCAAGGAATTAATTAACAAATAGGAATTAACAAATTCAAGAGCTGGGTATAGCAACTCTCATTATGGTACTTTCAAAACCGAGAGACTGCATACAGGAAATGTGTTTGGGAAAGAACTTCCTCAGGGAATTTCATGTTTTAGTGATTTCATGGCCTGCTCAAGTGCTCTGTCCCCAAGATCGCACTGGTTTTGCTTTTTGGCTTTAAGAGGCGGTTCACGAGTACGGGGTTTCGTGGCCCGCGGTTATCGTTGATCTCGACCAATTTTAACCGACGGTCAAAAAATGGGTTCACGACATAGAGCGTTAGCCAAGACCAAGCTTAGCCGAGAACAACGCTGGCCGTCGCTCAAGAGCAGGGATTAACTGGGAATTTTCGTTAGAAGGTTGGCAACAGCCACCTGCCGCTGCTCGCGGTCGACGAGCCCCAAAACAATAGGATGACGTTGCGTCATAATGATTGGTTCATAAATTATTATTATTGTACAGGGTATTTACTGATATTGTATAAAAGGTTGTGGACTTGCACTTAAATTCATTTTACACTAAAGTTTAAAGTTACTCAATAATTGATCATTGAATTTTGAATAATACACTATTACTGAATACATTGAATCGGGAAAATGCAATTATGTTTAAAAAAAAATGTTTAAACAAATCTTGGTCATGTTTGCAATAAAATTAGGTTACCAATTATGTTCAAAAATAAGACATACTTTATCAGGTTTGCAGTTTTATCCAAACGTTCAAATTATTTAATAAAATAACTGCTCTTTTCAAAGATATATGATTATCTTTTATGTATCAGTAATTTGTATAAAAATAAATTTGGAGGAACAACTGGCTATTATAGGAGCCGAGATGCCTTCATACGTAAACAGTAATAAACGTAAATATAAAATGGCAAACCTACAAAAACATTTTATGACACCAAGATCTTTTAAAGCTGTTCACAATTGGGGCCACAAACAACAGGCCTAAGAACTAAACCCCTTGCATTTGCGCGCGTCAGACGGGTAGATTCAGCCCTATAAGCATGAGAAAACGAAAACAGGTGTGAGAAAACAGGTTATAATTTAAAAAAAATATTTTGTTATAATACAACGTTTTATATATTTTACTATAGAATTTATCTTTTACCTCAGCAAATTGAAGCAATTTATTGTAAATCCCGATATAACAAATATTAAGACATTATCAGATGAAAAGGTATTTCTTTAACAAGTGTTAAACCATAAACATAATAATATAAACATATAATTTAAAACATCCAAAATAAAATTTGGATACTTAAAATAAAATGACCTATGTTTATATAATTTTATTGAGGGACAAAAATTGTACTAATTGTATACAATAAAAATTCTTAGACAAACCTAACAGTGTTTGATGGAACCATTTTTATTTTGATATTATTCAGCTGAAATAAAATGGTTCAAAATTGCTAAAATGAATATAAAACATAAGATTCGATTGCAATTTAAATTTATATGAATATGTTAAGCTATTAGTTATATTTTTACTTAGTAATAATTAATTAAAATGTCTCAACAGCTACTTTTGTACGATTTTTGAATGTTTTCAGCAATCAGTAGTAAAAAAATTAAAAAAATAAATATCATGTTGAGGGTAATGAAATTGTTCGGAATTTAATGGTGAATCCGAATATAACATTCTTTTTGCTAACAAAAAAACAATAAACGAGCAAATGAGATAATCCCGACATGATGTCACCTTAACCCTGCCCCCTAGCAGGGTTAAGTTGAAGACCAAAACCATTGTTATTTACGCTCGAGATTATCCAGTTTGCGCTAGACCATGACTCGTGAACCCGACATTTGGCCCGGGGTTTTCTCTAATTGAACCCGTGAAGCCGACTTTTTGCGCTCGGGTTTATCCCTGTCATAATTGGGTGAAGTTTATCTGTCTGCGCTCGAGCGCGGGTAACCTCGTACTCGTGAAGCCGATTTCCAAGCCGCGGCGCAAAAAACCGGCTATAACTGGATTTTGCGCTCGAACTAAGGATAACCCGTGACTCGTGAACCGCCTCTGAGTAAAAATATAACTAATAGCTTAACATATTCATATAAATTTAAATTGCAATCGAATCTTATTTTGTAAATTCTTTATATTTATTTTAGCAATTTTGAATCCTTTTATTTCAGCTGAATAATATCAAAATAAAAATGGTTCCATCAAACACTGTTAGGTTTGTCTAAGATTTTTTATTGTATAAAATTAGTTCAAATTTTGATCCGCCATAAAATTCATATAAAACATAGGTAATTTTATTTAAGTATCCAAATTTTATTTCGTATGTTTTAAATTATATGTTTATATTATTATGTTTATGATTTAAGATTTGTTAAAGAAAGCCCTTTTCATCTGATAATGTCTAAATATTTGTCATATCGGGATTTACAATAAATTGCTTCAATTTGTTG